TAATTCAAGCTGGTCTTAAACTCACTCTGAAGCCCAGGTTAGCTTCAAATTCACAGTGACCTTCCTGCCTCAGCCTCCTGAGTGTTGGTATTATAGACATGCACCACCACATCTGGCTGTATAATCGAAATTTTAGTAGAAGTTTGATAAAATGTATAGTGTTAAGTACTTTTTACTGCTTTTTAATTTCTACTTTTAAAAATTACATTTTTTGGAAATAAATACTTTGCCATAGTTATAATAGAAGAAATGTGCTTGTGATCTACAGGTCATACTCTTGGTATGGTTTAAAGACTTTAACCAATGGTGCTGAGTTCTAAGTTACTTACTTTGATCATTGCTTCCCTCCACATGCCCATTAGAACCCATTTGGGAATCTTGAAAAGACCCCCCATACCCTGGCCCCCCTCTACAAATTCTGGTTTAATTGATCTGAAGTGGGGCCTGAGTCTAAAAGTTGAGACTCATTACTTTATGTACAGTACTGTTTAATTCTCCGTGTAGTCACCCTCCCACACAGGAATTTTAAAAAGTAGCTGAGAATAACATCGTTCTTTACTTAAAGGGGTATGTTCTCACGTCATCAGAGACTCCATAGCCAGGCACGATGATCCACATCTATAATTCCTGTACTTTGGGAGAGGCAAGAGGATCACAAGTTCAAGCTCAGCCTGGGTAATTTAGAAACTAAGTGAGATCCTGTCTCAATATTAAAATTTTTATTTTAAGCTGGGCATGGCGGCTCACGCTTATAATCCCAGCACTCAAGAGGCTGAGGCAGGAGAATTATTGCAAATTTGAGATCAGCCTGGGCTACAAAATGAGCTCAACACCAGCCTGAACTGCATAGCAAGACCCTGTCTCAAAAAGACAAAACCAAAACAAAACATAAAATTTTTATTTTACTTACTTTTGAGACAGAATCTTGTTATATAGTTTAGGTTGGCCTTGAACTCTTGGCAATTCTGCCTCAGTCCTCCCAAGTGTAGGGATTATAGTCTTGTTCTCAAAAAAAAAAAAAAAAAAAGGACCTGGAAAGTAGTTCAGCATAAAAGTCCTGAGCTCAGTCTCTAATAATGCTTTTTTTTGGTACCAGGGATCGAACTCATGACCTCATGCTTGCCAGGCAGGCGCTTAAGCCACTGAGCTATATCCCCACCCCCTCTAGTAATGCTTTAAGATAAATTTTCATACACAGATGTAGGGATGCATAACTATAATCCCAGCTATTTGACAGTCTAAGGCAAGAGAACCTCAAGTTTAAAACCAGCCTGGGCAACTAAGCCGAATCCTGTCTAAAATAAAAAAATGTTTTAAAAGGTCCACAGATGTAGCTTACTGGTAGAATGTTTCCCTAAAACACAAGAAGAAAAAAAAAAAAGAACAATATCACTACCCCGCCCCCATAGCAGGGATTAAACCCAGGGCTTTTGCACTGAACATCTCTAACTCTCTTTAAACTTGTTTTTGTTTTTATGAGACATGATCTGCCTAAATCAATAAATTCCCCAGGTCGAGTTTGACTTTGGGTTTTCCTGCCTCATCCTCCTAAAGTTCTAGGATTATAGCTGTACTACCATACCTGGCTAACTATAGTGTGTTATTAACAAGGTAATGTTTTAGAGAATTTTCTGTGCTCCTACTTAAAGATAATATTTACCAACTTGGGAATGGGGATATAACTGTGCTGTGCTTCCTGGCAAGCAGTTGCCTGGAAGTTAAATTCCCAGTACCAAAAAATACATATATTTTTTTTCCAATTTTTTATTTTTATTTTCAAATAAGAAAATATTTCCTTTCTCATAAAGCGGTGAAAAAATTAAAAAATTTTAAAAAAGAAAATATTGAGGGCTGGGGATTTAGCTCAGCGGCATAAGCACTTGCCTTGCAAGCACGCAGTGATGAGTTCAATCCCTGGTGCCGATTTAAAAAAAAGAAAATATTGAAAGTTTCACAGTGGCCACACAAATGTCTGTTTGACCAGGGTTTCAGTTTTCGTGGTTTTCCTTGAACCAAGAATCAAGCTTGGAACCTCATGCTTACTAGGCTGTTTTGTGTTTTCTAAGGTCTTACTATGTAATTCAGGTTGGTCTTGAACTCATTGTGTAGCCCAGGGTAGCCTTGAACTCTCAACAGTCCTCTTGCCACAGCCTCACAAGAATTAAGATTACAGTCTTGCATTACTATACCTGAATTGTACAGATTTTAATATTTTGCCACTTTCCCTTTATATCTTTCTAGATAGGTGACAAGGTAGGGCTGTCTCCCCAAATGTTGTGACACTTACCCTCAAATACTTTGCCTTATTTATTCTAAAAAGTAAACATTCTCTTGTGTAACCACAAAACCAAAAATGCCCCCTTTTCTGACCCATTTAAAACTTACGGTATTTGGTTTTCAATTTCAGTGAACAGCTAGGGTTTAACTTTCTTAGTGAAACAAATTCATAGTCCCAACTTCTGTCTCTTGAGGTTAGAGTATAAAAACTATTTCTCTAACTTTTGAATACAGAATGAAAATGTCCCCATCTTCTAGGCCATGAGACCTCTAAATTACCCACTAATTTTATACTTTAAAATGGCAGATTTTAGCCAGGTGTGGTGGTGCAAACCTATAGTCCCAACACTCAGGGACTGAGGCAGGTAGATCGCTGCAAATTTAAGGCCAACTTGAACTATATAGCGAGTTGAAGGCCAGCCTGGACTATATGCCAGACACTGTCTCAAAAAACAAAGGTAATTATAAGTGTTAGTTTATATAATTTTTTTTTTGTCTTTTTCGTTTTTATTGGTACCAGGGATCGAACCCACGACTGCCTGCTTGCAAGGCAGGCGCTTATGCCGCTGAGCTAAATCCCCAGCCCCAGTTTATATAATAGTTTTAAAAGCTCAAAGAAAATATACCTCAGACACTGACAACATTAAATTACCTTAGTTAGCTTTCACACTTTCTTAGAATAAAATTATTTCTTACTAAAATGTTGCTGGGTATGCCGACATACACCTATAATTCTAGCACTCAGGAAGCTAAAGCTGGAGGATCACTGCAAGTTGGAGGCTAACCTGGGCTGTATAGTGAATTTAAGCCTACTCTGAATTGCAGAGTAAGACCCTGTCTCTAAAAAATACAAAATAAAAAAATGAAAATTAAATTTATAATATTATACTTTATAATAAAAATAAGATTCACTCTCCACAGTGTCCTCATCAACCTATAATGGTTCCACTAGTGTTAGCACTACAAGGTCTAAGTATTTTCTTTACTAGTAGCTTTTTCCCCTTAGTTTAATTTATAAGTATTTTAAGAAACTTTTAAAGAAACTTTCTTGAATCATACAAAAGATACACAGTTGCAAACAGAGAAGTTACATTCTCTGACATGTCTTCAGAGCAGTGACAGAGACCCGTGCATTGATGGGGAAGGTTAAAAGACACATGGACATCTAGACAGAAACATTTATTTATCATAAGTATATGTGTGCTTTATTTAGGGAGTACCTTAGAAACACGTACATAGGTGAGAGAGAGTATGGGTCAGTGGTAGAGCTTGCCTAACATGCACTAGGCAAGGCCCTGGGGTCAGTCCCTGACAACAGATACATTCACATAAAACACATATTTGTAGAGGGAAAAGTCAAGGCATATAGATAAGTAAAAAGATCACTTTTAAACTCAGTGCTTTGAAATACTGCTAATGTTCAATGCATGTGAACATGGTTTAAAAGTAAAAGTAGAAGGCTGGGCATGGTAGCACACTTCTGTAATTCCAGTGCTCAGGAGGCTGAGGCAAGAAGATTGCCATGAGTTCAAACTAGCCTGGACTACATAGCAACACTCTGTCTCAGAAAACTATAAATAAATAAGTAAAGTATACTATTTTAAAATCTCATGTTAACCTTATTAAAACATTTTTAGTACTAAACATCTGATTAAGTAAGTGATGAGTGTAAAACCTAATAAAATTTTGTTTCATGGGCTGGAGAAGATTGCTCAGTGCTAGATCACTTGCCTAGCATATGTGAGGCTCAGGATTTATTCCTGAAGCACTAGAAAAAAAAATTTTTAATTCTGTTTTTTTAATAATGGCAAAGTTTCACATTTTTTAAAGTTAGGGAAAAAAAAACCCTGAATGTTAAGGGAAAAATAGACTCTGCAAAGTGAGTTTGCACCAAGGAAAAACAACAAAATGACAATATACCCTACAGCATCCACTCCAGAAATCAGTGTACAGATTCCTCAAAAAACTAGGATTGGAGGTCCCATTTGACCCACTTCTTCCCCTTCTGGGTATCTTCCCAGGGAAATAAAAAACATTGTGCAACAGCATTATTATATGTGCACCCATGCTTATAGCAGCACAATTTATAATAACTAGATCTTGGATACAACTCTCAAATGCCCATCAGCAGAAGCATAAATAAAAAAGATGTGGTCTTTTTATACAGTGGATACTAAGCCATAAAGAAGGATAAACTCAAGGCTTTTATGGGTAAATAGATGCAACTAGAGACCATCCTCTTAAGTGAAATAAATCAGACTTCATGTGTAAGTGCCATATTGTCTCCCTAGTCTGAGAAGCTGAAAGAAATATGTGTGCGTGATAGTTATACTACTGATTTCTCTTTGTTCATTGAAAAGATTTGTGCTAATGTTTTTAAACAATTAAATGCAGATGTCTTGTGCTCTGAGTATCTAAAGATAATACACAATGTATTAACATTGTTACCCTCTAATTATCTTGTTTTGAAATTTTGTTTTATTTTATTTCCTCTTTTCAAAGAAATTACAGTTGGGGTTGTAGCTCAGTGGCATAAGTGCTTACCTGGAGCACGAGCTCACGAGTTCGATGCCCAGTACCAAAAATAAATAAATAAAATAATAAAAAAATTTTTAAAATTACACCCTGCAGTGTAGGGGGAGCCATGATGAAGAGACTCAGTAGCCAAAACTGTTGCTCAAAGACAGCTTTCTGAACCTGTGGTCTTTATCTCTCTGCCGCAGATTCTCAGCGAGAATTCAGCAGTAGACCAGGAACAGGATATGTACCTGTGGAGTTCTGGAAGAAAACAGGTATGTGTGCTTGCTAATAGGTTGCGTGTGTTCACTAGCTTGTACACATAAGGAATGAAACTGGGAGAAAAGAGGTTGGTAACTGGCACTTTGGTTGTCCAATTAGCTCCTGCTCATGAAGCTCTTAATTCATATTTCTCCCCATTGGGTGGCCTGCTTTGTTCCTTTTCAGGTTAGGAGTTTGGAATTGCTTCCTCTAGTTTCTTCCCACACATACACTAGGTCATACTGAGGCATAAATTAACAAACCTTTCTTTTGATAGACGTTAATTAATTTTTGCCCAATTTTTTCTCATACGGTCTCTACATGTGCTTCATTCTACATGAAGCACAACTCTTTAGCCATCTGCTTTTCCTATCCCCTCAACATAAAAAAAAAAAAAATAGGACATAGCTCATCAGCACAGCACCTGCCTGACATGCACAAGGTCCTGAGTTTGATTCCCAGTACCAAAAAATAAAAGACTCTTCTTTTAGGGCCTTTATCAGTATAAAGGTAGGCGAGGACTACCAACTCTGATAACATAAAGGGTAAAACTAGCCTAGGATCATTAATGTTACCCTTATCAAAATACTGGCCTTCTTTTTCTTCTTGCAAGAGAACACGTTCTCAGAAAAATAGCCCTAAAGCTTTTTTGTTTTGTTTATTTGTGTGTGTGTGTGTGTGTGTGTGTGTTTTGTTTATTTAATGTTTGTTTTTGAGACAGGGTCTTACTGTGTAGTTCAGACTAGCGATGAACTCACATTATAGCCCAGGCTTGCTTTCCTCATGTGTCAGCAAAGTTTACCCACCATCCTCAGCTCCCTAAAGCCTTTTTTTTTTTTTTTTTTTTTTTGGAGGGGGTGGTTTTCTGTTTTATCTTATTTTATTTATTTGTTTGTACTGGGAATCAAAACTCAGGACTTCACCCTTGCCAGTAGGCCCTACACTACTGAGCTATATCCCTGATCTTTGTTTTATTTTTCTGAGACAGAATCTCTCGCTATGTGGTTCAGTCTGGCCTTGAGCTTGTCACCCAGGCTGGCCTTGAACCCACAGCAATCCTCTTATCTCAGTCTCCCAGGTCCTGGGATTGTAGGGATGTACTACCATGCCCAGCAGTTATTGATACTATTTTAGATTACTTCGTTGGTGACACTAATCAGTTCATCAGAGGTTTATATAAGAAATTAAGCAATGGGCCAGGAATGTAGCTTAGCAGAACAGCATCTGCTGAGCACTGACAAGCACAAGGCCATGAGTTTGATTTACGGTACCAAAAAAAGAAAGAAAGAAATTATCAGTATTATCAATAAATCCATAACAATTCTTCATTTTCATGCTTTTGAATGCTTCCTTCCAAAAGCAAATTGTCTGGTTTTAAACACAAATTGTATATAAGCTGGGGTATAGCTCAGTGGTTGAATGCTTGCCTAGCATATGACAGGCTCTGAGTTAAATCTTGCAGCACCATCCTCCCCAGCACAAAAAAATACTGTTTTTAGTATATTTTTAAGTATATTATTATTTATTGTATTTTCAGGGTAGGGAAGAAGCAACTTGATCAATGAGTAGTTATGTTATAGTTTGATACCACAACAAATATTATTTTACCATGTGAAACAATTTGCAGAAGTATGCAATGAGCAAATGTAGATTATATTCATAGTAAATGGATTAGATTTGTGAGAAATGAAGATAATCATAAGGCAGAAAGATTACCATGTACACGATCTCTTTCAAATTAGCTTAACTACTTGGGAAGAACCTCAAATAACTATGGTTAAGAGCCCAACTTTGGTACTGAGTGAGAGAACTCCAAACCCTTACTGCAGGATAGTGCTACCTTTTGTCTTAGAAGGCCTCCATGAAGATAGGTACGCAAATTGACTCTTAGTGATTCATCCTTAAGCTGTGAAGATAAAATGTGTCAGAAGGAATGGTTTATGGGCTCAGTAAGTGACTGTCACATCTACCCAACATCTAGTAGAGACCTAGGAGAGTAACTGGAGTGGGCCAAGTGGACCTGCGTGGATACCCAGAGGAAAGGAAGCCTGGAGTCTTTGGGTTGTGTCATCTTGTGAACTTGTGAGTGGTGGTTCACATTTTCATCAGACTGAGGCTCAAAGCATAGAGCATGTCATTGGAAGTAGCCACTCAGTAGAACTGAGCAGTATGGTGGAATGGGAAGGAAGTGATCAGAAACCAAGCAGAGTGATAGTGACTGGCCAGAGTGGAAGTCCAGGGCTTCTGGCCATCTGCCAAAACCTGTATTTTTAGCCCAGGGTTCTCTACTGTGCTCTAACCGCCCTCTGGTCATTTACACCAGGATGCCCTGGAGAATATCTCAGCCATCTCACTTGGCTTTCACACCAGCTTGGTTGCTTGCTTGCTTGCTTTTTCTTTCTTTTCACTTGCCAGTTACTGACATAACTAATGCTCTCTGTTGCTGAGCTAAATCCTTGGCCTTTGCACACCAGCTTTCTGTATTCATCACCTGGCACCACCGTTCTCCTCCACATCCAGACCCTTGGTGCTACCATCTTCCTTCTGACTCTTCCCCCACTGGGTGCCACTTGCTTCTCCATAAATTCAGAATTCCTTTCAGCTGGATCACTGCTCCAACCTCACAGTTAATCTTTTTATTCTTCAATAGAATCCTTTAGGGCAGAGATGGTGAACCTTTTAGAGCTTTCAGGGATACAGACAGTGCACTGTGCCACATGTGTCATAGGTTCACCACCACAGCTTTAGAGGACTCACATTTCCTTTAGCTAATAGGACCAAATAAGCTCTGCAGGGCTTTTTCAAAAAACTTCATTTCCACCTGTCGTCTCTACCAAAACCTATTTCTTTGATCTTTCCTTGTCCTTGTAGAATTAACCATTTTTCTCTATGGAACTCTACCCACCCACCCCTGCCTTTTTTGGAATAGTAGCCTGTTCCAGTGATATGTACAATGCCACCTAAGCCACTATTATAATTTGACCACAAACAAAAGAGACTACACAAAGTGGAGTTACTTATGTATTGCCAGTGCTAGCCTAATACATGACTGCACAAATGAACAGCACAACTGTGAAAACAGGTGTACATGTAGATAAGGTGTTCATGTCTGCGGACCTGTGTCCACTCTTTCTGCTCTTAGAAATGCTGCAGGGTGGGAGGGAAAAGATTTCTCGGCCAGTTGATTTTACTGTCACTTTCTTCTAGAAGAAGCTGTGAATAAGGTGAAAATTCAGGCCATGTCCGAAGTACAGAAGGCCGTTGCTGAGGCTGAGCAAAAAGCATTCGAAGTGATTGCAACAGAGAGAGCTCGAATGGAGCAAACCATAGCAGATGTCAAACGACAGGCTGCAGAGGATGCCTTCCTTGTCATCAATGAACAAGAGGAGTCCACCGAGGTCAGAGCTCTATTAAGACCCTGAAGCTGAGGCTGCCAGCTGGGGAAGCATACCCACTTGTTTGCCTCGGTGTATACCAAAAGTTGCATTTTTCACTTTGGGACTCTACACACTAATCTGATGAATACATACATATATGTACATAAAAATATATAAATCTGGGGGTGTGATTTTTGGTCTGTGGGTATTTGTTATTTCAGTTTGGGGGGTGAATTTTGGAGTTTTTTGGTTTTGGTTTTTAGGGCTGTTTTGCTACCAGAAATAAAACTCAGGACCTCATGCTTGCCATGCAGGCACTGTGTCACTGAGCTATATCCCCAGCCCTCGTTATTTTAGTTTTGAGACAAGATTACACTGAGGTGCCCAGGTTACGGTTGAATTTATGCTCTTTCTGCCTCAGCCTCTCAGAATGCTGGAATAACAAGCATGTGCCACTGCCAACAGCAAGTTCTGTTTTTAAATGAACAACAATACTGGATATAGAGGTGCATGCCTGTAATCCCAGCACTGGGAGATTCAAGCAAGAGGATCACTGAACTTGAGGCCAGCATGCGCTACAAATTCAAGGTCAGCCTGAATTGTATAGTAAAATCCTGTCTCAAACAAACACAAGATACTATGAATATGAAAATGTAGTTCTGGGGGCTGGGGATTTAGCTCAGCGGTGTAAGCACCTGCCTTGCAAGCAGGCGGTCGTGAGTTCAATCCCCGGTACCGATAAAAATGAAAAAGACAAAAAAAAAAAAGAAAATGTAGTTCTTTCAAACTTCTCCTTTTTTCTTTCCCCAACTTATAGAATTGGGGGGTTTTGTTTGCTATTTATTTTTGAGGTACGTGGTATTGAACCAGGGCAATCACATTAAACTCCATTCTTAGCCCTTTAATTTTTTTATTTTTGTTATAATGTCTCACTAAGTTGTCCAGGCTCAACTTAGGCTTGCAGAAATATATCTTCTACTGTTTCTGTATTAACAGCCACTCTTTTTTTTTTTTTTTTTTTTTTTTTTTTTTTGTCTTTTTCCTTTTTATCGGTACCAGGGATTGAACTCATGACTTCCTGCTTGTAAGGCAGGCGCTTATGCCGCTGAGCTAAATCCCCAGCCCTTAACAGCCACTCTTATCAGTACCTGGATTTACCTGTTTATCTTAATTTTACATCTGTGTTGTGTGTGTGTGCGTGTGCGTGTGTTTATGTCTGTTTTTGGAGAAACAACCCAGGGCCTCTTGCATTCCAGACAAGCATTCTACACTACCTCCCCGGCCTTCTGTGTTTAACTATATTGTTCTCCAAAGAAGAATGTGGCCTTGGCTAAGAGAATGAGTTCTGGATCTGGCTTGTGTAGATTTAAGTCCCAGCTCTCCGTTTAGATTGTGTCTTTAAGAAACTGTACTTACAAGCAGTTCACAAAGTGGCCTGTAGGTACCCTATCCCAGAAAGGTCACTTTCCAAAATTCGGCAAGGATGAAGGGGCTAAGTTTTCATTGACTTAGTGTTGGGCCAGAAGAGGTGATTCTTCTCCATTTCATCCATAAATTCTCCTTGATGTTTAACTTATGTCCCTAGAGTTTCTCCTTCATCTTGTGAGAAACTTTCTAGTAGCCTTGGGCTAGAGGTTGGAAACCCTGACCATTTAGTCTATGCCTCTCTCTTACTGGCATTGCACCCGCAAGGAACCAGTCTCCTCCTCTGTACCATGCAGGTTGCAGCTTCTGTCCTTGGCTTGGCAGTTTTTAGAAAAGTAAAGTGAAGGTATGAGTGGACACAGTGCCCTAGTTACTGTGTAATCTGTAGCAGCTCCTCACACAGCACAGGCCCTTACCTAGGCTTCTTCCTGTAGTGCCTGGGAGTGGAGGGACATGGGAGAGGTCCTCTTGCCTCTCATACAGGGCTTGTTCTGTCTCCCTCCTCCTTGACTTTGCTAGCAACATTATGGGTTAGCAACCAAACATAAAATGGGGTCTTTTCTCCTTTGGTCCATAATTGCAGCAAAGTCAGGGAGGTATGAGATAGGTCCCAAGGATTTTCATTCTTGTCTTTTATTGGTACATATTTATCCTACATAATGATTACATTTGGTACTGATTTTTGACAAGTCCTTGTAGTTTAGGGGTTTGCTTTTTTGAGACATGATCTCACTATGCAGTTTAGGCTGATCTTGATCTGACTATGTACCTCAGGCTGGCCTTGTATTCATGGTGATGCTTCTGTCTCAGTCTCCCAAGTGCTGGCATTACAAATGGACACTACCATATCTAGCGAAGCACCAGTAGTTCTGGTATACCATAAGTGAGTCTTGAACCACATTGGGAGTGGTACTGACATAACTAGTGCTTTCTGCTTTACAAAGGAACTTTTTTTTAATTTATTTTATTTTTGGTTTCTTGACACAGTCTCACTGTACAGTTCATGCTGACCTTGAACTCAATATATACCATCTTTCTGCCACAACCTGCTGAGTTCTGGGATTGCAGGCATGCACTTTAAATTCATCCTTTCTTTCCTGGGATTTTTGGGTGTGTGTGTGTGTGTGTGTGTGTGTGTGTGTGTGTGTGTGTGTCAGAGAGAGAGATAGAGAGTCCTGCTATGCAGTTCAGACTGGACTTAAACTCACTACGTATCCCAGGTTGGCCTCATACTCATGGCAACCCTCCTGCACCAGCCTCCCAAGTGCACCATCACACATGGTATTGAAATCATATTTCTGACTTTTGTTACCACAGCTAAGATTAATAACTTTCTCATTAACCACAGAGGACTGAGTGGTCAAGACTGTTCTTGTTGGTTTAAGAAAGATTGATTTGAAGTGTGACTGCAAGAGTAACTTTTTGTCTTATGCTATTTTAAAAAAAAAGGCTGGCTTTCACAATACTGTCTAGTTTGGCCTTGAATACCTGGACTCAAGTGATCCTCCTGCCTCAGCCTCCTGAGTATCTGAGACTGCACCCAGCTTTGTCTTACATCTTGGCCCCTCTCCCTCCGCCCCCCATCTCTCCTAGTTAGGGAAAAGCTAAGAAGACGCCAACATGAAACTCTGCTTTTTACCTCAGACTCTCTGACACTGACCACACTATCTTTGCATTTCTGTGAGCCTGCCTCTTTGGAGCTGTTTACTTTATTTTACTGTATTTCATAAATCTTGAATTGAGTGATTTTAAAAATGGTGGCAGTCAGCCTGAATGAAAATACCAGAGATTTAATACTCTGACCCAGTCCAGTTATTCCACCCCTGAGCTATATCCCCATCCTCCCACCTCACAGACACTTCTTAAAATTTGAGATAAGGTCTCATTAAGTTGCCCTGGAAGTACTTGAACTTGCCATAGTCCTGCCTCAGCTTCCCTAAGTGATGGGATTATAGGTAGTATGCACTACTGTTGTCCGTTTTTAACCCAGTTCTGAGATGTCCTTAAGTGACAACATTTTGCCAAAACACTATTAGGGACAGCTTACTAGACTGGACAGAAGAAAACTCTTTGGAACGCAGTTTGCTAAAGGTTCTGCATACATCACATAAGAATTCTATCTTCCCCCATTTTGACCCTCTGGTGGTGGGGGGGAGGGTGTTTGCAGGTTTTGATGGTTCTTAGAGTATATTCCTGAGAAGCCTGTGTTAGAAGGGAATCTGCAGTTATCTTAAATGTGCTTTGAGATCACACTTGTACAGAGTATCACAACATTAGGAGTTCCAGGTCACAGACTTTGCATAGCCCCTCAGTCATTTTATAGCCTTAGCACATCTGGGCCTGTTTCCCATCTGTGCAGTGCAAGAGGTGGTGGAGAGGGCAAATCCTATCATTTTTCATTCTGTACACAGGGCAGGCAGAGGTCTTTCTTCAGTGTATAACGTACACCCAGGCCTCTCTGATTGGCTTCTGACATCTTTGCATCCTTGTGGGCAAGAGGACCGGCTGCCAGGTCTTTCCCAGTGGCTGTATCTAGCCAGGACTATAAAGCATTTCTCAGGGCTGAGGATTTAGCTTAGCGGTACAGCGCCTGCTTGGGAAGTGTAAGGTCATGAGTTCGATCCCTGGTACCCAAAAAAAAAAAAGCTTTTCTCTTAGCAGTGTGTCCTGGAGCCCTGGGATGCAAATTCTCATGTGAGTACTTGAATCTTCTTGGAACCTGTTATGGCTGCAGTGTGGCCACATTTATTATCTATACTTGTTCTTCTTAGATGACTTAGGGAGACATCAAATTGTCTGTGTACTACATTTTTGTATGTGTGTGTGGGTACCAGGAATTGATCTCAGGTCTTGTACTTGCCAGGCAGACACTGCTAAGCTATATCCCTAGTTCACTATTTCTGCTGTTGCTTTCATAGCTGCTATTTCAGTTGTCACCAAGCTTCACTTGGCTCATATCTCCTGCAATAGAATTTAAACATTCTTAACCAGTGTGCTGATCCCAGTGGTTTCTGCTAGTCCCTACAAGAACCTGCCCCACTGAGAAAATACAAGTAGTGAGAAAACTCCCTGAGCTAGGCTTTTAGGCCCCTGAGTGGGTAGTGGTCCTAGGGACAGGCCTACAGTTTTCCCTTGTTACCATGCCATCTATGAAAAATCAGGTCAGCAAAAGAAATAGGCACAGAGGACAAAGGAAAGAGCAACACATCCAGTTCCCTTCTCTCCACTCATCCTGCTTCCAGGACAGATGACTTTTTGGAAAAATTAGCTTTGCCTGTATTCCCTTAAAAGTCTTATTAAAACATCAGGTATTGGGGGCTAGGGATTTAGCTCAGTGGCATAAGCACCTGCCTTGCAAGCAGGCAGTTGTGAGTTCAATCCCCAGTACTGATAAAAAGAAAAAAAAAAGTGTAAAAAAAAAAAATTAGGTATCATCACTAAAAACAGTGATGATTGTTCTTTTAATGGGATGATTGTTCTTTTTAATGGGAGAACAAGAGAAAATATTTAAGCACATGAATGGATGTGTACAAGTGCGTGGTCGTGAGTTCGATCCCTGGTACCAATAAAAAAAAAAAATACACCATGGTAAATGAATGGATGTATGGTCTTAGGATAATATCTATGGCAGAGGGACCCTGGGAAAGAGTTTGGTTTGGTTTCTGAGGCCAAAAAAGATGAGTCTGTGCCTTATGCAGGAGATAAGGACCACCCTGCACAGGCTAGTATTGGGCAAGGCGTCTTCACATAATGCCTTTGTCTTGCTGTCCCACGAATAGGTAGCTTTCCTATTGTACAGGTGAAGGGTATTGAGTGGAGGAGTGTCCATGTTAAACCACAAGAAAGGCAGAATTCAGCCACAGGTAGGTAGTGCCAAACCCCTGCTCTACCATGTAAGTGACAATTAATAGTGAGGTGCCTACAGCTTGATCCCAGCAATCACTAACCTATGCTTCTGTCTTGCAGAATTGCTGGAACTGTGGCCGCAAAGCTAGTGAGACATGCAGTGGCTGCAATATTGCACGGTACTGCGGCTCTTTCTGCCAACACAAGGACTGGGAACGGCACCACCGCCTCTGTGGCCAGAGCCTTCATGGCCAGAGTCCCCACAACCAGAACCGGCCACTGCTGCCCGGAGGAAGGAGCTCCTCAGTCAGATCCACTGACTGCAGCGTGCCCAGCCCAGCCCTGGACAAGACCTCAGCCACCACCTCACGTTCCTCAACACCTGCCTCTGTGACAGCCATCGACACCAATGGACTCTGAGCCCAACTCCACTAATCCTGAGGACCATTCCACGCAAACAGATCATTGCATGGGGGTTGGCTGTTGGAACATGTAGCTGTTGGGTCATCAGCAGGAAATGAAGTAGCAACAGGAAGCATCCAAGCAACTCCCCCTGGCCTCTCTGGGACTTGCCATCTGTGTCCTTGGTGGAACCAGTGTGACGTTCTCTGAAAATAGGCAGCGTATTGGAGCGATCTCCTCCGTGGGTTTCTGGTGTGCTCCTCTCCCAGTGAAACAACCCTCTGCCTTTGCTGTGTAGGTCACCAGCTCCCCTTGCCTCTGAGTCAGCAAACTGTCAGTGTGCCCAGCCAGGCTGGCAGCAGCTTACCTACCGACAGTCCTCACACAGTGGAAGCCTGAAGGCTGGCAGCAGGCTGAGGAGGAGGTCCCCTTTCCCCTGAACAGCTCTTGAGCCCTATTTCTACCTTCAAGCAAGTGATGCTGATTGGCCTCTTGGGGACTTGAGTAGCAGAAAGCAGTACTCAGGACTCCCTCCTCAACCCTACTGTTCCGACTTGGGAAGAAGCCCAGAAACAACAGGAAAGAAACCGCCACTTTAATAAAAGCACCATAATAAAAAGAAATAAGTAAATTTTCCCCATGCATCACAGATCATTTTGGACAAGATTTTCCAACCTAACTGGCTACTTTAGTTTGGAACCCATTTTTGTCCCCTCTTTCACTTGATTTTGCTTCTGCAGAAATTATTTTCCAGCACGTGGATTGATCCAAGAGAGAGAGACTCCATTCTGTTAGTCTTTCCTCTCTGAGCATGTTGGCCAGACTCGCATCATCCAGTTACTCAATGGATCATCTCTTTGAAATGCAGAACCCTCTGCCACTGCTTGGCTCTTTGCCCAGTCATCGTATCTGTGACCTTTTATCTCTCAGACCACACATGTCTGGTCCACCATGACATCTGCTCATCAGCCCTGTTGGCCCCTGTACACTACAATTGTCCCACTGATGTGCTGTGGTGTGTCAGCAGAACTTGCCCCACTTGTCAAGGCCTGGTCTCATCTGAGTAGTCCTCCCAGATCTGAAGGAATCCCTCATGACTTTATTCCTGCTATATTGATTCATTGTCAGGCACACTTTCCCTTCTCTAATGTTGTCTGAAACCTTACCCCCCCCTGAGCTCAGAATGATTCTTTGAAGTGTGGGAACCATTTACAGAAGCCTAGCAAATTTTTCTTCCCATTTCCAGGGATTTTTCTAGCTGCTTACTTGGCTATCTAAACATAACTTCACTGTACCCTTTGCAGAGTGTGGGGGCACTCTTGCCATTTAGGGAACCTAGGGTCCAACCCCATGGAGGCAGTTGAGGTGAGTTGGTGGCTCTGCCCCTGCTGGCCTGTGAAAGCCAGGATCAGATCACCAACCTCAGTGTACACTTGAGTCTCAAGTAAAAGCCCTTAGTTCGATAAAGAATGGGACCAACACAAGTGGCATTGTCCTTTCATACAGGTATATCTCACTTTAAAAACTTAAGTTCTCGATACACCTTGACCAAGGATTTTCAATTTCACAAAGAAGCTTGGGGCAGGGTATGATGGTATTTGCCTATAACCCTAATCCCAGCACTGTGGGGTTCTGAAGTAGGAGAACTGCAAGTTTGAGCACAGGCAGGGCGACTCAGTAATTTAGTGTGGTGCTGTCTTGGAATTAAAAAACAGGGCAGGGAGGGCAGGGCCACGGATAAAGCTTAGTGGCACAAGTGTCTGCCTGGCAATTGCAAGGTGCAGAGTTCAATTCCCAGTACCCAAAATAAAGTAGGATGAAAACAGGAGAGGGCACCGTGGCAGGTTGCTCAGTGTGAAGGCCCTAATTTCAATCCTCAGGATTCTTCCAAAAAGTGGGGTAGGGGCATTATTTTAGTTTAGGCTGGCCTCAAACTTTCACGAGTCCTGTTTCAGCCTCTCCCAGTGCTGGGATTACTACCACACCCAGCTAAAGCACCTGTAAAATATCTGTATTTCCAATATACAAGGCAAAGGGCCCAGAGAAAGAAAAGAGAATCATGTTCCTCTGCCAGGGAATACCTAAGACCCACTGTCTTCCAGTTGCAAGGTACGGCTGGGCCTCCCCAGACCCTTCTAGAGCCTCAGCAGCTGGGAGTGAATGGGGTTTAGCAAGCATGCAGTCAATGCCCAGACAGCACTTGGCCACATCCTGTGACACACAGGTATCTCCTGAAAAGGCCGGGGAATCTAAATTAATTAGAATAAGGTGTCTTATGGAGTACATTGAATCCGTCCCAGCTTGCTGTTTTTCATTAGTAAGTTGAATGAACACCTTACATGTTTTCTTCATTGGCACCAAGACCAGCCAGGGTTGCTCAGGGTTTTTTGGGGTTTTTGTTTTGTTTTGTTTTTAACTGGTTGGAATAAAGAGCCAAAACCAACAAAATATTTATCAGAGACCAACAGTAATTTCTACAGCTAAGATTCCGGTTACAGGACCTGCCCTACTGTTGTGAAAGTCTTTACAAAGCTATTCTAGACTGCTTTTCTGTGTGCTGTCCAGAGGCCCCTGCAGCTCTAGGCAGCATCCCCACAGTTGAGTGCTCGGGCCTCATGCTGTGCTACTAGTAAGGTCACACACATGTCACTTGGGCACCTGTCCAGAGCTGTCTCTTTAAAATTAAGGAATCCTTTTCTCCAACTTGGTTCTAAAATTCTCCAGCACCCCAGCCAGGAGGAGCAGCTGCACCTGGGATGAGGTGGGCAGCTAGAGAGGTAGAAAGAGGTCCTACACCATCATTTAGCCTCCGGTCTTTGCTGGCGCCACTCCAGCTGCAAGGTTGGGATGCATATACTTTGCACTCTCACTTACATTATCCTAGAACCCAAAGCAAGAGCATATTCAGAATGTGAGGCCAGCACTCAGCATCACCCACTGAAGGACACTGGGAGTGCAGGGACCTCAGTCCTCCGCTAAGTGAGGACTGGCAGGAGCCAGAGAACACCAAAGGTGGCCAATGTTGGACCACCTTTAAATGTCCCAAAGGGCCAGGCCTAGTGGCACACACCTCTAATCCCAGCATTTTGGGGGCTAAGGTAAGGGATCACAGCAAGTCAGAGGCCAGCCTGGGTTTCTTAGTGAGTTCAAGGACAGTCTAAAACACATAGTGAGACTCTGTCCCAAAAAGTGTCCTGGGAGATGCTTGAAGGTAGGATATTACTCTCGTCATTATTGCCCTGGACTCCACTTAACCTGCATCGTGCCTCATGCATTGGGAAAGAAATTCAAAGCCACCTTGGGAACAGGCAGTCCAACCTACAAGGTTTGAGACTCTGCCTTTGAGGTTCCCTGCAGCTCCAAGGCGATGGCCCCAGCAGATGTCAGGCAGTCAGGTAAGCATAGGCTGAGTGAATCTTTCCTAGGGCACTGTGGAGTCCTGTGTCTGCCAATGAGTATGCACCTGGAAATGACGCAATTACCAACCACTTGTCCACACCTAACATTGACTGCTATCCTCCGCAGTGTGGGCTCCTTTGGGCTTCTGGGCCAGTTGGCTCACCAAGAGCTCATCACCAATGGAAAGTCTGCCATTTGCTTTGTACAATCCTGTCCCAAGGTTGAAGTGATCCCCAGCCTTCACACGCTCATAAAGGATGCAGGTAGTTCTGGAAGGTACCTCAGCAAATGTGTTTGAAGATTCAGCAGCACATTTAAATTGTATGGTAGTGAGTTCTCCAGACAGCATAAAGAATGACTAAGGTGGCCATTTTTCCTTGACACTGTAGAAGGGATGAGGACTAAAGAAATCATTCCAAAGAGGACAACTTGGAGCCTTTCTTTAGAGCCAGACTAAAACTATAGTATCCAGGCTCCCTAATCATGAGACCAACCCTTTTTCTTAGAGGATTTTTAGCTCGCTGAAAAGAGAACTGAGTGGTCGTGTATTTGAAACAAATTGAGAAAAGTCCAAAGGACCTGGGCTGATGGTCGGCGGTCAGAGAAGAGCCCCACCCAGGCTGGGCTGGACACGGCCAGCTGCTCAGCAGGTCCCTTCCCACTCTTGGGTGTAGCTCTCATGAAACCAAATGCTGGCCACCTGCCTGTTGCCCCCAGGCATTGACAGGCTCACTCCAAAGACAATGGGGCAGATGACTTTCCCATCATGAGGGAGGACAAGTTGGCAGGCCTGAAAGCTGGATGGACTGAGAACTCACTACCCCTTCACACCCCAAGATGGCATTTCTCAAGCAGACCCCATCTGATCAGACCTCCAGCTGCCCAGCTCATACTCATTGATGCTTACACCAAATATGGTACTGCAGCTGATATTTGGGGCAACCCTGCCCTGCCTTGGAGTTGGCAGAGAGTAGCAGCAGCAATAAGCATTCAGTGAACGGTTGAAAGAGCTGTTGAGCTAAGAGGCCTTTAGGGGCTTAGTGACTTTCAGGGTTCCTCATAGCCCTCAAAGGCTTTGTCTGTGAAAGAAAGCCAGTAGTGTCCGATGAGAAAACTGAGCCTCCATTCGTGGTTTTCAAAGGGGGATGATGAATGTGAAACCACCGCAGGATGCGCTAGAGTCCGGTTTTTCTGTGCTTTGTCATTTTACTGATAGGAACTTTTGTTACTTAACTCTGTATAACTTATTTAATGTACTGTATAAATGAACCAAAACCATTAAATATGTATTTAGTTTGTTCTACTTAGTCAATAAAAGGCTATATTCCTTTTCTGACTCAAGCTGGCCGCGGCCTGGGAGGGAAGATGTGCACGGAGCACCTTACCCCCAGGACTATGGATCCCCCTCCACTGGTTCCCATGTCTCTTGGGAGAGGGGCTCTAACTGTTCCTTCTGTGGCCTGAAGGGGCTGAAAGCAGAAAGCAGGAGGTGGGCAGCCAAGGAAATGGCTCCTGGCAGGAGCCTTACACACGTGCAGCCAGAGTTGGGAAGAGGATGACCAAGCTGGCTGTCATGTGCCAACTTGGCACAACATTTTAGATGCTCCAGGTTCCTTTTCTCCAATGATCGGGGGAGGGAGCTGTGGATGGAACCTAGGCCCTTGAGCAAGGGAAGTATGTTACCAAGGAGTTACACCCCCAAGTTTTTATTTTGAGACTAAGTTCTTTCTAAACTACCCAGGCTAGGCAGCAACCTGCACTCCTGCCTCATCCTTCTGAGTAACTACACTTAAAGGCATACACCAACGTGCCTGAATTTTAATCATTTTTTGTGGGCTTCTTTGTTTTGGTGTATTTCGTTTGTTTTTGTCTTTTTGAGACAGGGTTTTGCTATGCACTTCAGGCTGACCTTGAACTCACTTTGTAGCCCAGGCTAGCCTCAACTCATAGGGATCCTTCTGCCTCAGTTTTTGAGTATTGGGATTACAGGTGTGTGCCACCACACCCAACTCTTGGGTTCTTCTATGTATTGCAGGCTGACCTTGAACTCACCATATAGCCTAGGCTGACCCTGAACTCTCAGCAGTCCTGCCTTGGCCTTCCCAGTGCTGGGATTATAGGTGTGTGCCACCATGCCCTGCTTTCCTTATGATATACTTGTTAACATATTTGAACTTGGGTATTTGCTTGTGTCCTTTTTTCACTGATGTTAAATCCTAATTTAACTGTTGCCTTTACATTTACTTGCTAAATGATCGCATCATTTGAGACCATGATTTTCTTCATACTTCCTTTCTTACTGGGGACAACTGACCTTTCATGTCTTCCATGTATGATATATTGAAGTAAACATCTCCCAAGTCCGTTATTTCCTTAGGATAGTTTTCCCAAGAAATACTAGTAATGAGCGTTTCTTGCATTCTTGAAAGTGTTCACTTTCACTAGGAAGCAGCATCTTGCAGTCCCTCTAGCAGCCTACAGGTAGATCATACTCCTGTGGCCCTGAGATCAGTGCAGAGGGACTGTGCACTAGCTGTCCTAGCTGTGTCTTAGCTGTCAGTCTGCTTAACTAGCCATGAGCTGAGCTCCAGTTCCCAAGCCCTGGACCCTGCCTCATGCCTGTTGCCTAAATACCTTTTGCTGCCCTTTGTGCTCTCCGCTGCCTTCCATCCACCTTTCCAGAGTGGCCCCACCCTAGGGCCTTACTGGCATCACCAGATTCCCAGGCTTTCCAGAATGCAGACTTTGAGTTGATTTGCGGGAGCGGGAGGCTGGTTGGCAACCTTGTTCCCCAGGGGCAATGTAGGGACTTAGCTGTGTTATCTTCTGTGTAGGTAGTGTAACCACTAGCCTTTCTCTATTGTGCTGAGTTCCCCCCACGAGGAGCAGTGACAGAAGCCCAGCTGTGGAACTGTACCTTAGCACAAGAGTTCTGTGTTTGTATAAGGCAGTTTGCCATTAAAATGGCAGGCTGAGTCACTTCATTACCACAAAATACCCAGATGCTAGATGAATTACAATAAATATACTTTTTACACTTTTTTTTTTCTTTTTATCAGTACTGGGGATTGAACGCAACGACTGTCTGCTTGCAAGGCAGGTGCTTATGCCGCTGAGCTAAATCACCAGCCCCAAAATATACTTTTTAACTGCATTGCTGAGATCACAGATGAGAAAATACAGGAATCCCCAAGGGCCAGAAATAAGGATAAGCGGATAAGCTCAAACCACAGAGATAGTTAAATACAAAAGAAGGAATCTTTGTGGCTTGGTGGTGGGGAGCGCTCTGAGCACTTAGTTTGTGAAACTGACTGCCTGGGCAAGAAGACAGTGAAAGGGCCCTGAGCCCTGGCTCCCTGCTCCCTGAAGGGCCCTGAGCCCTGGCTCCCTGCTCCCTGAAGGGCCCTGAGCCCTGGCTCCCTGCTCCCTGAAGGGCCCTGAGCCCTGGCTCCCTGCTCCCTGAAGGGCCCTGAGCCCTGGCTCCCTGCTCCCTGAAGGGCCCTGAGCCCTGGCTCCCTGCTCCCTGAAGGGCCCTGAGCCCTGGCTCCCTGCTCCCTGAAGGGCCCTGAGCCCTGGCTCCCTGCTCCCTGAAGGGCCCTGAGCCCTGGCTCCCTGCTCCCTGAAGGGCCCTGAGCCCTGGCTCCCTGCTCCCTGAAGCCTGTGAAAAGGCTGTCAGCAATGGAGCCAAGCCGGAGACCTCTCTGCCCCTGTGTGACAGCAGTAAGAGAGCCTCACCAGAGACTAACTCTAGGTCTGCTCTTTCCTAAGCCTGGGCATCAGGGTTTCAAGACTTCGGAGGTTAAAGAATTCCAGAACTGAGATATGATGGTTCTACGCTTGCACCTCCTGGTGTCTGGCTGAAGCAAAACTCCAAGCTTCAGAAGAAAATTATCCTTAAGTACCTTCAGGGCCCCTATACTAGTACATTTCAACTCTATTATAAGGGGTCAAGAAAAATTACCATTCAAGGAAATGAGCCACAACAAGCAAGAGTCAGCAGAAGCAATGATTAATTTAGATCCCAGGATTTCAGATATTGGAGCGATCAGATGCAAATTATATTCATTATGGTTATAATTCAAAATGATTATATTCATTAGAAACTTAGGAGGAGGGCCAGGAACTTAGCTCAGTGGTCTAAGCACCTGCCTGGCAAGCATGATGTTGTAAGTTTGATCCCTGGGACCATTAAAGAAAAAAAAACTTAGGAGGTGCTACAAAAAGAATAAAAAAGAGACTATGAAAGTGACTAAGTAGTTTTGAAGATAGAATTCCAAGCCCTGTGTGGTGGCACAGACCTGTAAACCTAGCAGTCAGAGACTGTGACAGAAGGATCCCAAATTCAAGATAAATGGAATTACATATCAAGTGCAAGGCCAGTCTGTACTACATAGCCACCATCATATAGAGAATTTGGGAAATGACAGTTGTCAGTACATCATTAAAAAGCAAATCAGATGAACCTAAAGTGGTTAGTGACACACTGTCAGATGACTGTGTCACTGAGATGGAAATGGTCAACTGCAGTTGTCTTGGAAGGGAAGTAGGGAAGGGAGAGCCCTTGCATATTCTATCAAGGATGGAGTCCTTAATTTGGGTTTCTGAATGTAAATTTAGGGAAAAGTTAGCATCTCAGGAGCAGCAAATGCAGCGATCTGAACTCACCATGCCCCTGTGCTTGTTTTTGACTGCTGATATGTCAAGTTGGTGGATTCAACATATCTGCCCCCTACCCTCCAACAGCCCTTCACGGTCCCTTGTTTCATTTCCTAGTCAGGCGCCCTCTGGTGGAAAAAAGTGGACTTGCTGCTTCCATCTAAAAGCCAGATTCCTATCTAGGATGACACGACTGCTACTTTTGCCCTCCTTTGTGCATTAGTCTTTTCTGAGAGGATTTGTTTCTGCTCCACGAATTCAAATAATATTCTCCGAGTACCTTCTTCGGAGTTCCAGAAATGATCAGGGTTTTGTTTCCCCCACCCCCAATCTTCCAAGCCCTCACACCCTCTGGCTTACTCTGGGCTCCCACCAGACCCAAAGCCAGGACTCTCTCCCTCCTTTTGTCCTAGCAGCCCCTGCATTTCCAGCAGCAGAGGATCTACTCGGCATTTTTCACTCTTGGCAACAAGTAGCTGCTGGTGCTGAGGAGGTCCCTGTTGTGCATCCAGGCAATGTACCTAACACTCTGTACTGAGCTGGCCATGCCTTGTGCCACTGGACTGTGGAGAAGGTGCAACCCCTAGCTGGGGCCAGGCACTCTGTGAATAAGGTTGCCCTCATGCCCTATTCCTCTCCCAGCCAATCTGTTTCTCCTTGAAGGTTTCTCTTTTTCCCTAGGATCCTGCATGGAGCCTTCATTTCAACTTGTTAGAAACCATCAAGGGGAATTGGCAGCAGGGCAATGGCCAACATCTAGGCTGCCACTCTCTCCAGCACCTGGCCTACCACTGGAGCAATCCCCAGGTCAGGTCTAGACGTGTGCAGCTGACTAATGTGAGGACGGTGGGGAGCTGGGGTGGGGTGGGGTGGGGTGGGAGGTGGCTCCAGCTTTAGGACCCTGCCTACACTGTCCTGGCTGCTGACATTAGCTCAGGATGTTTCATCTCCTAGCACCTGCCCAAAGCAAGGGCTGAAGAGCCACCCAGAGCAGTGCACTGTGGGCAAGACCGGAAAAGGTGACCTGGAGCTCATGGCTGGCCTGAAAAAGCCTTTCTGTAGTGGACAGAGGTAAGAGGGCCAGAAGGTGGTGACTGAAGTTACAGATGGCCTACCTCAGGCAAAAAGTGATTGAAAGGAGGCTGCACATATTGGGAGAGGGCTCATCAGGAAGGCCTTGCCTGCCAGGACGAGATACCAAGCTTGAATTCTGGGAGTATAACTCAGCTGTAGATCGCATGCTCAGTGTGCACACAGTGCCCTCGTACAGTAAAAGCCAAACCTGATACTGAAGAAAGTGGAGGTGCCTGGGATGTGGTCACCAAGGCAGTGTTCTGAGAGCCCCACTCCCTGGCTGCTGTATGGTCCTTGGTGGGCAGAGAGGAGCTGGTAGCCTAACGAAGGTACTTCTTCTTCCCAAAGGGTGTGCGCATGCAAAGGGGTAGCAGTAGTAGCCTGAGAAGATGGAGCTGAGCATAGGCTTGTGAGAGGAGACTCATCACAAACACCTGTCTGTGTCCTCGCTGCCCCAGTCAGCTCAGACCTGAGTCCTCCTGTGGCTGTGATTCCAGCCTCCATCTGTGTCTGTCCCCACACTCCGCAGACTCCCCTTCCTGAGCACCATGCAGCCCCCTCCTTACATGCCAGGTTCCCCTCCACGCCCCTGCAGACAGCAGTCTTCCTGCCCATTCGCCTCTCCAGTCCTCTCAGCATTCAAGGCTGAGACCAAATGATGTCTCCAAAGGCTTCTCCTGACCCTGCAGAATAGACGCCCCTTCTCCTGTACCATCTGTCCCAGCCTCCCAAGTCTTCAGCAAGGGAGGGAGGACACAGCAACTTATAAGGTGTTAGCCAGGAGTGATGGCTCAGCCTGTAATCTCAGAACTGGGGAGGCTGAGGCAGGAGGATTATTGTGAGTTGGAGGCCAACCTAGGGTATATAGTAAGTTCAAAGCCAGCCTGAACTACATGGTGAGACCCTGCCCCAAAACACCATAAGTAGTTAACGCTGCAAAGCAGGGTGCCTGGGCACCTGATTAAGGAGGCCTCCTGCACAGCAGGTGCTGGAAACGTCCACGGTTTGGTTTAAAGATGGCAATGGGAAGTCTGTTTCGTCTTGCAGTGCTGGGGATGAAACCCAGAGCCTCCTGCATACTAAGCATGTGCTGTACCACTGAGCTACACCCCAGCCCCAGTTTTTTAGTTTGAGATTTTTGGCTTGTTTTGTGGAACTGCAACACAGAACAGAGCACAGGACTAGTTCCCCCAGGGTGGGCTTTCTCTGTAACAGACACAATGAACCAGGGGCCTGGGATCCAAACCCTCCCAAGCCAGCCCAGTGCTCATGTGGGACAGGTGCTGGCAGCACATTCTGGGAACTGCCAGGAGTCTGGAGGTGAAAGTGGGCACCCTGGCACAGCACTGGCTAATGACCTACTAGGGATCCCCCACTCTGGGTCCCTGGCCTGGGCAGCCAGCCCAGGCAGAGAACTACATCCTGCAGGGGTCACCACAGAGAAACTGCAGGCAGGAGACACCGTGCCCAGAAGCCAGGCTCCTGCCCCCAGCCAGGAGCTGACCGCCCAGAGGGATTGGGAACCCTGTGGAAATGTTAGCGGCCTATCAGCTTTACCTGGCTTAAAGCTTGCTGTGGCTTCCTCAGGATGAAGCACCTCCTCAGGGGCACTGCCTTGCAGCCACACCAGCTCACGCCCCTCACCCCATGCTCAGCCTCAGAGACTCCCGACCCCAGACTCCCAGTCAAGGCCAGCTAACCCTCAAGGGGGTACATGGCTTCCATTTTCAGAGAACCACTTTAGAGGTCCCCGTTGGCCACCCAATAGTCTCTCACCCCAGGAGGGCTCCCTGAGGCTGGTAGGTCTAATGGCATTCTCCAGGATGATATTACTGGCAGTGGTGGTGACAAGTTCAACCTGGCAGGGTAGATCCTGTCTCAGGACGGGTCTTCCACAGGGATCTAGCCAAGCTCTTTAGAAGTCTGAGGAGGCTCCATGTGGGGTGAAGCTAGAACCCCTAGAAAATTTTAGACCATGTCATCCCCTTTCGCAGGCAGGACCCATAAGCAGGACCCTAAGTGGAGGAATGGCACAGTAAAGGTTCTGCAAGTGTGGGAGCTGTAGCTGGAAGCAGGTGGATTTTTTTTTTTTTTTTTTGTCTTTTTCCTTTTTATCGGTACCAGGGATGGAACTCACTCACGACTGCCTGCTTGCAAGGCAGGCGCTTATGCCGCCGAACTAAATCCCCAGCCCCAAGCCGGTGGATTTTTAAACACAGGCTTCCAACCCTGAGAGTCTGGTCAGGGAGACATGGCCCCATGGCTTGGTTTCACCAAGGGAGAAAAAGGAGACATCAGGGATGAGCACTGCCTTTATTGCCCCTGCACTGGGGTCCCACGCTAGGATGCAGAGGTCTGTGGGGGAAGCAGATGACTCTAAGCCCAAATTATTGCTACTTGGCAAAGTTACCTTGGAGCTTCCCATAGTGCCCTGAGAATGGGTGGGATGTGGGCATGCAAATGATATGCAAATGACATGCAAACCAACCCAGGATCCTCCAGAGATCTCTGGCGAACTATGGGTGTTGGAAGTCCAGTGGGTGCAGGAGAATGATGGGGACACCCAGGTCCTTATTCCACATTGCAGACTGATCCGGCTCAGTCTCAGGGGCGAGGTTCAAGGGGTTGAGGGTCCCTGAGCATCAGCCCTGGTTCTGCCGCTGGTTGGGGAAAAGCAGAAACCTGGCCCCAAGACAGCAGGAAGAAAGCAGGACACTGGGAGTCAACCAGAGAGGGAAGGGACCTGCTTAGTTACATAGCAAGGCAGGAGCAAAAGGGACAAAGTCCAGGCCTCCTGTGCCAGGTGGAAAACTTCAGATGCCTGGAAGGCTGAAGCTACAAACAAAAAATACACCAATAGTAACAAATAAGCAGCCCAGTCCCTGAGCCCTGGCGCTGAGCCCCTCTCCCAGCTGGCCAGGCCCAGGTCTAGGAGGCGCCAGGGTCCTTGCTCTTGGTGCTGAGATGACCAGTGCAGAAGGAATCAGGCAAGGCCTTCCGGATCCTTGGTGTAAGCAAGTCAGGCTCAGTTGTTATTCATGATCCACCAGGAGGCTGGGGGTCAGAGACTAGGGGTCAGGAGCCACTGGGGACCCTGGCCCACCCCTCCTGTCCCAAGGGCTGCAGCATACCTGGGAAGAACACAGTGGTGAGAGTGTCCGGGGCTCGCAGGTGGTCAATGAGGATGCGCTGGAAGGCCTTGCTGCAGGGCGCCTGCTGGTGCCTAGGGAGGGCCAAGGATGGATGGGACCGAGGCTGCAGCCATCTGCTTCAAGATCAGGGCCACTGCTCTTGGGTTCCCCAACCCTATCCCAGTTCTGCTGTCTGGATTCAGTCCCAGGCCTTCTCCACACTGGCTCAGAACCTCAGTTTTCTTTTTTTTCTTTTTTTAAAGAAAGGGCCCCGCTGTATAGTCCAGGCTGGCCTTAAACTCGCAGTGATCCTCCTGCCTCAGCCACACAAATGCTGGAATTACAGGCATGTGCCACCATGCCCAGCAATCAGTTTTGTCCTATGTGAAATGGGGACAAATCTACCTCACTGGGATCCTGTGAGGGTTAAGGGATGATTCATACAAAGTATCTGGCATAGGCACAAAGTGACAACAGAGTACATTCATTTGATGCCTACTGTATACCAGGCACTGTACTCAGGGTATCTTGTTTGTTTTGCAGTACTAGAGATTAAACCCAAGGCCTTCACACAGAGCTACATTCCCAGGCCTTTTTTTTGTTTTGTTTTGTTTGTTTGTTTTTAGATAGGGTCTTGCTAAGTTGCCTAGGCTGTGCTTAAAACTTCTTGTCTTTTTTTTTTATCAGTACTGGGGATCGAACTCACGACCGCCTGCTTACAAGGCAGGTGCTTATGCCGCTGAGCTAAATCCCCAGCCCCTGTGCTTAAAACTTCAATCCTGCCTCAGCTTCCCAAAGTACTAGAGTTACAGGCACATACCACCAGGCCTGGCTTGTATTCAGTTGTTTAAACATTATATTCAGACCATCTGTGAGAGGTTAGCTGTTGTCACCCCCACTGTGGAAAAGCAGATGGCTGGAGCTCTGACAGGTTAGGTAACTCTGCTGAGGTCACACAGCTAGTAAGTGGGACAGCAGGACCTGAACCAGGCCTGACCTGCTCCAGGGCCCATACTCACTTTAGCTGTAGGACCACCGCTCATACCTTCTCCAGGAGGCTTCATCCTGCCAAAACTCGTACAGGGTATAGGAGGTGTTGTCCAGCATCTTATGGGCAGACACACTGTGGGGCCAAAGAGATGGCCAGGCCAGGCCGGAGCTGCTATCACTGCTGCCCCAGTAGCCAGGGTCTCATGGGAACCCTGCCCAGAGCATCCAGCCCAGCACCCTCCTCTGCCCACGCCTCCCCACCTTGGCCATCCCACCAATAACTGGGGACTCACTGCAGACAATGACTCTGGGCCCCTGTGAAGTCCACATAGCAGCAAAGGGCTCGGTGGAAGTCCCGCAGGGCAGATTCGGCCACCTGCACCTGCCGCTGGGCCACGAGTATGTACTATCGAGAGGAGTGGCCAGTCAGCCAGGGTGGGGTAGGCACAGTGCAGGCAACTGTACCCTTCCTGACATCTGGCCATCTTGGGGTCAGCCCCTGTTATCAACAAGCCCTCGGGCGCCACTGACTCCTCCCCTCCCTCCAAGGTCACTGCTCAATCCAGCCATTGTCCCTCTCTTCTGCAATATGTCACCACTTCCCACTGTCCCCTCCCACTTCCCTCCTCTACCCCAGACCCAGGTTTCAGATATGCTGATGTGGGAACCGACACCCTGAGGGAGTCAGATTTCTGCAGGGTCTCAAAGCAAGGACCAGAACCAGCCTCTGCCTGCCAGGCCTGGTAAAGGGGCACATGTAGGCTGCTGGCCTCATAAACATAAGCCCCTGGCCTTGCTGAGTACACAGGTCTGACATCCAGCAGCCTGCCCCTCCCTGGGCTCACCGAGTCAGGACCCTTGGTGAGGTCCTCTTCATGCAGAGGTTCCAACCGGGGGGCCTATGATGGACACAGAATGTAGGCCGAGTCTCCAGTACAGGCCTGCCTTACGCTGATGCCAGGGAAGTCCTTCCCGAGGGACACTGGCCACACAGCACCCACCTTGCACTCGAGCTGGTCTATGAGCTCCTGAAGACGGTTGACCTGGAGCCGCCACTGCATTGCAGCCTCTGAGTTCTTCCCTAAGGATGGGTTCCAGGGAGGGGATCAGCACTAGACCCCTGAGGCTAGAGAACTCCAGACAAACTAGGGAGCCATAAAGGATCAGGCACTGGGGGACAAAAGGGGTGCCATATCTTCCCTGGACCCTCCTCAGCCAGGTACTGGTCCCACACCTATGTCAGAAGAGCCAGGAGACCAGGTGGGGGACCGGCTGACACTCCTCAGAGCCCTTCGTCCTGCCCGCCGGCTGCCACGGAGCCTCCTCTGCATTTCTATATTCTCTTCCTCCGACCTAGGGGGAATAGAGGGTCAGTGCATTGCCCCAGAGTTACAGAGGTAAGGACTGGGGTCCAGGACAGAACTAGTTCTGAGTGGGCCCAAACAGGCCTCCTGGGACTCCGAGACCCAATCCCGTACCAGCCACCCTTTCTCACCTGCTCATGGCCTCCCCTCCTTGTATGCTGTCCCCTGCCGAATGTGGTAACACAGAGGGATGTGAACTGCAGGAATGATGGGCACTCACACTCTGGACCCGCAGACTGGCAAGGCCCTGGTATATGATGGGCCACGGGCCTGGGCCTCCAGGGTGTCCGATGCACCCTCCAGAGAGTTCTGCAGAGCCTGGAGCTGGCTGGCTGTCTCCCGCAGCAGGAAGCGTGTCACAAACTGGTCCACCTTGGAGGCCTGCTCATATTCCTGAGGGCACAGGGCCAGTCAGCATCTCCAGCCCTGAGCATATTTCAGAGCAGGGAGCTGTCTCCCTGGTGGGCTACTACTTGCCCATCAGAGAAGCAGTGGACGAGGGCAGGGAAGATGTGGCACAGCAGTTTGGTGGGCAAGGGGAGCTCAGATCCTCCTTGGTGAGGCCTGGCCTCTCTTCCTGCAGCTGGGAGGCCAACCCACAGGGAGCCTATGCCAGCTGGCATGACAGCATTTTAGACCTCAAATTTTCTTTCCTATTGAGGCTACCACCTTCAGCTTTCTACAGCCAGTGAGGCCCCCACGCACAGCTGGGCAAGGTGGTGGCTAGAGGGCCTTCAAGGGCCAATTTTAAGTGTACAAAATGATGGTGAGATATAGCTCCATTCCTACCAGCTGGCCCCAAACTCACAATCTACATATGCATCCATCCATGCAACACACATTAACTGTGTACCTTTGGCTAGGAGGTACAGATACGCAACCATCACATCACAGTCTGTGCCTGTTTCCCCACCTCCAAAACAGGAATGATTATACCCCTCACCCTGAGCCTTTGGAAGCCTCCTCACCCCGGCTAATTCCTACATAGAATTCCACCCAGTGCCTGGTACACAAGTCCTCCATATAGGAATTGTCCTCTTTTTGTTTTTGGTGCCAAGATATCACACATGCTAGACAAGCACTCTCTCTACCTCCAAGCTACACTCTCAGCCCTTTCACTGTGAAGTAGGACCTCATGAAATTACCAGGCTGGGCTTAAACTTCTGAGTTTCAGGGGCTGGGGATTTAGCTCAGCAGCATAAGCGCCTGCCTTGCAAGCAGGCAGTCATGAGTTCGATCCCCAGTACCAATAAAAACGAAAACAAAAAAGACCAAAAAAAAAAAAAAAACTTCTGAGTTTCCTGCTTCAGCCTCTCAAGAAGATGGGATTGCAGGCATGCATCACTATGCCCAGCTCTGTCATTTATACTGTGAAACATACTACTAATAAGCAATCTGCCGGGCCTGGGGATTTAGCTCAGTGGCATAAGCACCTGCCTTTCAAGTGTGCGGTCATGAGTTCGATCCCTGGTACCGATAAAAAAGAAAAAGACAAAAAAAAAAAAAAAAAAAAAAGCAATCTGCCTATCTGTACACCTCTCAGTCACAGGTGCTCTGAGATCCCACACCTCCAACCATACACACACAACCTGGGATGAGAGTCCTGGGCCATCAAGGACTTCATCTCTTGTCCATGGACTGCTTCATTTCAGCCAACACAGAGGATCCCTCCTGAGCCAGGTTATAGGCTTAGAGACTGGGTTCTGCCATTCTCAAACACTGATTTCTAGATGCATGAAACCCTAACAGTAAATTTTCTGCCTAAGATGACCAATCAGTTTTTGTTGCAACCCAAGAACCTGGCAGAGATGGCAAAGCACCTACCCTGTGCCAGGCACTGTTCCAAGAATTGTACTTAATATGTTGGGTGTGGTGGTACACACCTGTAATCCTAGCACTTGGGGGGTTTAGGCAGGAGGATCACTGTGAGTTTGAGACCAACCTGGGCTACCTAGTGAGTTCAAAGTCAGCCCAGACTACATAGTGAGACCCTGTCTCCAAAAAAACATACAAAAAAGAATTTCACTTAAGCCTCATAGTACTTTACAGGAGTCATTACTGACCCCATTCACAGATGAGAAGACTGGAGCTTAGAGAAGCTGGTTAGTTTAGCCAGGGTCACCAGCTGGCAGGGCCACAATTCAAACCCAAGTCAGAAATTCCTTTCTACTGATACTAAATATCTGATAGGCACTGCTTCATTTATGATCATTATCGATCCCTGGTACCAAAAAAAAAAAAAAATCTATGATCATTATTAGCCTCGTTGTACAACTCAGAAATCAAACCTAGGAGAAGTCACAGAGTGAAAGGAGCCAAGATTCACCTAGATTCTGGGGGTAGGAACTCAGAGCCTGACTGATGAGGTCACAATGTGGCCTTCCCAACACAGGGCCAGCCAGGGCCCTAAGCCAGAAGGCAGGGCAGAGGTAGCATGGGCTGTGGCCCCTGAGGTGACCAGCTCTGCCATGGGAAACAGCAGTTCTCACAAGAGGACCAACGCACCCAAGCAGCCACTCGAGGAGAGGCCACCAGATATGGACAAGGCCGAGGGGCAGCAGTTCTTCAGCCACTTTAAGCAGAAGAAGCTGAATGTGCGTGTAGGGTGGGGATGGGGGACTAGCAGGGGGTCAGCTGCCCTGGACAGGAGGGCAGGTAGGGGTGCTGGGAGTCTAGACAGTTCTACAGACAGGAGAAGGGTTAGAGGATTCTCCTTGAGGATGAGGGTCCCAAGAGCCCACATGGGTCTGGGCCTGGGTCTGGGTAATACAGCACAGAAGGGAGGGCAGGGATCCCAGAGACAGAGGTGCAGGAGATCGGGATTGGGTGGCGGGAGGAGAGGCAGGAGAAAGGCAATTCTCAGCAGAGGCTGTGCTTGGAGATCAGGCATGGGGAAGCAGCTTTCCTTGATAGCAGCGAGCTACAGACACAAATTCCCCTCTCCTTCTCTCCAGTAGACAGGGATATCCCAACACAGATCAGCCTGGGGTAGGAAAGGCTTTCCAGAAGGAGGCGGGGATCTCGGCCAGCAGGCCAGCAGAGACCGCAGGAGGGAGGCTCCCTGACCTCAGGCAGGGAAGGCCTGATGCGACTGTGGGAGGCCTTTTGGCAGGCTAAGGACAACACAAGGCCTAATAGTTGTGAGGACCATGAGGGTCCCTGGAAGGAGGGCCGGGAGGTCCTAGGTCCTGGCTCAGGGCGCGCTCTTCTCCTCACATTCTGCGCACCTCCAGGCCAAGATCGTGCTGCTTTTCCCTGTGGACAAGTGGCAGCAGCGGACTGAGGTGGCGGGTCTGGGTGTGCGTGCGCAGCGGCCCTATGAGGAAGCGACTGGTGTCCAGGGAGGCATCCCAGCGTCTCGTATGCTTCAAGGAGCCGGAGACGCCCCGGATCAGCGCGAGCAGGTGCGCAGGTACAAGCTGAGGGTCCAAGTCCTGCTCCTGAGGCTGAACTCCAGACTGCAGGATGAAGCCTATCGCGCCGCGGGCGGGGCCAGACCTGGGGGCGGAGCCTCAGACCACAGGGCGGGGCCAAAGCCCGAGCAGGACCAGCAGCAACGGTTCTCCAACCTGCTGAACCGGAGTGAGGCGGACACCGAGTGCGCTCACGGCAAGCGGCGGTGGCGCTTCATTCGCTCACGGCCCTGAGTGCCCGGCCGGGTCCCGGCCTAATAAAGAGCGCATAGCAACCCTTGGCGTCTGTTAGCTCTGTTTGGGCCACTGGGGTGCAAGCAAAGTGAGGTCCAGCCAACGAAGGAATGAATAAGGCAGACGACTGGCAGCACCGTGATCTGAAGCCAGAGCTGACTTAGGCTTCTCTTTTTCTTTCTTTTTTTTTTTTTTTTTTTTTGGCTTTTTTGGAGACAGGGTCTCTCTATACAGTCAGGCTGGCCTTGAGCTCACTTTGTAGCCTAGGCTGGTCTGGAACTCTCCTTGCCTCAGCCTCCTGAGTGCTGGGATGACAGGTGTGAGCCATCACGCCCAGCTGGCTTCTCTTTCCTGTGACACAAGCTCAGAACCAGAACTGTCTCCCTAACACTCCAAGCCAGGATCAGTCCCTACTGGCCCAAGAGAGATGAGCTCGAAAAAACCTAGGATTTTCAATAGAAGAGAGACCCATTTCTAGCAAAATTCTGACATGTCCCATAGGACACAGCATTCAGACATTGCTCTTAGGCAGGACAGTCCTGCGGCCAGAAGGGAGAGGTGGCCCACACTCAGATTTTTTAAGCACTCAGCCCTCCTAGACTGAATTTGACCAAGGGGTCAAATTTAGCATCTGTCTCCCATTCTACCTTGTCCCATCCCCTTCACATTTAGCCAAAGGCTTCTTCCAAATCCCTTATCTGTCCAGAGAAGTTTACTTTCCTATTCATAAGTCTGACTGGTTCTCCACTACTGTCAGCAAAAAGTTAAAATGTATTATTGAGACACAGGCCCAGCTCCCTGGCTCCGTCTTCTCCAGTTAGTGCTTTGGTGGTTGGTTGCCCCCTCTGGCCATACTGGCACATGGGGTCTCTAATGTGAGGTTCATGCCCTACATCACTCATGAGAAGCCCCCCAGCAGACACTGTGCAGGAGGAGCCTGTGTCCCAAATCCAACTACAAATCCTAAAGCCACCTCAGCCTTGCCAAAGTGGCAGCCTGCCTTGCTGAGGCAGATGTAGCAGGATGAAAGTCCCAGCTCTCTTTCCAGCGACAGGCCCAGCTTCTGCTGAATTTTTATTTTGAGACAGGGTCTCACTATGTGACCATCCTGCCTCAGCCTCTGAAGTGCTGGGATTATAAGCATGCATCACCATGCCTGGCTAAAATACATTTCTGTCACTCAACACATCTCTTTCTTCACAAGGACTGCCATCAGGCTGGCTGGAGCATGACACGTGGCATATCTGACTACCCTTCCATCTACATGACGATCAGGGTAACCATGCTCATGCTGACCCTGTCAGCCCCTTCCCTGTGACCGTAACTCAGGACGTGAAAGAGAACATGTTTTATACTTGAATATGCACTGGCAAAAGCTGGTCTTCAGAAAAAACAATGGAGGGGCTGAGGATACACCTCTGCAGTGGAGCACATACTCAGCATGCACAAGGCCCTGGGTTCCATCTCCAGAACCAAAACAAACAAACAAAAAAAACCCACAATGCAAAGGCAGCACGCATCCGGGTAACCAATCCTGTAGTCAGATTCTGCTCCTGAGTTCAGTAGAATCTTCTACTGCCAACTAAAATGGCCCTAACAGAATTACCTCTGCAGAAACAAGAAGTGGCCTCTCTCCTATGAGGGTTACCACCACCTTTTGGAGGAAGAAAGAGCACGGAGAAAGAATGACAAGCTCAGGGTTGGGCGGGGTCCTCTGAGCAGCTGCAGATATGAATAGCTTTCTGTTCAGCACAGAGTGGAAGGGTGAAATCTACAGCCAAAGGACAGCAGATAACCTAAAGCGATTGTATTGAGCAGCTGAGGTCAGGCCATGGATGCTCAAATCCGTGGAGAGGGCAATGGTCTAGGGAGTTTTCACGGGGACGGGGTGGGCGCAGAACATTGGCAGTGTGGAGAACTGAGGTCACAATGAGTCCGATCCAAGTTCTATCTTCTTTGACTATACCCTTCCACTTTCACAACCAGGAACTGCTTAGGCCACATCAGGTGAAGCACCAGGTAAGCAGCAGCCGGGGCATAAAGAAGGGCTGTGCCCAAGGGGGAACTGTATGTCCAGATGGCCTTGCCACTAAGCCCCTTTCTCTCCAGGGCTCTGCTCTTCCCAGCAGCTTTTCCATACCGAAAAGGATTTGGTCTGACCCGTTTGTCCTCAGCATCAGCAAGGCCCAAGGGGACAGAGCAGAAGTGCTGAGCTCCGACTCCTGGAGAAACCCACTAGACAGAACCGGAAGCCAGGGGCGGGTCCACTCTGCCAGAAGAGGAAGAGGTGGAGCTTTGGGGCCAGTGGGCAGATCCAAAAGAAAGGGTCGCAGATCCAGCCCAAGAAAGGAGAGACCTAGGGATAGGCTAGACCCTTCAACGAGAAGGTGGCCTCTGTGTCTGGTGGTCACCGGCCCGGCCGGCCGCCCTCACTGAGCCACGTTGCGGTAGTGGTGGACCATGGCTCGGGCTTCACCAAGGCGGGCTTCGCGGGCGAGGGCCAGCCGCGCATAGTGCTCAAGAGCTCCAGCCTGGTGCCTAGCTGGGACCGGCCCTTGAGGCCGGGCGAGGCGGATTGCAAGCTGGCGGGCGGCGTGGCTCGCGTACATCCCATCAAGCACGGCGTGGTGGTGGACTGGGAAGCGCTGGAGGGGCTGTGGGAGCGCCTGCTGGTGGGGGGCCTGCGGGTGTGCCCGGAGCAGTGGCCCGTGCTGGTGAGCGACTCGCCTTCGGCGCCGCCTGAGGCCCGTGAGAAGGTTACCGAGCTGTTGTTCGAGGCCTTGGCAGTGCCCGCGTGCCACGTGGCCAGCACGGCGCTGCTGGCGCTCTGCTCTGCCGGCGCGCTCAGCGGGCTGGCGGTGGAGGCGGGCGCGGGCGTGTGCCACGCCACGCCTGTCTACGCAGGGCATTCGTGGCTCAAGGCCACCTTCCGGCTGGACGTGGCAGGCAGCACCCTGTCTCGCTACCTGCGAGAGCTGCTGGTAGCTGCGTGTCCCAACCTCCAACTGCAGGGCCTGCCGCGCAAAACCGTCACACAGCTCAAGAAGCGCTGCTGCTACGTGTCGCTGGACTTCGAGGGTGATCTTTGCGACCCTGCCCGACACCATCCGGCCAGTTTCCAAATGGGCAATGGGAGCTCTGTGTGCCTAGGCAGCGAGCGCTTCCGCTGCCCGGAACCCATCTTCCAGCCGCGTCTGCTAGGCCAGGCTGAGCCGGGGCTGCCCACGCTGGCCTTCCAGGCACTGCAGAAGATGCCCATGACGCTACGGAAACGGCTGGCCGACACTGTAGTCCTGGCCGGCGGTTCCACGCTTTTCCCTGGCTTTGCTGAGCGCATGAACCTAGAGCTGGAGGCGCAGTGCTGCCGGCACGGCTACCCGGCCCTACAGCCCCGCCTGGTGGCCAAGTCTGGGCGCGGCACGGCTGTGTGGACTGGAGGCTCCATGGTGGCCTCCTTGCACTCTTTCCAACGCGGCTGGATGACCCGGGCCATGTACCAGGAGTGTGGTTCCAGGCTGGTGCACGAAGTATTCAACTGACTGGGGGGAAGGGATGTGGTGTCACCAGGGGACACTACAGAGACAGAGCGCCAAGTTGAACTGCAGTTCTTCAGAGCAAGAGCACCAGATAAAAGAATCTCAGAGTCTGGAGTCCTCAAGTGTGGATGGGCCACCCCCACCCTGATCCCTTTCTGAATTAGGACAGGTGGTTTCAGGGTAGGGCCCACATTTTGACCGGCAGTACAAATCCCCCGCCCAACCACTGCCAGTTTAGAAAGTGCCAGTCCAAATGGCACCCCTAAGACCAGGCCCCTAACAGTGCTCCACCACCCAACTACATTTTTTTTTTTTTTTTCAGTACTAGGGATTGTGCTGAGCTACATCCCAGCCCTTTTTTATTACTATTTTTTTGGTAGCAGGAATTAAACTCACAGTCTTGTACTTGCCAGGCAGGCACTGTGTCACTGAGCTATATCCCTGGCCCGCCCTCTTTTGTTTTTTGAGACAAGTTCTCACTAAGTTACCTAGGTAGGGCTGAGACTACACATTCGTTCCTTAGCCTCCTAGAGTGCTGGCATTACAGGTGTGTACCACCATGCCCAGCTTTTACTTTTTATTTTGAGACAGGTCTTGCTAAATTGTTCCAAGCTGGTCTTGAAATTGCAGGCCATCCCTCTCAGGCTCCCAAGCAGCTAGGTTAAACAGGCATGAGCAAGCTTGAGGCAGCTACTACATTATATGTGAAAACAACTAAGAGCAATTAGTTCACTGTGTGCTAAGGTCTTTGGCTCTGAGGGTAATTCCTTTTCTCTGTAAAACAGGGTCAAGGCACTATCCTGGGCCTGCTCCCTGCTCCCTCCCCACCTTCCATAAGAACCATTGGCCAAGGACAGTAGATAATTTCTTAAACACCAAAGGCCCCTGTAATCCCAGAGTTTGAGAGGCTGAAGCACGAAGTGACCTCACCTCAAGTTTGAGGTCAGCCTGGACTACACAATGAGACCCTGTTTCAGAAAACCAAATTACAAAAGGACCACTGGAAGGGAGGTATGGCTTACTTCTCTGAAGTCACCACCCAAGGCCCCAGAGCCTGGCTGTTGGTACTGTCTACACTTGCACAATCTCAGGTCTCCACACATCACACAAGCTCCTGGCTGCACACACACACCTGCTATTCCCTTCTATCTTCAAGGGAAACCCCAACCATAGGCCCCTCAAACTAGCACACACCAGCATGGGAACCTGTGTCAGCACAACTGCTGTCCCAGGGCTCCCCGCTGGGGTACTGGCCAATACCAAGAACAAAAACGGCAGTGCTGTCCCAGGCATTGTTCTGGGTGCTGCAAACAGAGTAGAGAACAACACAGACAAAAATCCCTGCCTTCACTTTCATTTAATTGTGACAAGAAAAGGTAAGAGGTGGGCTCATTATCCCTGGTTTACAGATGGGGAAACTGAGGCCCAGAGAGGTTAAAGGGGCAGAGCCATAAAATGGAACTGTTGGCATTTGAACCCTGGCCTCTCTCTCCACAGCTCTGCTTGACAGGGTCCTCCCGCACAGCCCTGCCACTTACCAGTTTGGTAGTGTCCATGGCAGAGAGCACAGCTCGGTTCAGTGCCTCCAGGGCAGCCAGCACAGGCCGGTAGACACCCAGGTGCTTTGAAAAGTAGTCTGTGGACAGAAGCAGCACTCACAGACGTGGCTCCAACCACCTTCATAACTTACATGCTGCCTATCTGGGATTCCATAGCCACCAAGTAGACCCCTCATGCTGAGCCGGCCCATCCTGTCCTATCAGAAAGCCAGGCCCTTTACACATCCACCCGCCCAGGGTTCCCAGACACCAGGGCTCCTGTGGGCATACTCACCACACAGTTTCTCCGTCTCTAAATTGCTGTGGGTAAAGAAAAGGCATCTGTCTGAGCCTGAGATTTGGACCTGGCAAATGAGTTTGGAAGCCATTGCCCACACCACCCAGCTCCCAGCTCAGCTGGGCAAGGGATCTGTTGGGATGTTTGCCTGAGGAGTTAGGGAAGCAATGCAGATGAAGAACCCAGCCCAAGTCTTGGGAACCTTAAATGCTAACCTAGGTCTGGAATTTATCCTAAGGAGACAGGAAAGGGGGCAGCTGTGTACACAGGAAATGTGTGTACACCCAGGAAGCCTGAGAAGGAGTGTACATTCATGCCAGGATGTGTGAATATGGGAGCACAAGTAGGAAAGTGTGTGTGTGCGAGTGTGCACCTGCACCCATGGGTGGAGGCAGGCCCAGCTGTCCCCAGGCATCCTCTGGCTCCTGCAGGAAGGGGGAATGGAGGGGCTGAGCCATGGGTGGTGACTCAGGCCTGGCTATTTTGGGGCCCCAGCTGGAAGCAGCCTAGCGGGCAAAGCTGAAGCTGGGGTAGGTGGGCGGGGAAAGCTGGCATGGAGCCCTGGCACCTTTCTCCTACCCCTCATCCTCTAAAAAGAACTGAGGCAGCAGGAGACCCAGTGGGACAGCCTGGCCTGGCATCCGCCCGCAGCTCAGTCCTGCCCTCTTATACTCACTCGGTGGGATGCCCTCCGATGCCGCTGAATAGTTCCTGCAGCTCCCCTGGGCTGAGAACTCCATCAGCAAAGTAATTCTGGAATTCCTCAAAGGAGAGCTTACCGTCATCTGCGGGAAGCAGGGACAGAGTCGCTATCTGTGGGAAGCAAGGGCAGAGTCCCCGGGCTCCACGTGCCCAGGCATCTCGCAAGCAGCCAGCCAGGTGGGGTGGGATTCTGAGCTCAGTGGAGACCCTGACTGTTGAGGACAGAAGGACTGGAGTCCCCAAAGGAATCCGCTAAAGGGAACAGGGCCCACTTGGTTCCTGGCAGTGGAGACATGGACTCAAAAGACGTTGCCAAGTAGAGAAAGAATGAACACAGCTTGTGATACAGCCAGTGCGTGGCAGGGCTTCATTGGAGAGAACTTGGAAGGGACAGCTCCACTGCAGGGCAGAGGAAACGGCCATGCTCCAGACCAGGGCTGTCACAGAGAAGCTGCAGGGAGGCAAATGAGTTTTCCTCATAGCAGCCACCATAAGCAGCAGAAGGGAACGAGCTCTAGAACGGGAGTGAGAAGACTGAAGACACAGGGGATTTGCTCTGAATGCTGTGCAAGGTCACTGCTCTGAGCAGGGGGTAGGAGTTGGAGGGCGGGGAGGTGGGGGATATTTAAGGTGTGGGGTTAGGGAGCCTCTGAGCCTCCCAGATGGACTGCCCAGTGAGAGCATGTATGCCATCAATGGGTTGGGACAAACAGTTCCCACTAATCTGAAGAGACCCAAGAAGAGGTAGGGGACACGACCCTGTCTCAGGAGGGTGGAACACAAGAAGGTCTGAAGACCCCAAGTGGGGTGAGCATCAGGACACTCGGCTGCCCCAGCTGAGATGCCCTGCTGGCCAAGTGGCCCAGTGGGCTGCTCTGGGTCCTCAGCCTGTTGCACGCTGAGTCCCCTAAGGGCTCTTCCAGACCAGACTGGAGATTGTCCAGGCCACAGCAGGACTAGCTCATTCTGTGGACACTGGATTCACCTTTATTCCTGTCCAAGGTTGGGTTTCATTGAGTCCTTGAAGCCCATCCTACCTATAGATGGTAGGTCATGAAGAAAGTTAAGATGGCCTTGCCAGGGATTTAGCTCAGTGGCATAAGCACCTGCCTGGCAAGTGTGAGGTCGTGAGTTCAATCCCAGGTAAAAAATAAATAAAAAGATAAGGGGAAAGTTAAGGGGGCTTCTAAAAACCTAAGTACCTCACAAGGCCACCATTGTCCCACCCTTCCAAGCCTCTCTCACACACAGGCCCTTGCTCACAGACCTGGGTTCAAAATGCCCCTAGTTAAAGGATGTATGACCACAGATAACTTGCCTCAGCTCCCTGGGCCGCTACTCCTTTGAGAAATGGGTGAGAAATTCCAACCTAACTGGTTGTTGTGAGGATGAGGAGGTTGGGTACAGGAGCCACCCATCCCTGTGCTGGGAATGTGGAGAAAGTAAGCCCCCACCTCAGCCTGTGGCCAAACCCATATCCTCTGCTCTTGGTCCTGCCAAACTTGACTCAGATCAGAAGAATGCTTTCTCTGGGTAGGTGCCTTGACTGATATTCCCATGTGCGGCCCATAAGACCTCAACTTACCCTGCTCCATGTCCCCTATTCCACCCCCATCAAGGTACCCAAGGAAGCCATCCACACTCACCATTCTTGTCTGCTCTGCGGAAAACCTAGGGGATAAATGCGTGTTAGAGGGCGCTGTAAGGGGAACCTGAGAGGCCAGTGGCTCCGCCCAGTCCACGAGGCCCCAGCAGGCCTCCCTGCAGGAGCTTCCCACCAACCGGGTGCAGGAAGCACACACCGCAGGCAGGCACTTGCTCCCTTCTCCTGCAGGGCTGGGCCCCATAGGGCTCCAGGCAGCTTCCTGCACCCCACCTCCACAGTCCAGCTCAAGTCCTGCCTGATGCATCAACCCTTGGCCCAGGCCCAGGGGGAGGAAGGTTGGGAAGATCGGCCAAGAGGCATCCAAGCTCTCTGGGCAGCCCTCCCAGACCTGCACACCAGCTCCACTGGGTGGCTGTCCAGACTCTGTCCCAGTCTCTGCCTCGTGAGCTGTTTCCTCCTGCACAGTCACTAGTCCTTTCTTTGGGGTACTTCATTTTTCCCACTAGCACAAGAGGGAAAAGCCTGGGGTTAACACTTTCAGGATAGGTTCTTTTGTAGGCAAATCAGAGTCTCTGGCTAGCTGTGTGCATGTGTGTGCAAAGGGGAATGAGGGTGGCAGAAGGTAAGGGTCCAAGATTCAACTTACAGAGAAGCAGAGATGAAAGGCAGAGGGGGGTGCAGTCAAGACCAGAGACTCCCAGGTGCCCCGCAGCTCAGAAAGCCGAACCAAGACATGTGCCCCAGCCCAGACAGAATGCCCTCAGAGCTGTTGATCCTAAGCACCAACCTTCTCTGCTGACCCCTCAGTCAATGAGGGGTGAGGCAGTGAACCCACCTCACCCCTAAGCCGACTCAGAGAAGGCTTGTTCCTGGCTTGGGATCACACAGCCCAGCGAGGCCCAGGTGGGAAAGATGCACATGATGTGGGTGGCAGGGGGGACAGGGCTGTTAAGGTGAGAATGATGACACCTGAGGCCACTCTGTCATGACCCTGTCTATAAGTGTGACCTGGGTGGGACAAGGTCTTTCAGGCCTTAGTTTCCCCATTTGGGAGGCAGGAGGGTCAAGTCTTTCCAGGCTGGACTGTGGTCAGGTGCTGAGTCACTGGGGGCAGTGGGGAGGGAGCAGGGACCTCTAGGGTGGAGATGGAAGAGGGCCAAGGGGTGCTGAGCATAGGGCTGAAGGGCAGGAACTGGGGTTGGAGCAGCAGGGTCACCTGCCGCCAGTGGGAGGGGTACCTGGCCTATAGAGGATTCCTGGCAACCCTTACCAACTGCAGAACGTTGCTGCCCTTGGGTCGGGCTGCGAGGGGTCTGGGGGCAGCACTGGGTCAGGAGAGGCTTCAACATGTGTCCAGGCTGCCCTGCCCCATGAGCCCAGGGAGCCCAGCTCGGGGCTGCTACACGCAGGAGCTGCCACTGCTGCTCAGTGAAGTGCGGCCAGCCCCCGCCCCCACACAGATGGGGTGGGTTTGGGGACATAGGCAGCAGGGGCAGTGTCACTGGGGCAGGGACACGGAGAGACATGGAGAGGAAGAGACAGGACAGGGGACACAGCAGAGAGATCAAGATAAGGGAGACCTGGAGATGGAGAGTAAGGTCAGAGAGAGATTATGAGAGGGCTAGAGACCCGGAGAGACAGAAGAGCAGGGCCCAAGGACCTGAAGAAACGGGGACACAGACACAGGGAGGAAAGAGGCGCAGAGTCGCGGGTGGGCAGGGACAGGGACAGGGACAGGGAGAGACGACCCCTTGCCCGCGCCCCACTCACGTCCTGGAACAGCGCGTGTCCGGCGAGCCCCGTGGCAGATGCGGGAGGCCGTGGGGGTCCGGGCGCCGGGGGCCGGAGCAGACACACGGCGAGCAGCCCCGCGCATGCCATGGCGCGATGCGCTCGGTGGCTCGCCGGGGCAGTAACTCCCTCCCGCCGGACGCCACCGCTGCCGCCGCGGACCGGCTGGGGGTGGGGCGCCCGCTCATTGGCGCTGGCGCGAGCGCCGCCCCGCCCTGCCCCGCCCCCCCGGAGGTCTCCAGCCCTGCTCCGGGCCTCGGTTTCCCAGTTCCAGCAGCAGGTCTTTGCCAGAGCCCCCGAAGGGGCAGCCACTGCGAAGCAAGTAATCCCCAAGGGTTCACTTCCAGCCAGGGCGTCGGAAGCCAACGGACTCGACAAGTGCAAAACACGGGGTCCCCAGCTCTGGGCACTTGCTCTCTGCCAAGTAGGAATGACAGTGGACCCCCCTCCCGCCCAGGCTGTGTGAGGCTGCGTCCCTAACAAGGGATTGAAATAGGGGTCGGCTTGGAACACCCATCTAAAATACAGGTCGGGAGCTGGGGATTTAGCTCAGCAGCGGGGCATACCAAAATAAACAAATAAATGATAAAATAAAATACAGGTCGGTGTGAGGAATCTAGCTCACCCTTCTTCCAGGCCTCTAAGGTCTCCAAGTCAATTTAGCCTCCTTTGCCCCCTCTCCCATTTTGAGCCCCGTTTATTTACATATTCACCTATTTAGCTGTCTCAGGAAGTTGCCTCGACTGGGTTCAAAACTTCCATCCTCCTGCCTCAGCCATCCTGTGCTAGGATTGCAGGTGACCATCACTGTACCTTAGATTTAGAAACTGAAACAGGACTTCGTTCCAGCCTTAGAAGGTGCCTTCTTGTCCCCTGAGCAACACCCAAAGATGGTCTCTTGAACAGCATTACTCTCCTGCTTAAGTCGAACTCTGTCACTTGTTTCTCTCAGCTTTTCAGGACTGTTCCACCCTGGCCCAGGCTCAGGCCCAGGCCCAGGCCCTTGTCCACTCATCTGCTTGCTGTGTCCTTCCTTCAGTTAAACCTTACTACTCCTATAGTACTCAGTTCAAGCACCACCCTCCAGGAAGCTCCCCCAATCTCATTTGCATGGATGCAACCTAGAGAGCTCCATGAGGGGAGGAACACATGCTCCCCCACGTAGGAAGCACCCCACACAGATACAAATAGTTTATGCATTTGCAGCATGCTTACTAATGCACAAAAGCGGCTGGATAAAAACAGCAAACTGATAGCAGGGGCCTCTGTTGCTGGAGAAGGATGCTCACCTTCTAGCTCACCTATTATGCTGTGCACATTGGAAACATGCAGAATTTTCTACAAGAATATTTACTGGATCAAAATGGGAAAACATGGTGACAAAGCTTTTCTTTCTTGGTGTCTTGAGACTAAACCAAGTAGGAACAGGGACAAGGGAAGTGGAGAATGGGCACTTTCTCCAGCAATCTTTCCTCCCCTCAACCTGACATGAAGTAGAGTCCCAACGCCCAGCCTAAACATCTTCAAAATATTTATTAAAACCAAAGCAGGAAGGAACAGAGCTGTTAGGAGACAAATCAAAGTGCAGATTGGAGGGTAGGGCAGAGCAATGAGTTGGGGGGGGCTTCAAACACCACAGGAGGGGCCCCTCAGTCTGGCTGGGGGAGCCCTTCACCTGCCCCTGCTGCTCACCCTGTCAGTGGAGGTCCCCACTCATCTCTCCCATCTCATGTCCGTCCTGGGGGCAGCTGGGGCCCTGAAGTGACCCTCATGAAAGAGAAGACCCCTCTATCCACCCATGGCTGTCAGTCTGTCTCCCTCCCTCCCTTTCCCAATAAATAAATCAGTCAGGCATTAGCTTCTTTGGGGTCGGGCAAAAGAACAGCTGAGGAACCCCTGCCCTTGCTCAGGGGTATACAGAGTTGGGGGTCTCAGCCCCACACCCCTCCCACCTTTTGCTCCCTAGGCTTGCCAAAAAGGCCTCGATAAATAAATAACGCTCTGTTAAAGCTTCAATCAGAAAAACTTTTAAGACAGAAGTGCTCTCACTGTCCTGCAAATCCAGCCAACCAAGGCCTCCCCACCTGGTCTGGTCAGTGCACAGGATTCCAGGGCAGGTGGCAGCCCTGGGCTTCATTGGGCCCCTGGAGCAAGAAAATCAAAAGTGCAGTTAAGAGCCCCTCATACACACATATGAACTCGCACACATGTGTGCACGCAGACATGTTCACCTTCATTCCCCGGAACATGCGTGCATACATGCTCACACACCATATACCCCGAGTACACACACGTGGGGTGCTGGGTGCATGCACATACACACCACAAATACAGTCTTCAGTCTTTCCCTCCCTGGCTTTTTTTGATCTCTGGGCAGCAGCCAGACCCCAGAGCCAGAAGCTACTGGAAAAAGGAAAGAGAATATAATTACACTTTTCCAACTGGATTGGAAGGATGGCCTGAGGCAGGAGGCTCCAGGGCTGCAGAGACAGGGTGGGCATCTCAGAAGACCCTGCCCCCATTAGGGCCTGTCAGAAATCCAGGGGGGTCAGGTCCCCAAAGTCACAATCAAAGAGGTCTCTGATACCCTCACCCTCCTCAAGGCCAAAATGATAGTCAAGGGCCTCGTGGGGCGGGGAAAGACTGATAAACTCCTCAGGAAGGAGCCCAGGAAAGTCCTCCCGCACGTGCTCCAAGAGCGAGTCGGCCGCAACCAGCGGGGACAGGTGGTCTTCATCCACAGGGGCCCGCAGGGCACTCATCCGTGACAGCAGTGGCTCTGGGGAAACAGGGTGCACCATAGGTCAGGGATGGCCTAGCAGGGACAAAAGGGGCCTGCTGTGCCTGTCTGCCCTTCCGCCCAGCAGGGGCTTCACCCACCTTGCTCCAAGCTGAGAAGGGACTGGCTGGGATCCATGGCAGGGGATGAGGCGGAAGATGATGATGGTGGTGCTGGGGTGACAGCATCACTTGTCCTATCCTCCTCCCCAGAAGCTGCCTCCTGGGACGGAGTCTCTACAGGGCTGACTCCACCTGCACTCTCCTCGGGACACAGGAAGACATCGATGGGGCCTTGTTTGCTCTTAAGGGAGATCTGAAAGGTCTGGGTGGAGGCAGCATACCAGGTAAACTGAGGCCCAGGTGCCCACCATCCCAGTCCAGCCAGTCCTGGAGTCCCTGGCCTCACCTCTGAAGAATCCACAGCTTGCAGTTGGGTCTCTGGAGGTGCCTTGATCACCATGACCATCTGCTCTGCAGGGTCTGCAATGCTACGTAGGTCCTGGCAGGTCACATAGGCCAGGGTTGGTGCAGTCAAGGACCACATGATTTTTGGTCTCTTGGGGTACCATTTGACAGCTCCTAATGCAGGCTTTCAGCTGCGCAGTAACCCCTGTCCTCTTGACCCTGAAGGCTTGGCACATAGGTTGTACTCCAAACCTCAATTCCCTTAAATTTCAACTGTCATATGTGTAGAGTGTGTCCACCTCCCATCTACTTCCAAGCTATTGGTGATCACTGCCATCATAATCCCACAGCAAATACTTCACACAACTCAATTTATGACCTCGATGTCAACTGACAGTTGTGCTTCAAATTTGTCTGTGTGTAGCACTGGGAACTGAACCCAGGGATCACTGAGCTGCATCCCAGCGTATTCTATTTTTTGTTTCAAGACAGGGTCTTACTAAATTGCCTGGGCTGGCCTCAAACTTTCAATTTTCTTTCTTCAGTCTCCCAAGCAGCTGGGATTACACCTATGTGCCACAATACATTATTGTGAGTTTATAAACACAATTTTGGTATCTACTAAAGAAATACTTATTTATTTATTTATTGTCTTTTTCCTTTTTATCAATACCAGGGATCGAACTCACGACTGCCTGCTTGCAAGGCAGGTGTTTATGCCGCTGAGCTATATCCCTAGCCCCTCTAAAGAAATATTTAAATGAAGTTTTTCTTTTCACAAATAAAAATCAGAAACTTAATATCTCTAATTTTGAAGCCAGACTATGTGCTGAATCACTTGCACTAAATGTTGGGGCCAGAGATTAGCTCAGTAGCTCAAGCACTTGCCAGGTAAGCACAAGGTTGTGCATTTAATCCCTGGTACCCAAAAATAAATAAATAAGATAGATAGATAGATAGATAGATAGATAGATAGACAGTTTGTTACTGCTGGTGTTGTACTATGCTTTTTAAAGGTCTTGCTATATAGCCTAGGATGACCTCAAACTCAAAAATCTTCCCACAGAGCTGGGGATTTAGCTCAGTGGCATAAGCACCTGCCTTGCAAGTGTGCGGTCGTGAGTTCGATCCCCAGTACCGATAAAAACGAAAAAGACAAAAAAAAAAAAAAAAAACTTCCCGTTTCAGTCTCTCAAGTGCTGGGATTATAGGTGTGGTCTACCATGCCTGGCTAGCTTTTGTTTAGTCTGCATAAATTTAGGATTAGCTATTACTATCTCCCCTTTTATAGATGAAATAAGACACCCACAGTGTTTAGGTAACTTGTCATGTCACATGATCAACAGATGTGGAGCCAGGACTTGCACCCAAAGCCACAGCCCTCTCTGAAACCAGGGCCTAGTCTCACTTGACATGGCCCTCACCTGCCAAGACTGCCCTTCACACATGCCCCCTGACAATCCAAGGATATCGCTGGCTATCAGAGTCCTCGGAGAGCAGCTGCAGCTGTGTGGTACAGATGTGCATTAGGTGGTCCAGTTGCTGCTCACTCTCCTGCAGCTGACGGAGGTCCTGGGTCAGCCCTTCAAGCCGCCCACTGATCCCCACTGTGGTCTGGCTGCCCCTGTGGGGAAGGGGACATTTAGTAACTCCAAGCCCCTCTGCCCATCAGCCCTGGTCCCCAGGACAACGTTTGCCACTGCTGCTGCAGTGTGGGACCCAGGCAAGTCCTTTCCCCTCTAGTTCCAATACCTCAGCTGGGCTCCAAATCAGAACGGCACAGATTTAAAGCCTGGCCTGTCAACAAGCACTCACATGTCCCTACTAGGGACAGAGTAGGTAAATGATGGCATGCAGCTGTCTTAAAGGATGAGAATAATAAAGGGTACACTTGAAATCATTTCCAAGATGTGTTGTCAAGTAAAACACAAATGATACAGAATGCAAGGATCTACCAAACACTGGAAAGGTAAGTATGTCACAGAGAGAGAGCAGTAGAATGGCCGGGAAGCAAGGTGGGGAGGGAAAACCAAATCAAAAAGCTCTCAAGAATAAATATTAGTGCCAAACAAATCTCATGGATAGCAATAGAAGCTTAAATAATGGCCAGCGGCTGGGAAGGGATGCAGAGGCATCTTTTGGGGACCAGAAGTTTTCTTTATTCTTTATCCTGATGCAGTGAACAAATATGTAAAGCTGCATTGCAACAGACCGGCAAGGTTTGTGTACCTCTCAGTGTCGGAAGCCACTGCTCTTCTCTGAATCTCAGACTCCTCAACCTCAAGGCAAGAATGCAGGCAACCAAAGGCAGGTATTTCTGCCTGGCCCCAAGCCTCTGCCTGCGCTCCCTCTTGGCTGGTACTTACAGCCACTGGATATGGTTCTTAGACTTCTTAGCAATGAGTTGGATTCCCTCCAGGACGTTGGTGATATCATAGATGCGCCGTTTCTGCACCTTCAGCACCTCAGCTGCCCAGTTCAGGTCAACAACGCCATCAGCTGAGCGGCTCAGCAGTTCCAGGAAGCGTTTGGTGGTCAAATTCAGTGATGTCTCATAGCGTGATTTCTCCCCCGGGGATTTCACACCTGGTGTGGGGAGGGGAAGGCAAGATGGGTCTCACCCACTCCCACCCTCAGCCACATCTGCCTCCTGGACAATGCAGAGAACAGGATGGGGTGCTAGGGACACATGGCTCCTTCCCCTTGATGACACCAAGCACGGCCAAGGGGGGAAGAGGCCCCGTGGCCACTGCCTGTCAGCCACAGCACTCCTCTTCTGGCAAGGGAACTCTCCAACCCCAAGGCCACTCCTGCTGCCTGCTGGGCCCCTGGAAGCCTGGCTCAGGCCCAGGCCTGACAAGCTAGACTTTAGTGGACAGGCCTGTACGTCTGTCCAAACCCCAACCTGGGCCTGTCCAGCCTAAGTTGATGGTACCTTTTCCCAGGTGTCGGCCTCTGCCCCAGACTGGCCCACTGCTCTCAGCCAGGTACTGATGGTCAGTTTCCAGGTCCAGCCTCCGCTTCACCTGCAGCAGGCACAATGGGAGGATGCCCAGTAAGGAGGAGGCCACAAAGCCTCAGCCAAGGGGTCTATTTCTCTACTAGGGTGCCTATGTAGAGGAGGGAAACACATCCTGGGGCACATAGCGTGGAGGTGATAGCCGTATCACACAGGAAACTCAAGTAGAAGGCATTAGACCCAAGTTCAAGCCCTGTCTTTACCACTACCACTCTGGGGGCTGGTGGTAGTTTTAAAATGTACCTGTGTTGGCTGTGATAAGGATCAGAGGACAATGTTTGCGCTAAACGTGCATTCTACCACTGAACTATGCCCCTTGCCCCTAATCCCTACACCTGCAGATTTTTAATACTTCTTTCAAAAGCTGAGAGCTGGGGCTGGGGATTTAGCTCAGCAGCATAAGCACCTGCCTTGCAAGCAGGTGGTCATGAGTTTGATCCCCAGTACTGATTTAAAAAAAAAAAAAAAAAAAAGCTGAGAGCTAACCCTCTTCTTAAATACAGGCCAGATTTGGCAAATTGCTTCTAAGGAAGTGAATGTGGTAACTGCTCATACCAGATCGCAGAAGCGCCAGAGCTTCCTCTTGGCTGTCTCTAGCAGACTGTTCATTCTGTGGGAGTGGCTGCCTGCTCAGACACCTCAAGTGGCCCTAAGGATGGGCCCAGTACAAGAAACCAATACTTGGCCAGGGATTTAGCGCAGCGGCATAAGTGCCTGCTTGGCCAAGTGCTAGGTCATGAGTTTGATCCCCGGTACCAAAAACAAATCAAAAAAAAAACCCCAATACTTATGCCCATAGTAATGTGAGTGAACTTTAGAAGCAAATCCTTCAACCTTAATCATGACTTCTCTTTTTGATACTGGGAATGGAATGCAGGGACACTCCATCACTGAATTATACCCCTAGCCCTTTTCCTGTTTTTTTGTTTTTTGAGACAGACCAATGTAGTCTAGGCTGGTCCTCAACCCTCCTGCCCAAGGCTTGAGTGCTATCTAGCCTATTTTACCACCATACCCAGCTAGTCATACCTTCTGATAGCAGCTAGGGCCACCATTTTGGTTGTAACCTCAGAAGAGACCCTCAAAGCTACCCATGAAGGTGCATACTTAAAATCCCAGCAGGAGGACAGCTGCAAGCTTGAAGCCAGCCTGGGCTATATGGAGTTTAAAAACAAAAATGGGAAAGAAAAAAAAAAAAAGAGCTCTCTCCCTAAGACAGAACTATCCAGCTAAGTGTCCCTCGAATTCCTGGCCCACAGAAATTAAATAATAAATTTATAATAAATAATAAATTGGTATTTGAAGCCACTTAGTATACAGATCCCTTGGGTAAATCACTTCCTCTGGTTTTGACTATTCTATGCATCTGTAACCATGGCAGCAGCTGATTCCATGCAGTATGATAACAGCCCCATTTTACAGATAAGGCAACTGAAGCCTAAGGTCATATAGCCAGAAATGGCAGAGCCAGAATTCCTACCTAGCACGGTCAGAGGAAGCAACACTTACCTCTGACATCTAGGCAGAGACTGTCCTGTGAATCCCACAGGCAGCTCAAGTATACCTTGACCACATCCATACTTGCTGCCCCCTCCACTAGATATATGCTTTCTGAATCAGATCCTATTAGCCCACTTGTCACCCTCTTTATATCCAGCTGCTACAAACCCATTTCCCCAGCACAATCATCTCCTGCTGGAAGGTCAGCAGCCTCCACACTGCCCACTGTCTCTGACCCCTGTGCACCAGCATTGCCCCTATAAGTGTTGCCATGGCCCTGCCTGAGACCTTCTTCTGGCTCCCTGTTGCTTTTACCCTCATCAGCTCTTGCTTCTCCATAAAGACTTCAAAGACCTCTTTGCCTCCAAGCCTTAGCCACTGTCAGTCTCTTCCTGGATCACCCTTGGCCAGCTTTCCCCCTCCCCTCTGTACAACTGCTGCTCCCCTCTCTGGATAGGAACCTAAGCCACTGCTTTTATTTTTTGTAGCACTAAGAACTCTAGACAGAGCCTTGAGCTAGGGTAGCCCTCTGTCACTAAGCTACACCCCCAGCCCTTTGTATTCTGAGAAGGGGCCTCACTAGAGTGGCCAGAGTGGCCCTGAGCTTGTGACATTGTGCCTCAGCCTCCTGAGCAGCTGGGATTATAGGCATGCAGAGGCCAGAGGTGTCACAAGTAAGAGACCTTGCAGCTGTAAAAAACTAAGATTGATCAACATATCCTCAAAGACAGACTGAGAAACAAAACAACAGGGTGGTAGATGTATATGATCCTTTCTTGGATTACAAATCTCATTAACTTGCAAGCGTGAGGTCTTAAATTCAATCCCCAGTACCCAAAAGTACATAAATAAATAAAATCTCATGAACTGCCAGGAATGACGGCACATACCTACAATACCAGTTATTTAGGAGGCTGAGGCAGGAAGATAGAAAGCTTGAGGCCAGCCCAGACAACCTGGCAACTTAAAAGACCTATATCAAAAAATAAAATAAAATAAAATAAAATAAAATAAAATAAAATAAAATAAAAAAATAAAAACCAAACAAGAAAAAAGGTTGGAAATGTAGCTCCATGGAAAAGTCTTGGGGTCAAACCCCACTATTGCAGAAAACAAGCAAACAGCCTTAGGGAAAACAGGACACGTGTAATCAACCATTGGGAGGCTGAAGCAAGGTTAAAAATTCAAGACCAGTGTGAAGAACATAGTGCATTCAATCCCAGCACTCTGGAGGCTAAGGCAGGATTGCCATGAGTTCAAAGCCTACCTGGGTTATGAGAGTTCAGGGTTAGTCTAAACTACACAGCAAGACCCAGAAACAGAACAATACAAAAACAAAACAACAAAATGAAAATAAAACAAAAATGACCGAAAGAAAAATGGATGGGATGAGATTCTGCCATCAACTTTAAAGTTTTTTTCAGTGCTGGAGAAGCACACCCAGGGCATGCCAGGCAAGCACTGCACCACTGAGCCATACCCCCACCCAACTTTCTAGTTTTTTAGTTTTTTTTACAAGGACACATACTCAAACCCTCAGGGTTTTTTCTTTTTGTTTTGTTGCACTGATGTCCCCATGGCTTTCAGGGTGCTGCAGGTGCTCTACCACTGAGCTAATTTTTAATGGCCATAACAGTGTGGAGGTAGATGGGCAGGGTCAAAATAAATGGTTGAATTGCACATCCCTGTAAACAGAAGGCACTCAACAAATGCTCACAGGAACAGAAGGCAAGCCTGTAGCTTATTTCATGGACTGCCCCCAAAAATGCCAGAGTAGAGTTGGTAGAGTCCAAAACCTGGGCCTGTCTGTGATTCTGGCCTTCAGCTTCAAGATGTTGAGACTCTCAGCCCTGCCCACATAGAAAATGCCTGCAGGGGGCTGGGGATTTAGCTCAGCAGCATAAGCACCTGCCTTGCAAGCAGGCGGTCGTGAATTCGATCCCCGGTACCGATAAAAAGGAAAAAGACAAAAAAAAAAAAAAAAAAAAAAAATGCCTGCAGGTCCCTAAGCAGGGGTAGGGAATCCTTACTTGTCTCTGTGCCTAAGACCTCAATGGCACACACTAACTCAGCAACTGTTGAATGAACAGCCGTTGAGGCTGCCCCTGCCACCACCTGGCAGGAAGAGGGAAGCAGAGAGCATTTCTTTGTCCCAGTTCCTCCCTGAGCCTGCAGCTCAGCTCCCTGAGGCCAAGCCTCACAGAGTGTTGGGTCTCTACAGCCCTGGGCCTGCTAAATGCTTGTCATGCAGCTGAATGGAGGCTCTACCTGCCCAGGGGAGCATAGGAGACAAGTCAGCTGACTGACCTCTGACCCAGACAACCTGCCCCATTCACTAGGAGAAAGGGACCCAGTCATTTCTTTAACTACCACTAGTATCTCTAAGTCAACACTCAGGACCGGGTCCCACCACTCAGCAGCTGGACTAAAGAAGGCCTCAGCTTCCCAATCTATAGAAAGGGAGGCTGCTGACAGGGTTAAATGAATTAATTGGGTAAAGTACTTGGCACAGAGCCTGGCACAAAAAAACATTTTCCAAACAATGGTGGCTGTTATTGTTATTATTATTAGCATCTTGGTGATTCCGGAAGGAAGGCAGCACTGGGCACTGGGCCAAAGGGGTTGGGGACCTTTCCAGGATGCCTCAGGGACCAGCTGCCACCCACACCCCCAAAGCAGTTGAGCAGCTTCTATCTTAGTCCGGGGCCCTGCCTGGCCCCTCCCACTTGTTTCAATCCTGCTGCTGTGACCCCATCCTGCCTAGCCAGCTCCCACCTTCACCCACAGGCTGCACAAGTAAAACTGGTCTCCACACCCTATCTTGCAGCCCACAGATCCAAGCTCCAGGTCCAAGTCCCCTCTCTTGCTGTAATTAGGCAGCTTCTTCTGTGCCCTCAATCTGAAATGAGCTCAAGATTCTTGCAGCACAGGGATCAGGATGGTCTTTATCCAGGAATTTCTCTGGGAGATTTCTGCATCCTGGCTTTGGGGGCCTCCTCCCCAGCTTCCATAGGCCCAGCCCACCCACTCCTTCCACAGACTCAGGGGTCTGCCTGCCTGATTAATGAGGTTCCATGGCAACCAAGGGCTGGAAGGGTGGCAGATGGAAGTACAGGCCGAGGGAGGGGATCAGCAGCTGGCCCAGCGCCCCTCCCCTGCAGAGAAGGCCTCCCAGCTACTCCTGAGGTCTGGAGGGCCAGGCGTGCACCTGGCAGACTATCAAGGCAGGAGGGTCTCCTCCATGGCTCTTCCAAAGGTCAAGGCACCCCCATCCCGGGTCTCTGTCCCCTCCAATCTCAAGAGCCACACGCACCGCCTAGCCACAAGTTCACATCCCAGTCCCACCACCTGCAGCTGTACGACCAGGGACCAGCCACTTCCCTCTCTGGGGCTCACTCAGTTCCCAGAATGAGTCAGATGGGAGCAGTGACAACACCGAACTCACAGCAGGACTGTGAGCTGGCCTGAAGTCTGGCAAAAGCCTGGCCTGCAGTATGCGCCAGCTGAATACACATGGGCCATTATCAGAGACCAATTCTCTAAAGGCTGCAGTAGAAATCTGAGGCCCCGAATGCTGGAGCAAACAGACTGGCCCGAGGTCACCTTGCACCCCGGGGCGGGGCTCTGAGGCCCAACCCAGGCTCTGCACCGCCCAGGCCGACGTCTCAGCCCTTCCTGCCCCCTGCCCCCACCGGGCCAGGCACAGCGCCCTCCCGGGTCCGCACGTCGTGAGGTAGCGCCCTGGGCCCCTGGGGTCCATACCGGCGGGCGGCCGAGAGCCGGACGCGGCGCGCTGGGTGGGGGTCGGGGCGCCTGCGGCGTGGCGAAGAGCAGTAGGTCGGGGTCCCGGGGGCCGGCGGCGGGCGCGGCGGAGCTGGTAGGGGCCTGCGGGGCGCTCGCGTCCTGCGCTGCGGAGATGATGACGATTTGCGAAGAGTCAAGCAGCCGCAGCGCGCCGGCCCCGAGCAGGGCCTCCAGCGCCGGCGCGCATGGGCCGCCCGCGGGGGCTACGGCCATGGCGCTCACGGCCCGCGCGGCCCGGGTGGCAAGCGGCGGCGGCGGCGCGGGCCCATGGCAGCAGGCCCCGGCGAGGGCTGTATCCCGCTCCGCCCTCGGCCGCCGCTGCCTGCAAAGTCTGGGCCACTTTTACGCGCCAAATCCTTTTTGCCGCGAAAGAGCCACGAGCCGCCGAGCGCTGTCACCATTGGTTGTTCCTGGTGTGACGGAGTCGGCGGCGGCGGCTCCCATTGGCTGTAGCGCACAGGACGGCGGCGGGGGGCGGGACCGGGCAGAGGCGCGGGGCGGGGCGGCCAATCGCGGGGCGGGGCGCGCGCAGGCTTTGTCAGGGCGGTTCCTGGAGCGCCCACTTTCTCGGTCCCTAACGCTGGGGGGCGGAGCCCGAGGCGTGGGGAGGCAGGCGTCCCCTTCCTAACACTTCCCGTTCTGCGAAGACTTAGGGTCGTCTTCGGATTCGGTTCTGCACACCTCACCGACAGCAAGACCCACCAGACCCCAAAGCCCTCAGACAGTAGTGCGCACATCTTTAGTTCAGAGCTCCAGAAACTGCCCCATCTTCTGGATGCTCAGGCACACCCCAAAACCCTAGTCTCATCCGCCACAACTCCGCGCTCAACTTGACCCATTTACGCCTTTCATTCTCACATCCTGCATCTCTCCAGGGCTGCCAGAAAATGCAGGATGGCGGCCCATGGAGCCTGGCCTTTCCTAGAAGCCCATTTTACCTGAGACCCCATCACCAGCAGCACAAGCCCAGCATCTGCCTGAGCTCATATCTAATTTCAAGGTTGAGCCTTGCTCTGTGCCTCAGTTCACTGTGGCCATAAGGAGCTCACAGTATAGTGAAAAGGGAGGAGGGGAGAGGTTAATACATGTGTACAACCTGATGGAAAGTTTTAAAATAACCCCGTTAGGTCTTACAAAGGGAGGAAGTGAGGGTACAGACGTGAAAAGGTATTTAAACTAGAGACCTGCGACATCATCAGCCATCTTAACCAATACTGTCCTCTGTTAGAGGCTTTCTGCCAGCACTGAGGACAGAAGTGTGAAAGAGCTACACATGGCGTGCAAACTTGCCTGCCCTCTAGTGAGGGTGACCTGCAAGAAGAAGGTAGCTAGGACACACACAAAATAATGAAGTCCCTAGTCCCAGTATAAATATCACTTCCTCCAGGAGCCCTCCAGGATCAGAGTCAGTCACTTCTTTCATTGCCCAAAGCTACCTCTGTCACACACACATTTTTTTTTTTTGAGACAAAATGTCACTTTTTGGTTCATAATGGCCTTGTACTCATTGTGTAGACCACACTCCAACAGGCAGTGATCCTCCTACCGCAGTCTCCAGGGTGCTGGGGTTGCAGCCATGTACCACGCACTTAGCAAGTCACAATGCTTTCTTCCCTACCTATCTAAGAGCTCTGAAAAAGCCTCCATCTGCCCAGACAAGATGCTGAGAAAGGTCAGGAGTGAAACAGACTCACATTGGAGGCGACCTTGGATGCAAGATGGAGGCCAGAGTTCTCCAAGGCCCTTAGTCCAGCCCAGGCCTCAGAATCACCTGCTAACTTGGGGATCATTCTAGCCCTACTAACTTAGAATCTAAATGCCCAGGGATTCATTTTAAACTATTTATGCCAAAGATTGACATTTTTTTAAGTTTTGGGGTTTTTTTGGTACTGGAACTCAAACTCATCACCTCATGCTTGCCAGGCAGGTGCCATGCCACTGAGCTATATCCCTGGCCCATTTTCTGAAGTTTTGCATGAAATTCATATACAGAAAATTCATACCTAGAAAAATTCAAGGAACAAGAATTTGAAAACATTCTTTCCAAAAATAGATCACTAGGCACTGATGGGTTAACAAGCATACCATCCAGGAAATTTTTGTGTGTACTCACCTTTGAGAACAAATGGGCCTACCTGTACTACTACATTGTGGAGTGCAGTCTCAAATTACAGTTCCCAAGGATGCTTCTTAGCCTCAGTTTTCTTGTCTATAAAATGGATACATAGAACTACCCCTGGCCCTTCCAGAGTTGCCAAGAGAGCTGAGCATAGAGGCGCACATCAATAATCCCAGCACTGTGGGAGGATGAGGAAAAAGAATTGGGGTTTTGAGTCTCACCAGGGGAATTTTCCTTTAAGTCAGATTTTATTGGTCCATTTTAGATATATACATGATGATCACATTCATCAGAGAAAATTTGTACCTGTACATGATCTAACTTGGTTTTATCACTTGTTTTCCGATTCCCTTACCCTCCCTTTAACCCTTCCTGTTCTCCCTATTTACAAAAACTTTGTTTCCATGTTTTCTTTCTGTTCTCATTTTTGTTCTTTTCTGTCCTTTCCTTTCCCCCCTCCCTTTTCTTTTGTTCCCCTCCCCATTTGAATATTTTCTTCCTATTGTGCAATATCTAGTATACATTTTTCACCTGGAGAATTTATACTATCTTAAACAGGGTTAGGTATGTAGTTTAGTGTGAACATCCGGGGTTCAATCACCAAGGGGGGAAAATACAATTAAAAAGAGTTGCCATACAGATAAACTTGAAGTTTTAGGGTCTGAAGTGTGCTGTAGACGATGGGGTGGTTTTGGAAAGCAGTAGGAGTTTCTTTCTCCTTTGGATGAGCAGTTTGTGAAATTACGCATTGCAAATCCTTCAGTGTGTCAGAACTAGAAAGGACATTGGTGATCACATGAGCCTGTGCTGTACAGATGGGGAAAGGAGGCCCATTCAGGGATGGTGGCTGTGAAGCCAGTCAGTGACAGAACTGGCCTGGCATGGTTCCCCAGATCTGGAGCCTGTCACCCTCCCCCTGAAGAGAAGCAGAGGGCCTGACGAGATGGGAGAGCAAGCACATTCCTATTCCAGATGGAGTGTTTCTTTTCCCTAGTTCTTCCTTAAGAGTCCCAATAACATAACTTTCACTTTTTTTTTATTCTTTTTTTTTTTTTTTTTCCATTTTTATGGGTACCGGGGATCGAACTCACGACTGCCTGCTTGCAAGGCAGGTGCTTATGCCGCCACTGAGCTAAATCCCCAGCCCCATAACTTTCACTTTTTTTTTCGTCTTTTTCCTTTTTATCGGTACCAGGGATCGCACCTGCGACTGCCTGCTTCCAAGGCAGGTACTTATGCCGCTGAGCTAAATCCCCAGCCCCAACTTTCACTTTTTAAAAGCCCTTTCCTACCTTATGGTCATTCAGCAACAATGAGCATCACATGGTTGCTGAAAAGGGAAAACATACTAGTATAATGGCCCCATTTTATGACATTAAAGCTGAGGCCCCAAGGGTATGTGCTTACCTAATAGACACAAAGGCTTGGGAGGCCTAGGCCTGGGGTCTTCCAAAGCCCTGCCCTCCCCAAAATATTCAAGCACATGGCTCAGGTAGAAGTAGGTGCCCTCCTCCCGGGAGTCCCTAATGTCCTGCTGCAGTAGAAAGGAGCAAAAACCAGAATTTCTAGCATGAAAATAAAGAAGAGATAAGGGCTTTCTGGATCTATTAATACCTAGTAGCAGAAAAGGCCTCAGGGATGAGGCCCCTTGGCCTAGAAGATCCTGATAAGGCAGTTTTCAGAGTCAGCAGTTCTCCTCACCTGATAGGGCTTCCAGAACATCCCCATTACGGGGCAGCTGCTTCCAGTGATGGTCTCCTGTCAAGCCCATAATCCTGCAAGTGAAGCTTACTTATCCATGTGGTGCAGGAAGGAGGAGGCTCAGAGAGGCACCCACAGCTCAGGGTCACACAGCAGAACTGAGATAGCAACTTAGTCTGTTCCACTGCAAACCCTGAGGCCTGGACTCCACAGTCACTGCCCCGAATACCCCAAGATCCAGGCCTGGTGCTGCTAACAGCAGTGTGTGTGACTCCCTAAAGGCCTCTGGGGACAGGCTGGCTTCCTGTGCAAGTGCCTCTGGCCAGTGTCACCTCCACCTCCTCTGCAGGGGTCTGAGAGAGAAGCTCGTCTGCCTGGACAAGGTGGCCCCTTATTCTATAATGCAGGATGGTCCAGAAGTGATCTGATGGACTTGCATACTTGTTCTGTGTGACCAAGATTCACTTCATTTCCTCTGAGGCTCACAGGTGTCTACTGAGTGCCTAGGTGTCAGATGTTCCTCCAGGCACCAGAGACAGTGTGAGCAAAGCAGACCTCTGTCCAGCAAGTGAAGAATTTTTTCTGTGAAGTCACACAGTGTGTTCATTAAGAAGCTTGAAGAGCAGCACAGATAATGTAAAGCTGTTTACATGCAGCACCGCCCCTAAAAGTACATTCTGAACTTCGAAGAAACCTCCAGATATGAATGTCCCACTGCTATATGGAATGCATAATTGGGCAAAATGGTTCTGTGGTGACTTAATTTTATTAAAGGGCACAGAGGCATCCATTGTTGAGTCCTGGCCGAAGCAAGAGAAGAGTTTTGCATCTGCGACTCCTCATTCTTCAACGGTCCAGTGACAGTTTACTGTCCATGGAGACATTCTGTCACCGTGCCAGCAGTGGCTGGGCCTGAACGGGTACAGAAGCAACCTTGACCCATTAGCCCTACTCTGCACCTTCCTGGCTGCCTGACTAGGGCCACTGCCTCTGCCTCTGGAGGAGCTTTGCTGGCCAAGTCCCTAGAACAAGGGCCAACAGTTCTCTCAGGATGGTGTCAGGATGAGGAAACAGGACAAGTGGAGTTTGCAGTTTGGTCCATGAGTGTGGCTTAATTTGTACATGGAGTACAAATTTCCAATTATGAATTAGTTTTTATGTTTTTAAAATTAGAAAATGCTGGCTGGATGTGGCAGCTCATGTCTATAAATCACAGCACTCAAGAGGCTGAGGCAGGAGGAATGCTATGAATTTGAGACCAGCCTGGGATACATAGGCTGATCCTGAACTACATAGGGAGATCATCTTAAAAAAAATAAAATTGGGAAATGCTATACAAAAATTAAGGGCCATAGGGCTGGGGATTTAGCTCAGCGGTATAAGCACCTGCCTTGCAAGCAGGCAGTTGTGGGTTCGATCCCCGGTACCGAAAAAAGGAAAAAGACAAAAAAAAAAAAAAAAAAAAAAAGGGTCAGAGAAACAGCTCAGGTGCAGGGTCGGGGGTTTAGCTCAGTAGCGCAGGTACCTACCTGGCAAAAGTGAGGTCATGAGTTTGATCCCTGGTAGAAAGAAAGAAAGACAGAAAGACAGACAGACAGACAGAAAGAAAGAAAGAAGAAAGAAAAAAAAAAGAACCAGCTCAGCAGCACAAGCACCTTACCTAGCAAGCATAAGGTCCTGAGTTTAACTCCTTATACCAAAACAAAAAACCAATTCATATATCTGATTCGCGTGTATGTGTGTTACTAGGGATTGAACCCAAGTGTACTCTATTACTGAATTATATTCCAGCTCTTCTTCATTTTTTATTTTGAAACAGAGTCTCGGTACATTTCCCAGACCAGCTTCAAACTTGTGCTCCTTTTGCCTCGGCTTCTCAAGTAGCTGGGGTTACAGCTGTGCACCACCACACCAGCTCTGGTTTTCTTTTGAAACAGTAATAGTTGGCAACACTGGCCAGCACGGCAGGGTGTTCAGAAATCACTGTGCTCACATAGCCAGGGCCTTTACCTTCCAGGCCACCATACACCCTCCCGGGCCTGCTTCACTCAGAGCCCACATTTTCCCTGCCATGCTGGGCATCTGAGTCCACAACTCCTCACACACAGTACCTGGCACAGACAGAGCCTCAGTACATGTCAGTCACTCTTAGTCACCTTATTCCAGCATTATTGTTACCAGGAGACCAACTGGCTCCAACGCAGCTTCTCTGTTCTGCAAGTAATTAAGGTAAGACCTGGGAGAGTAGGGATAGTGGGCATCTATGGTGAAGCAGGAGACACAGGCTCTGTGGCCTTGGCCGTGGCTGAGGTCATCAGTGGGTCTGTGTGTTCAGTGGGGTTTTGGTCAGAGGGGCCAAGGCCCAACAACAGCAATAATTACGACTCCCTCCCCATCACTTCTGAGTTCCCATTCTGGGTACCTGTCTTCTTCTCAGGGTTGGCCCAGTGCAGCTTCTTCCTCTTAGTCACCCAAAGGGCCCAGCCTCTCCACAGAGAGGTAAAACCAGGCATAATGGCTATGCCTTCCTCAACCAGGACCACAGAGATGGATGTGGGGGACCTCTTGAGACAAGGAGCCTTTTTTTTTCATCTATAAAATGGGGATAATGAAAATAATAATAGAATTTGCCTGCTAGAGTTGTTAGCTCACCATGTGAGTTATTAAAGTTTTTAGAACAGTACCTGGCACACAGATAGTCTCAGTAAACACCAGCTATTATTGGGGTGTTTTTTTTTTTTGGTCTTTTTTCATTTTTATCGGTACCGGGAATCGAACTCACGACTGCCTGCTTGCAAGGCAGGTGCTTATGCTGCTAAGCTAAATCCCCAGCCCCAACACCAGCTATTATTAATATAAATGAAGTTGGGTGTGGTAGTGCATGCCTGTAAAACCAGCACTCGGGAGGCTGAGGCAGGAGAATCACTGCAAGTTCGAGACCAGCCTGGGCTACAAAGTGAACTCAAAGCCAGCCTGAGGTAGCTTGTCCACATGCAGAAGAAAAAGAAAACCTTTGTGCTGGGCTCTATCCTCAGACCTTTTTAATTTTTTATTTTGAGACAGGCTCTGAATTGCCCAGGCTGGGCTTGAACTACTGATCTCCCCACCTTAGCTTGCCAGAGCAGGATTACAGGCATGGGCCACCACATCCAGTTGAAAAGCCATTTTATCCAGGTGTGCTGGTGTATACCAGTGACCCTCAAACTTGGCATGATGAGGCAGGAAGATTGTGAGTTTGAGGCCAGCCAGCCTGGGTTACACAGTAAATTCAAGGCCAGCCTGAACTGCATAGCAAGACGGTCTCAATTTTTTTTTTTTTTTTAAGTCTGGGTACAGAACAGGAATTTTCTTGAGGCAATTCTTGTCTCTCAAGCACTCTGGGGACACATATAGGCACAGGGACAAGGAAAAGAAAATGAAGGGCAGTGAAGTGGAGAACTGAGGCAACCTCATAATTCACTGATCCCGAAACATTTTCATGTTTTAACATCTTTGAAATTAAGATGCATTCCTCCATCAAAGGAAAGTGCATTTTTACTTAATAGCTCTTTTCTTTTTCAGGAGCTCCAAATGATGGTAAGCTTTGGCTTCAATGGCATTTTAGATGTGATGAGCTCAGACAAACGTGCTGGGTGGAGCTAGGGTATAGCTCAGTTGGGAAAGCGTGTGCTTAGCATACACAAGGCCCTGGGTTCAACCTCCAGCAGTGCAAAGAAAGAGAAAAGGAAAGAAGTGGATAGGAGAGTGCTGGTCACAGTGCCTGCCACATCACAAGCCCTCAGGTTACCCAGCGCTGAGCAGCATCACCAGAGCGGTCCAGGCCGGCACAGTGGAGCTGTCCATCAGCCTTTCTTTCTCTCCTTTTCTTGCTGACACCTGCTGACTTGCATTGGTCCCTAGTCTGACAGGCTCATGGCAAAGCAGTCAGGGAGGGCTCGGGAGGAGAAGAGAGAGACTTTTTATAATATATTAAGATATTCAGGGAGAAGGAGCCGGAGTTTCCCCCACCCTTTTTTAAACAACGAACATTCCTGCTGGAAGCAAGAGTTATATATATGCTGAACAGGCCAGGAAACCCAGCAGGCCTCCTGGAGCTGGCAATGAACCGAAACAGGGGCATTGTGTCCAGGCCACTGGCTGGCTGAGTGGGCATTGTTAGGGCCTGGCCCTGTCTGGGAAGAGGGGCTAAAGGGGGTAGGGGGAGTGTGTTCCCATGGCTCCCTGGGGAGTAACGACAATTGGGGCCAGCTGGGAAGCCTGGCATGCCAGGGGCCTGGTGGGTAGGCAGCTGGCCCCAAAGGGGCTAAGGAGGGAGGTACCAAGGTCAGGGCCTGTGTCTTAGTAGGGGCAAGGCTTCAGGAGGGACATGGGGGGTTGTCATTCATTACACACCTCTGCCTTCCCCTTACTCTCTCCTCCACAGCTCTGGCTCACCTTGTCTCTACCCCACATCTGCTCATTGTTCCCCACCTCTGCCACCTCCTGACTCCTGTCCAGGCCACCAGGGTCTCTTACCTGGCTGACATAGGGAGTCACGTCACCAGCCAGACCCCTATGCTAGGCAGCAGCTGGATGCATCTTCCCCAAAGGAGCTTGCACTCCCCTGCTCGAGCCTGCCCAGAAGGCTTGGAAGAAAGCCTGAAGCCCTTTCCCTGGCCCCAGCCCCGCCCCATTGTCTCAGCTGCTCCCTCCAGGCCGGCAGGCCCTCAGCTGTTCTCTCTGCAGGGCCTTGGAGTCCCTTGCACCACAGCTCTGCAGAGCTCCCTCTTGAGTCAGAGCTCCCAGGAAGCCTCAGCTGCTCACAGCAGTCCTCTCCGAGTCAGAGTCATTCCCTCACATTGTCCTGTATTATTTACTTCACGGCACCTTCCACTCTCACAAGATTTTTTTTTTTTTTTTTTTTTTTGGTAGTACTGGGGATTGAACCCAGGGCCTCATCAATCCCTGGTAAACACTCCACCACTGAACTACATCCCAGCCCCAGAAGTCTTTTACATTCATCAGTCATGGTCTTGTTTCCCACCCTAGACTGTAAACCCCAGGTGGCAGGAACTGACTTTTTGTTTTGCCAAATCATGGCCTCGAGTATCATCTGGCACTTAATAAGAACACAACCACTGTGAACTATTGTTTTTTATTCCTGTTCTTAAAGCATGGTAAACAATGACAGCTGCTGGGTCCAGCTGTGGTTGATTATACATCCATGAACCCCAAATTCATAAACTCAAGAGGAAATTACATTTTTATTTTCACTATATATATGTATATTTTTGAGACAAAGTCTTGCTAGTCTAGTAATCCAGGCTTGCCTCGAATTCATTATGAGGCCTGGGCTAGCCTGGAACTCATGGCAATCCTCCGGCCTCAGCCTCCTGAGTGCTGGGATTACAGGCGTGTGCCACCACTCTCAGCATTAGCCTCTATAATATTGTATTTTCTTCAATTTTGAATTTAAGACAGACTCAGAGGACTGTTAAGTGTTCCTGGGCCTTTATTATCACTAGAAATCACAGTTGATTCCATACAGGTCACAGCCACTGCAGGGATTTTGAGGTATTATTGATGCTTATCAAATTTTTGAAATCATGGCAGTTTGGGATCTGCCCCTAAATCTTTTATTTAATTATTTTTTAAAAAGAACATATGTTCCTTTTTATTTTTTATTTATTTATTTATTTATTTATTTTTTGGCTTTTTCGTTTTTTATCGGTACCAGGGATCGAACTCACGACTGCCTGCTTACAAGGCAGGTGCTTATGCCGCTGAGCTAAATCTCCAGCCCCTATATGTTCCTTTTTAAATTAGATTTTTTTGAGACAGGGTATCACTATGTAGTTCAGGCTAGCCTTGAACTCTCTCCCAGGCTGGCCTCAAACTCACAGCAATTCTCCTGCCTTGGCCTTCTGAGTTCTGAGATTACTAGTGTGAGCTACCACACCCTATTTTAAAAAAAGAAAGCATATACTAAATCCCTAAATCACAGATTTAAAAATATTTTGAAGGGAGAGGGTATAACTCAGTGGTAGAACACTTGCCTAGAAGCTAGCACCACATACATACTCACAATCTGTTTCGGTGACTAGGTCAGTACTCATTATATTAGATCTCCTTTCTAATCCTATGTATTTTATTGAATGTGCTTTGGAAACTGCACACTGAAAACAGTTGAAAATCTCCAGATGCCGGAGGGGTCCATCTCACACACACAAGCAAAGATACTTAGAAGTGTCTCAAACTGGGCCTGTAATTCCAGCATTTGGGATGCTGGGGCAGGAGGATTGCCCAAAATTTGAGGCTAGTATGGCCAGCATGATTTTAAGACCAGTCTGTACAGTGTGATAAAAAGTAAAAGGTCAGCTGGGTGTGCTAGTGTATATCCCTAATCTCAGTGCTTAGGAGGCTGAGGCAGGAGGATCACCTCGAGTTTGTAGGCAGCCTAAATTACATAGTGAGTCCAGGCCAGCCTGAACTACATAGTGAGACCCTGTGTAAAAAAAAAAGTCTTGAAAAACCTGATGAGGTCTGGCCAGCACTCTGGGAAGGGCCAGAGTGAGGAGCTCAGAAGAGCACTGAGAATAGGATTTCCAGCCAGCGCCTGGATCTCTTCTTGGTTATTACATCATGATATCCACAGCAGCTTACAGCACAGAGGCTGGTACAGAGCACAGGGAGCTGCTGCTTCTCAGACCGAAGTTTAGCACTAAGCCCTCCTTTGTGCTCCACCTGGGCCCTTCGCTTAAAACCCTCTCAGAAACGCCCCTCCAGGCTGAAGAGGACTTTCTTTCCCTGAGAGTCTCCAATGAGACAAGGGAAGAAGAAAATAACATTTCTTTTTATAAACGCTCGCTCCTTTGTCAGAGCGACCATCTGAAGCCACAGCTTGTGTCTGAGGAGGGTGCCGCGGAGCCTCTTTCGCGCAAGCCCGATGGGCGCTCGCATAGCTGTAAAAGCTGCGACGTGGCACTGCCCCTCTGCAGGGCCTGTGTGTGGGCGCCCAGTGGCAGCATCAGACTCCGCGTTGTCTTGGCGGCTCAGCCCGTGACTCATCGCCTCTCCCGTGGGCTTCCTTACCGATCTCTAATTTGGGAGCCGAGCAAAAGAGCCCAAATAAACTTCCCTTTTGTCGTCCACCACCTTCACTTGGAGTTCTGGGGCCCTGTGCACAGGACATCATATGCCACAGGCTCAGGACACCTAGGGCGGCTCGCTGTTCCACTGCTGGCAGTGAGGACTTTCCCGGACTACTCCGGAGGCTGGATTGAGGGTGGAAGCTACTTGGGCTGAGAGACTCACTTTTATTTGCATTATTAATCAAAGGGAAACCAAATGCAGAGGACAAGGAGGAAATGCTAAAGAGCTGAGGTGATGTTGTTGCAAGGCCAAGTTTCTTACCAGAGGAAGGCATTGCTGTGCAGTGCTAGAAAGTGCAACCAAGGTGTCCCTGGCAAGGGGTGGGTAGAGCCTAGGTACAGGAGAGAAAAACCTGATTTTTCCCTTATCATGCCCTTTTATACCATTTGAGTTTTGTACTAAGTACATATATTAGTGATTTAAAATGATTTTTTTATTCATGCATGTTAAAAGACAATATGAATGTCGCAGGTGCTTAATAAATACAGGTTAAATTTAAACCGTTATTCGGTTTTTGAAACTAGCATTCAGGGACTATAGAGGCTACAGTGTGCCAAGGGCCCTTTGGTAATTCCTGTTCCACAGATCGTAGCAAATGGAGGCTCGGCTAGGAAGGAGGCGGGAGCCCTGCTCCTCAGCAGGGACCATCCCGCCTTCCTCCCTGGAGTGTGCAGTTGGAGGCACCAGATGCTCTGGCAGGATTCTGAGAGATGCCATCTGTGAGGGAAACCTATTCTTAGAGAGCAGAGACAGTCAGCGGTAGAGCCAGCCAAGCCTGGGCAGCAGAGGAGGGCCTTTGAGAGGGCAGGAGGCCAGGGCTTTACCTTCAACTATGGGGCCAGACAGGCCAAGAGAAGGGTGTCCCGAGTTCCCAGGAGCACATGGGAACTCCCAGTGTACATTTGAGCAACATTTACCACTGCACACTTTATGTGTTGTACTATTTAATCCTCCCACCCTTGTGAGGTGTGTTCTATTACAATACCCATTTTACAGATGAGTACGCAGAAAACAGGTAAGTCACTTATCCAGGGAAACTGAGGGGCCAGGCCTTGAGCCCAAGCATGCCGATTCTAAAGCCCACGTCCCTAACAAACCACATGTCACAGCTTCTTATCCTGCTGTAGCAGACTGATTGTAGTTTGGATTCCCCCAACAGCAGATGCGAAAAGGAGGATTTGAGTGCAAGTAGTTTATGTGATTAGTGGTCCCAGGAGGCACTGGCAGGGGAGTGAGGCAGGGAGAATGGGGAGGGCGTGTTCTCAGCCCCAGTGAGCAGGAACACCTTAGGGTTATCTGTGTTATTGATTGGTCCTTGTCTGAGGGCTGCTCCAAGGGGTGAGTTAATCCCCCAGCACCTTAAACCTGCAGGGTGGCAAAGCAGGCACCAGGGGCAAGCAGTGCCCCTGCTTCAGGCAGGAAGACACAGTGGGTGGCACTGGAGAAATTGCCAGTATGCACAGGGTGTTAAATTAGAGGGCACAGAGGCTGGGTACGGTACAGGGGTGATGGGCAACCTCTTCCCTCCCCGCAATGTCCAGAGTGAGTGTAAAGATCTCCAAAATCACCTACTCTAAGTTTGTAGTAAACTGTTGTGACTGAGAGCCCTGCTGATAAATCAGATGTAATCCCACTCAACCATCAACAGCTCCAGGACACACTGGTCACATGGGGAAACAATGGTTGGCCACATCTCATTGCTCAAGGTGGGGCTAATCTGGGAGCAGCCCAGCCCAAGCCTCTGGGCCTCACCTCAGGCCTTCTGGATCAGAATCGGCATTTTAATAAGTCCTTCAGCAACTCCAATGTGCATGTCTACTACTAACTTCTCAGCTAGAAAAAGAAACAGATTGGATAAATAATATATATATTATTCCATGGATATGTATCCATCCCCAGACTGGCCTCAAATATATGATCCTCTGGTCTCAGCCTCCAAAGTAGATGAGTTTACAAGCATGACACCCTGCTTCTGGTTTCCAGGGAGATACATATATATAATTTTGGGGGAAGCGGTACTGGGGATCAAAACTAGGGATGCTCTATCCTTGAGTTACATTCCCAGCCTAACCAACCTTTTAGAAACAAATTTATGGAGGCCAGGGATAGAGCTTAGTAGCACAGTGCCTGCCTGGCAAGCACAAAGTCCTGAGTTTGGAACCAATAAAAAAAGAAATACAGTCTCACTAAACTGTACAGATGAGACTTGAAGTTCCAAGTTTCCTGCCTCAGCTTCCTTGGGGAATGTATATTAACGGAAGTATTCCTCCTAGACTGAATCCCAACTTGGACCAAATTTCCTGGGGAACAGATCTGTCCCTCACAGTGGCTTCAGAACACCTGACAGACGGCTCCACCAGCCTCCAGTCCCCTATGTCCTGTCACCCCTGACTGCCTAGCACTCTGGCATTTCCACTTTTGTCCCTGCAGGCATTTGCCTTTGTGTCCCTCTCCAGGTCAGATCCTGCAAGTAGCTTACATTTGCATAGTAGGGGTTAGGTTTTAAAATTTAAAAGAAGGCACTGAAAAAAACATGAGCTTGGAAATAAGACACAGCTGAGTCAAACACTGATTTAGCTATCATACCTCCCTTCTCTGACCCCTCAGTTTCTACATCTTTAAATTGGGAATAAAAATAAAACGGGGATCCACACGCATACTTGTATAGTCATTGTACAGATTAAAGCACCCAGGAGGTAGAAGGAACTCCCTAAATTGGAGTAATTAGCGGTAGTGGCAGTAATTGCAGTTGTAAGAGTCCAGTGTGGACATATAATTATCCTGATCTTATGAGAAACTGAGGCTCTGACCTACCTCCAAAGTTACACATTGAGCAAGGACTCAAACTCTTAATTAATTTCTATGTTAATCATACGTTAAGTAACAATAATCTCAAAATATCAGGTTAAAATATGTAATTAACATTAATGTCATTTGTTTTTGCTTTTTGTTCCAGTGATGGTAATGGAACCTAGGGTCTAGCACACAGTAGAAAAGTGCTCTACTATTGAGCTACATGGCCCCAGCCCTGGAGAAATGTTAATTATACATATATGGCTCTTGTTGTGTTTCTTTTAGACAGCGAGGTTCTAGAACTTCTTCAATATAACACATGAGCCAAGGAACTTAATTTTTTTAAGCATTTGCAACCCACAGCCGATCAGCAAGGAGACCTGTATTACCTAAGGACAGTGAAAGACCCAACACACCACCAGAATGACTCCTCCAAGGGTATTCCTCAGGCTCCATGACCCCTGAGGCCCAGAACAGGTCACCCTGGTTTCGCCCAAGTCAGCAGCACATCTGGAACCAAGCCCAAGACTCCTCAGGCGGATTCCACCACTTTTTGTACCATTCAAAAATACCTACTGGGAACATCAGTGCTTTTACTTCGGCAAGTGGAACCCTGGGCTGATGCGACAGGAGTGTAAGGCCCATGACTCTGAGAAGGCAGCATCTTCTGGGAGGGTTTGCACGTGGAGCCAGACTTCAAACAATAGCTGGACACTGCCCAGAGCCTGTTGGGGTGGAGGGGCTTGCGAGGCACCTCTGCCTGCGTTACTTGGAAGGGCGGCTCTTGTTGTAGATGAGGAAGTCTGAGATGCCGTGCCACTCGTTGCTGTCCTTGTAGAGGTAGGTCATGGAGGACTGCAGTGAGGGCTGCAGCGTGTGCCGGTGGTACTCGAAGAGCCACAGCACAATTCCCCAAACCAACCCGGTGTATGCGGGGAACACGTTCCACCTGGGCTCAGGGATGTAGCCCTTCTCCAGGCCCAGGCGGCACAAAGCAAACAGGGCGCGTGATGTCAGGTACATGTTGATCTGAAGGAGAGAATGACAGAGATCACTGGGGGACACAGCCACTGGGGATCCTTCTGCCTTCCAGCCCCATCCCCTGGGGCCTCTGCTATGCACTGGCTGAGTGTTTTTCTTTGTTTTCTTTTTTATCGAGATGGGGTCTCACTATAGTTCAGGCTGGCTTTGAACTTGCTGTGTAGCCCAGGCTGGCCTCGAACTCCCAGTGATCCTGCCTCAGCCGACAGAGGGCTGGGATTACACATATGCACCGTCACACCTGGCCTTGGTTGAGCATTTTTTAAAGCTCCCATACAACATGATTTGACATTTTAATATTTCTATTTATCTTTTACTTATTCTTTTGAATTGGAAAATTTAAAAGGAAACACATTTACATGGGTCAATGCCAAAAGGTACCTTGACATCAAAAAAATGATCCATGAAAAGAAAAATTAATAGATTGGATCTCTTCAAAATTAAATATTTTTCTCTGTGGCAGTCCATGTGAAGAAAACGAAAAGAAAAGCTACAGATAAGGAAAAGATATCTACAAATGCATTTCTGACAAAGCATTAGTATCTGGAATATTAATCTCAAAACTCAGCAGTATTACTGGCACATGCCTGTAATCCCAGCACTCAAGAGGCTGAGGCAGGAACATAACTGTTTGTCCCAGGTCAGCTTGGGCTACATACTAAGTTTAAGGCCAGTCTGGGCTACATAATGAGACCTGTCTCAAAAACCTCAATAGTAAAAAAGAAACAATCTAATTAGAAAATAGGCAAAGGATATAAATATTTCTCTAAAGTAGTGATACAGATGGCAAATAAACACACTAAAAGATGTCCAGCATCAACAGCCATCAGAGAAATGCAAGGTAAAACCACAACCATATACACCTATCAAAATGGCTAAGATAAGAAACATGATAAACCAAATGTTGGCTAGGATAGAGAAACTAGATCACTAAGATATCCCCAGTGGAAATGTAAAATGGTACAGTCACTTGGAAAACAGTTTGGCATGGTTTTTTTCTTTTTCTACTCTTTTGGCAGTTTCTCTTAAAACTAAACATGCGGGGAGGGCTGGGGATTTAGCTCAGCGGCATAAGCGCCTGCCTTGCAAGCAGGCAGTCGTGAGTTCGATCCCTGGTACCAATAAAAAGGAAAAAGACAAAAAAAAAAACCAAAAATAAACATGCGGGGGCTGGGGATTTAGCTCAGCGGCATAAGCGCCTGCCTTGCAAACAGGCAGTCGTGAGTTCGATCCCCGGTACTGATAAAAAGGAAAAAGACAAAAAAAAAACAAAACTAAACATGCATGCAACATACAACCCAGCAATTGCATCCTGGACATTTATCACAGAGAAATGAAAATTTCTGTTCATATAAAGACCTGTATAAAAATGTTCTATGGTACATGCCTGTAATCCCAGCACTCGGCAGGCTGAGGCAGGAGGACTGTCTCAAATTTGAAGACAGCCTAAACTACATAGATAGACCCTGTCTCAAAACAAAACAAAACAATGTTCTAAAGTCAAGTGTGGGTAATACATGACTATAATTTCAACACTTGAAAGTTTAAGCCCAGCCTGGGCCATGTAGCAAAACCCTGTCACAAAATACTAAAATAAGAAGGGCTTAGGAAGGGCTGGGAACATAGCTCAATAGTACAAGTGCCTGCATGGCAAGTGCGAGGTTGAGTTTGATCCCCAGTACCAAATTAAAAAAAAAAAAAAAAAGGAAGAAGGGCTGAGGATATAGTTTGGTGTAAGGGCTTAAATTCAATCCCTAGTATAAAAAAAGAAAAAAAAAAAAAAAAAAACCTAAGCAGCTATGTGTGTAACACCCTAAAGCTGGTAACAACCCAAATGTCCTTCAGGAGAACCAGGGTTTTTTTTGTCTCTTGGTGGTACCAGGGATCAAATTCTCAACTTCACACTTGCCAGGCAGGCACTTATGCCACTGAGCTAAATCTACAGCCACCCAAATGTCCTTCAAAAGTTGAATTTTTTTAATAAACCATGGTATATCTATAACATGAAATATTACTCAGCAATACAAATCAATAAACTATTGCTACATAAGACAATCTGAATACATAAGACCAGGGATGGTGGCAGGCCTGTAATCCCAGCACTTGGGAGGCTGAGGCAGGAGAATCACTGGGAGTTCAAGGTCAGCTTGGGCAACAAAGTGAGTTAGTCAAGCCCAGACTGACTGCATAGTGAAACCCTATCTCAAAGAAAAATTTAAAAAAAAAAAAGGACAATTTGAGTGAGTCTCCAGGGAATTCTGCTGAGCAAAACCAGCCACTCCCTAAAAATTATTTACCATAAGATCCTACTTAAATAAATAATACTTTTTTAAAGGAAAAAATTTAGAAATGGAATAGAGTAGCTGTTAGGAATCAGGGAAGGGTAGCAGGGGAGAAATGTGGATATGACCAGAACTTCTGGTTTGGAACCTTGCAGATGGATGAAATTTCTAATGAAAAATTAGACTGCAGAGATTTACTTTCTGATTCATTTTTGTCCAACTCTGTCTGTCTCCACTGGGGATTAAAACCAGGGCCTCCCACACGGCAGGCAAATGTTCTACCCTGACTCCTGCTGTGGCACAGGGAGAATTTCTCAGGATGCAAAATGCTCATACCCTGAGACATGACAATTCCACGTCCAGGAACTTATCTTACAGACACATGTTAAGGAAATGTCTGAGCAAACAGGTAGCCTGAAGTCTGTGCATGACAGTGAAAGTCTAAGTTTCCTAAATGTCCATCTGGAGGAGATGAGGGAAATCATGTCACTGGTAGAGACCTCCACAGGTCCACCTGCATAGGCACTAGCGTTTTCCAAAGGCCACCAAACACAGTTAATAGGAACTGGCCCTGACAGAGGCTCGAATTAGGGATAGAGACAGTATTTTCAATTTGTTTTCTGATTTTTATCATGGTGTTTCCTAATGTTTTAGATGCATGCCAGGCACCTAGTCTGCATTTTTAATAGCTATAGTTCTATTCAGTCTATTTCTTCTATGTAACTTGGGTAGATTGTCTCTTTCAAAGAACTGGTCCACTCCAGTGGGTTATCAAATTCGTGAACATAGACTTATTCATGTTCCTTTATTGTCTTTTTAATGTCTGTGATGACACTTGCTGTCATTTCTGATATGGTAATTTGTATCTTTTTTTCTTAGTGAGTCTGACTCAGAGTGTATTGATTTCATTCATCTTTTCAAAGAACAAGATTTTGGTTTACTTGACTTCCTCTTTTTTTTTTTTTTTTTTTTGAGGTAGTCCCACTATGAAATATAGGCTGCCCTTGAACTTACTATGTACCCCAGGCAGGCCTCGAACATTAGGTGATCCTTCTGCCTTAGCCTTCCAAGTAGATGGGATTATACGGATGTGCTACTATGCCCAGCTAATCTACATCTAATAATTTAGAAGTAAAAATTATTTTACTTTTTTAATACTAGGAATCAAACTCAGGACCTCACAGTTACCAGGCAGGCACTGTGCCACTGAGCTATATCCCTGGCCTAACAGCCATATTTATAATTTAAAATTTAAGAAATCTGAAAGGCTATGCATGGTGGTCTACATAGCAAAATCCTGTCTCAAAACACACACGTACATATGGGTGTGCTGGTGCATGCCTGTTATCCCAGCACTTGGGAGGCTGAGGCCAAAGGATTGTCATGAGTTTGAGGTCAGCCTGAACTAAATAGTGAGACCCTGTCTCAGAAACAAACAAACCAGGGTCGGGGATTTAGCTCAGTGGCATAAGCGCCGGCCAGGCAAGCGTGAGGTTGTGAGTTTGCTCCTGGTACCAAAAAAAAAAAAAAAAACTAACACACACACACACACTTGAGAGAAATTAATGAGAGGGCAGAAAGCAGGAGACCTACCCACTTTTCATTTTGGCAAAGGGCATTAACAATAATACCTGGGTGGGGGAGTGTATACCTACAGAGGCTGACATATAGTGATAGCTTGAGCCTCAAAGAGGCTAGAGAACTAGATGTGGCTCATACATGCAATCTTTGGGCAGAAGGACCACAAATTCTAGTCCATTCTGAGTAACTTAGCACGACCCTGTCTCAAATTAAAAAATAAAAACAGTCCTGAGCCTCATCATTTATCATCACTTTATAAAACAAAGGAATTTTGCTAGGCGTGGAGGCACAGATCTATAACCCCAGCACTTGGAAGGCTGGGGCAGGAGGCCTGAACTACAGAGTGAGACCCTGCCTCAAAAAACAAAAACTGGGGCTGGGGATTTAGCTCAGCGGCATAAGCGCCTGTCTTGCAAGCAGGCAGTCGTGAGTTCGATCCCTGGTACTGATAAAAAGGAAACAGACAAAAAAAAAAATTAAAAAAAAAAAAAACTGAGCCAGGGATGTAGCTCAGCAGCACAAGCACCTGCCTGGCAAGTCTAAGGTCCTGAGTTTGAGTCCTGGTACCAAAAGCAAGCAAGCAAACAAATAAGCAAGCTAACTAACAAATAAATAAATAAATAAATAAAACCACACACACACACACACACACACACACACACACACACACACACACATTAAATCACAGAATGAGAAAGATTTTTTTTGTACTGGGATTGAACTCATGACCTCACGTTTGCCAGGCAGGCACTTACACACTGAGAGCTAAATCTCCTAATCTCCGGCAGAATTTTTTAATAGTTTTGTTTTATGATGTCTTTCCTGGGTCATCTTCCCCCTCCTTTCACCACAGACTGGACTTTTAAAAACATCTCTGCCCTAGGGAGGAGCACACTCATTGATTTGGGAATTCCGGACTAACCACCTGGTTTTGGATGAGGAAACTGAGAGCCAGAAGGGGCTTTCTGGAGATCACACAAGGACCGGTGGGTGAATCACAGACCTCACACAGGGAAGGCAACCAAGAGTTCATCTCCTTCCCACCCACCCTGACTTGACACCTCCACCTCAGAAGAGGATCTTTACCTGGCTGTTGATATTGTTGTTCTCCCTGAACACCAGGATTCCCCCGAGGCAGGCAGCCAGGAAGGAGTGTGCCTGGTGGGTCTGGCCTTGCAGGTGGGCCTGCAGGGTGCAGAGACCCTTGTAGATGAACACGAAGCGGGACAGGTTCCAGGAGTGGGTGTAGGTGGCCTGCAAAATGGCCCGCAGCTTCTCTCGGAGGCTGCACAGACACAGGGAGTCCGTGAGTGAGGCCAGCAGTTGAGGTCACTCACTTCCTGGCCAGGCGTGAACCACACTAGCAAGGCGTCTCCTCATCCTGGCCTCAGGGCTGCTCCCTCACCAGCTGCCACTTCCTCAGAGAGGCACTGGGACACTGCTTAGACAGGATGCCCTCCACTCTCCACCTGAAACTCTGAAATCCCCCTTCCCTGCCCCACCTCAGGAGGAGCTCCTGGAGGGTAAGCAGTGCCTAGAGCTGTACATTCATTCTCTGGGGCCCAGGACAGCATCTGGCACATAGTAGCTGTTCAATAAACCTTCTGAGTGCAGGTGTGAAGAAATGAATGGGTGAGTGAGTGCCACTACATGGTAGATCTGGGGATATAATTCTGGAAATAGAAGAAGAAGAAGAAAAAAAAACACATCTGCTTGCTGCCCTGTGTGGCCTAGGATAGAAATAGGACATAATCAACAAAGCAAGTAAAATTCCGATAGGAATTGGTCCTGGTATCTGAAGGACGAGGAGGAATTAGTGAGGTCCAGAGAGGAGGATCATTGTGCCCCACAGAGGACCTGACACATGCGAAGGGCAGAGTGGGGAGCAGAGAGACAGGCTGCTGTGGCCACAAGCAGAGAACGTGGGGGGAGGCTTTGTCTTCACTCTGAGAAGTAACTGCTTAAGCAGAGGTGATTTTTTTTTTTTACCACTGAGGACTTAACTGAGCTAAATGCCCATCTCCAACCCGTTAGTTTTTGGTGCAGTCTTGCTAAATCGTAAATTGCATGGGATAGATCTGAATTTTGTGATTCTTCTGCCTCAGCCTTCCAGAATGCTGGGATAACTAGTGTGGGCCACTTGGCCCAGCTTGATTTATCTTTTAAGAGTCACTAGGGGGCAGCAAAGATAAATCATGGAGCAGAGCATCTGCCTCTCAATTCCAGAAGGCACACTCAAGTGCTCTCAAGGTGAAGGAGCACCGGACATGGATAAGTGCATGGGGTGACTGGGCCCTGTGGAAGTGTGGCCTGAGAAGAGGGACAGCAGGGAACAGCCAGTTCCTGCCTCCGAGTTGCCAGCTGTAAAGGAGAAGCTGTGTTTCCATGTAATATCCCAGTGTTTTAGCGCTGGTCACAGCCCTGCCCTCCAAGCATTCCTAGAGAATGCCCACTTCTCATGCTCCTCCCTGGCTACCACCAGGGCTGCATCACTGCTGTTGCTCACATGGGTTACTGCCAGACTGCTAACACACACCCACTTCCGCCCTTGTGCTGCCCTTCTGTCCCCTACCAACCTGTTCTAAGTCTGGCAGTGCATTCTTTTTTTTTTTTTTTTTTTTTTTTTTGTCTTTTTCCTTTTTATCAGTACCAGGGATTGAACTCACGAATGCCTGCTTGCAAGGCAGGCGCTTATGCCGCTGAGCTAAATCCCCAGCCCCCTGGCAGTGCATTCTTAACCTAAATCAAATAAGCCAGGCACCACTGTGGCAAGTACCTGTAGTCCTAGCTACTCAGACGTTTAGGTGGGAGATTCACTTAAGGCCAGGAGTTGAGGTCACCCTGGGTAATATAAGATCCCATCTAAAACAAAATAAAATAGAAGCCAGCCAAATAATGGAATATTCCTGTGCAAAAGCTTTTTTTTTTTTTGAGATAGAGTTTCATTCTGCAGTTCAGGCTGGTCTCAAACCCCTGGCAAACCTCCCTGCCTCAGGCTCCTGCGGCTGGGACTACAGGTGTGCACCACCACATCGGGCTTCAAGGCAGTCTCTTTCTCATGGAGGCCTTTCAGATTTAGCAAACTGCCTCCCTTTCCAGCACCTCTGGTTCCCTCTTCCTCTTTCCCTGCCAGAGTTTTCTTTCCTACAGCCTGTATCTTCTGATACACTGCTACAGTTTGGGTCTGGAATGTCCCCCAAAGCTCATGTGTGGAAGGCTTGGTTCCAACATGGTGTTTACTGGAGGTAGTGGAAATTTTACAAGGTAAGTGGATTTGAGAAAACAGGTCACTGGGGACAGGTCCTGAAGGATATATTGGACTCCTGGCCCTTCCTTTCTGTCTTATTTCCGGGGTGCTAAAGATGGACCCCGGGTCTCCTGTGTGCTAGATAAGAACCCCACCACTGAGCTGCACACCCAGGCCTCGCCTCTGCTTCCTGGCTGCCACGGGGTAAGTGGCTTTGCCCTTCCACCCTTCTGCCATGATCTGTTTGACACAAGCCCAGAGTAATGGGGCAACCACGGGCTAAAGTGTGAGCTACCATTTTCCTTTTTTAAACTGATTTTCTCAGGCATTCTGTCACCATAGCTGAAAGCAGACTAACACACATTCTGCCTACTTTCTCTGTTATGTCCATTTGCTGCCATGGTAGCTCTAGGAGCTAGATGGTAAGCTCTAGGAGGGCAAGAATCAATTTACTTTTTTCTTTTTTTAAAGTTTTCACTGTAGGGATGGAACCAAGAGCTTTCTCACTGAGCTACACGTCAAGCTCTTTGTTGTTCTGAGATAGAAGCTTGCTAAATTGTGCAGTCTAGGCTCAAACTTGTGATCTTTGGCTGGGTGTGTGGTGCACACTTGTAATTCCAACACTTAGGAGGCTGAGATAGGAGGATAGCTGTGAGCTCAAGGCCAGCCTGAATTGCATCGTGAAACCTTGTCTCAAAAAAAAAAAAAAAAATCACTTGTGATCCTCCTGCCTCAGCTTCCCAGATTAGAGACTACAAGCATGAGACATCATGTCTGAGTCAATCTGTTTTGTCCACTGTTGTATCCCTAACACCTATAACAGTGTCTGCACAAGCAGATGTTCAAAAAATATTGACTGGCTGAAAAAGCTCCATTTAAAAAAAAAAGTGGTTTGAGTTGGATGTGGTGGTGCAAACATGTAATTCTAGCATTCTGAGAAGCTGAGGGAGAGAACTGCAAATTCAAATCCACCTGGGCAATTTATTGAAATCCTGTCTTAAAATTTAAAAAAAGTTGCTGGTGTTATAGTTCGGGGCAAAGGCCATGGGTTCCAGCCCCAGTACTACAAAAAAAGGAAAAATAAGCCAAGGGGCAGGAAGGGGGACTTCAAAACAAACAGAAATACAAAAGGAGAACGGCAAGTTAGACTTGGCAGTAGGCTACTGGTGTGTGTTAGGGTCAGGGTGGGCCTGGGTACATAAAAACTAGACCCTCAGAAGCCCTCTGAGACGGGCTGTGAGGGAAGAGTCACCGGCGACCCAGGAAGGCCAAACTGGGCGAGTGAAGCAGAGCGCAGAGAAGGCCTTTTAGAGGACGCGAGCCACAGAGAACTGTTGTGGGCTGCAGGAAGTGGAAGGCAGGTAGAAGATGAAAGGGCACCCCTGAAACGGGAGCAGGACAAGCAGATGTGAGGAGTGGAACCACACCTGCACGGGCATGGGACACTGCTGAGTTCTGTGTGCCAGACCCTGACCTAAGCCGGTGTCCACACAGCGGGAGACAGTGCAGAGGCTGTAGGAGCCCTGCCTGGAAGGTGGGCTGCTCTGGAGGATGGTAGGGAGCTAGGGCATCTCCACGCAAGGACTGGCCAGAGTTGGGTTTAGGAGGTATGGGGGGTGACAGGCTAGACCCGGCTGGGAAGCTACTTCGACCGTCTTGGCACTGAGGGCTGGTTTGAATGGGTACCTGCCACTCCTGAAGAGAAATGTCATGACCAGAGCATGAGGGGCCCGGATTTTGGCTCCATAGCTGTAGAAACAAAAGAAAACAGTTATCAAGGCATCACCACAACTATTCCGTGGTGAGCTCTCCCTTGGACCACTTGGCCCCTTTCCCCACCCTCAATACTAACACTAGTTTGGGAGAAGAAACAATTCTGGCTTTCCAATTAGATCTGGATTCAAATTCTAGTTCTTCCTGATAGCCCTCATGGGCCTAAGGCTTGTCATTTAACTTCTCTGAGCCTCCATTTTTCCACCCATAAAATAGCACACTAAACCTCAGAGGGCTTGTTATACTTTTGTTGGAAAAAGACAACGTATGTAAAAGGTCGTGTCTGGTCCCGTGTCGCAGTTCCCCACACTCCCGCTCAAGGAGCTCCACCCTGAAGCTCCCAGCAGGCACACTCATCTGTTCAGGTATCTGTGGTGCTGGAGAGGGAATCCAGGGTCTTAAGCATGCTCAAGAAGCTCTCTACTATTGAGCTCACTCCTAGCCCCAGATACACCCTTAAAAAACGTAAATCCCATGATATCACTTCCAGCTAAAAACCTTCCACCATCTTTCTGCTTCTTCAGAATAAAAGCCAGGCTTCTCCTCATAACCTTGAAAGGGCCATAGGACTTAGCCCCCACGCACACTGGAGCCCTCTAATCCTGTGCTAGCCACACTGGGCTCCTGCCTTTGCTCAGGCCGTTCCTTTTACTTGGCATGCTCTTCTCACCCTTCACCCAGCTGCACCCTTCACTCGGATGTTTTTCTTTTCTTCTTCCAAGGTTTTTTGTTTTTGTGGTACTGGGGATTGAAGCCAGGGCCTCAGGCATGGTAAGCAAGCACTCTGCCAGTGAGCTACACCCTCAGGCCCTTTCCAGTTTGAATAATTGATTAAATTAGTTAGGTTTTGTTTTGTTTTAGTTTTTTTTTTCTTTTTCGTTTTTATCGGTACCAGGGATCGAACTCACGAACGCACACTTGCAAGGAAGGCGCTTATGCCGCTGAGCTAAATCCCCAGCCCCTTGTTTTAGTTTTTGAGACCGGGGCTCACTATGTAGCTCAGGCTGGCCTTCAACTCACTGTGTAACCTAGGCTGGACTCAAACTTACTGCAGTCCTCTCGCCTCCCCCTCCCTTATGCTGGAATTACAGGCCCACCATGCCCCTGGTTAGGTGAAGGGTTTAAAAACTTTTAAAATTTAGTTGAGTACACACCAGAAAAAAAAAAAAAACTTTTAAAATGGAAGAACTAAACTGGATGTGCTGGTGCATGAGCATAATCCCAGTACTATAGGAGGCTGAGACAGAAGGATTGCAATTTGCAATCCTTTGAATAATTGATTAAATTATTAAATTGATTAAATTTTTCCCCTCTGTGGCTCTGAGGGGAATCTGAGCCCAGCTTGGGCAATTTAGCAAGATTTTTTCTCAAAAAAAAAGGGGGGGGGGCCTGAGGATATAACTTAGTGCACAGGCCCAGGGTTCAATCCTCCAGTAACACACATACACACACACATACAGACAAGATCGAGGCTCAAGGACCTGACCTAGAATGTTGGCCCTGGCTGGGAAGGTTCACTGAGAGGACAGAAAGAGCCAGAATGAGGGCAGATACACAAAGCCAGTGTTGGTCAATGCCTAATGGACCTAGGGTCGTGTGACTCCTACTTGCTTTTGCTGTGCCCTTAGCAAAAGGACTACTGACATTATCTCAAGGTCCAACCTATCCTGGCCACATCAAATAGTGGCTGTTATGATCTGGGCAGATCTACCAGGTACCATTTTCTCCTTGACTCTGAGTTCCCATGGAAGCCAAGGCTACATTTCTGGTACTTTAAAATTTTTATTATGATTATGATTATAATTATGATTATTTAAACTTTGAGACAGGATCTCACAAAATTGTCCTGGTAGGACTCAGAAATTGTGATCCTCCTGCCTCAGTCTTTTTTTTAATGTCTTTTTCCTTTTTATTGGTACCAGGGATTGAACTCACGACTGCCTGCTTGCAAGGCAGGTGCTTATGCTGCTGAGCTAAATCCCCAGCCCTTCCTGCCTCAGTTTTAATAATGAGATTACAGGTATCTTCCATCACGCCTCCCAAGAAGTTTCGGTTTCAAGAATTAAGTGTAACACATTGAGTGCTATGCAATTTATACTTTTAAGAAGATGGTTGTCATACTTGCTACCTCATCAGAACTGTCACATGGAAAGATGAAGTTGAGTACTTCCCAGTGTCATCCCATAGAACTTAACGGGGGTTGGGCATTCTGAGTTTGAACGTGATATGACACGTGCAATGGGTATACATCTCTGAGCCATCTCTGAGTCATCTCATCTAGAGAATGGAGACAATATCAATTCTTATTTTGCACATACTCATCCATTTAGTTACTCAATACTTGAGATTCTATTACTATGTAGCATGTACTAGGAGTATACCAAGAGACATAGTAGGAAAAACTTCTGTCTTTAGGTTGGTGAGTGGTAGAATGTTTGCTTAATGTACTTGAAGTCCTAGTTTTGATCCTCAGAGCCACAGAGGGGAAAAAAGTCTTTCCTCATGAAGCTAACTTTCTAGGAGAAAAACTGACCAGAACAGCAAGAAACAGCTAGGGACAGTAGCACATGCCTGTCACCCCAGCTACTTGGGAGGCTGAGGTAGGAGGATTGCCATGAGTTTGAGGGCAACCTGGGTTACACAGCAAGTTCAAGGCCAACCTGGACTACACAGGGAGACCCTGTTTCAAAATCAATCAATCAATCAATCGGCTGGTCCGATGGCAGTGGGTTATCAGAACTTATTAACATTAGTGTCACTAAAGTTGATATACCACCCCCCCCCACTGCTAAATTTGACTGGCTTTAAAAAAAAATCAATCAATCAATCAATCAATAAATCAATAAGACTGGGGATGTAGCTCAATGGTAGAGTGCTTGCATACCATGTACAAGGTCCTAGGTTCAGTCCTCACTACTGCAGAAATAAAACAAAGCAAAGCAAAACATTAAGACAAACAAGCAAGCTATTAAGTGTCCAGTGATGACAGGAATTCACAGATGGCCTCAATAAGCAGATGAATTTAAGCAGAGGCTGGAGGAAGTTGAGGGAGTAAGCCAGGTGGACATCAAATGAATATAACAAGAGTAAAAGGCAACACTTTCTACATGTACCTGGTGCTGTGCTAAGCATTTCACACATACTGACTCAATCTTCTAACAGTATGATATACTTTCTTTATAGAAGCAGAGATTTAGGATAAATGACTTGCTCAAAATCATATAAGCAAGTGACACCAGAATTCAAATCTTGCCAGGCCACATGCTCACCACCACTCTGCGGTGCCACCAGGATATGCCAACTCCAGGGTGATACAGGCCTTTCTCTAGTTTGTTTCTGTTTTGTTGCTGGTTCTGGCCCAGTAGCCTTCGAATTGATGGTGGCTCTTATGCAGGTGGTCTAACGGAGGCCATGTGAAATGACCCCAGTTGCTCCTCATACAAGGCTGACAAGGTGAGATCAATATGCCCCGCAAATACTTGCAGCTTTTTTTTTTTTTTTACATCCACTGTCACATCCCAGGAGTTACCAATACCAAATGAGAACTAGGCAAAGGAGTCACAGGATAAGGATTGTGAACCCATGGACAGCTTAATGGGGGTAGGAGAGTGCCTCCCTGCTAAAGGCCAGAGTTCAGTTCCCTATTGTGCAGACGGGGCCTGTCCAAAGAGTGTACAGCGATGCAGGGTGACCTGACTCAAATAAGGGGGATAGAGGTGCTGCCGAGAGACGATCAAACTAGTAGGGCCAGGTTGTAAAGCAGGAGGACCCGGAAAATGCACGCTGACAAGGCGCTCAGAAGGCCAAATCCTACTGTACAGATGATGGCTCTCCAGACCTACAGACACACGGTTCTGTTCAAGGGCACTGGGGCGGCGCAGCTGGGCCTCAAACTTGCGCCTCCGACCCCAACCATGTCGGTCTAGCCCCTCTGCCCCAACCCGCCTGACAGCCCCACTCACACGGCCCCGTTCCGGAAGCCCTTAAGCATGGCTAACGCAGCGTGGTAGCGGCGCTTGCGCAGCAGTGCGTTTATCGCCAGGAGGAGAGCCTTCAGCTGCGGTGGGACGGCCATGGCGCGGGAGACGCGCGGGGTGGAGGAACCCAAGTGGACACTCACTGACAGCGTGGGTTCTGGCTGCACCCTGGGTACAGAGGTGGTTCAGCCGCAGGGATGTACCCATACGCCGTATCTGCCGTCACTCATGTAGGGAGAGCCAATCACAGAGGGCATTTGTCTCTCCCTTGTATGGGACGGTTTTTTGCTCTTCGAAACAACTGTCTGATTGGAAGAGAAAGGAGAGTTTGTAACTAATCACAGTGTCGCGGCCTCCTGAACTTCCAATCAAAAGGTATGTTCCTTGGCTTGTTAGGCGCACAGGTGGACTAAGAAGGAGTCGTGTCACCAGTGACTGGCTTGCCCCAGGGTTTGAAGAGCTTTCCTCGGAGTTGAGATAGTTAAGTTTTATGTGGTGACACTCGGAAGTATTTGGCCTCGTTTTAAATGTGACAGTTCTGATAAGGTAGCCAGTATGACAACCATCTTCTTAAAGCATAAATCACATGACACTCAATGTATTACATTTGATTCTTAAAACCCAAACTTCTAGAGAGGCGTGATGAAAGATACTTGTAATCTCATTATTATTTTTTCGTCTTTTTCATTTTTATCGGTACCAGGGATCAAACTCACAACTGCCTGCTTGCAAGGCAGGTGCTTATCCCGCTGAGCTAAATCCCCAGCCCCTGTAATCTCATTATTGAGGCTAAAGCATGAGGGTTACAAATTCTGGGTCCTGCCAAAGCAATTTAGTGAGACTCTGTCTCAAAAATTAAGATAATAATAATAATAATAATAATAAGTAAAGGATTGGGAATATAGCTCAATGGCAGAGTGCCCCTGGGTTCCACATGTAATACAGAAAGGAAGTTTCTGACTCACCTTGTTTTTTCCTTCAAAATTTTAGACACGTTGAAATCGTTTGCTACATGCAGTTGATTACATAGCCCAGGGATTACAGCACTGGTTTTGAAATTATTTGCTCCATGATCCATTATTCTTCTAGGATCTTAGTTCCATGGGAACAGAAAGCTGTTTGTCATGTTTTCTGATGTAACCTCAGTCCTTGGTACATGATGGGTGCCAAACTTGCCTGCCGAAGCAAACAGTGTTGTGCTGTCATCTTCCAGAGCATTGACGGATGGCATTTATATATGATGTTACTTTGTGAAGTTGTCATTGGATAACAGCTACACATTGAGTCATGGCTGACATTTGGGGAGGAGGCCCTCTTTTGTACTTGGCTAGCGATGTTTACCAGATATTACCTGAATCAAGGACAGAGGACAGTGTCAGAAGTCAGTGAAAGAGAATAGCCCTGAACCTACTTTTATTATCATTTTCTATTTATGTACATTAGTTATGCAGAAAAATGGGTTCCCTCTTTGCATATTCATAGATGCATACTAAAGACTTTCATCTTTTCTGTCCCACATTACCCCATTTGTCCTCTCCCCCTTTCCTGTACGGGAACTGTTTTATCACTGAGACTAGATTTTCTGTGTGTTTTCTTTTGTAGTGATGGATTAGTTTATTGAGTTAATCCTTCCTTTGAAAATAATAACTACATTAGATAATATACAAAATATCCTCTCCTTTCCCACAGGAAGCACAGGCTGGTGCCACCACTGTGTCTCCAGGGATACCTAAGAAGTCCCAGGATGCTTCAAAAGTACCCTATACCAGCACTGATGGGTTCTGGGAAATAGCCTTTGCCATCACTGCCATGAGGGTGTAGGGTGAAGATAAGCTCATGTTTTGTTCAGTAAAATGGACACTGACCTCACCAAGAGGACTAAAGAACTCACTGAAGATGTGATGTAACATGATCATGATTGTGCACAACTCATGCCAGTATAAGACCCTAGACTGATTCTCAAGCAGATAGGAAGATATGAAAGATGGAAAATACACCGAGGTTCTGGCCAGTGCTTTAGGCGATAAGTTTTGTGAAGGCCTGAGGCAGGTGATGAAGGTTAGCCCCATAGAAGGCCCCTACATTAAGGACCTGAAGCCAGCATACCAAGATCTCTGGCTGCCATGGCCACATTGTAGCTGATGGTTGTGTTCAAGAAGTAAAAGAAGTGAATCTATAGGCCTTTCTTGTTAAAAAATTTATCTGTCTGTCTAATCTACAAGGTCTCACTAAATTAGTCATTTGCCCAAGCTGAATTGGAATTTACAATCCTCTTGTCTCAACCTCCCAAAGCACTGAGCTATGCCCGGTTTGGGGGATTTTTTTTTTTTATACTGGGGATCAAACTCATGACTGTGTGCTTACAAGGCAGCTGTTTTTGCTGCTGAGCTAAATCTTGGGGACTGTTTTTAAAGCTCTTCCTTGAAAAGTTGTGAATCCTCTGTAGGTCAGGGAGTACAGCCTAGTGGATCAAGAAATCTCAAGCTATGAACTGGAACCTGGTTCTCATAACTGACTGGGTGTGCTCCCAAACCTGTGGCAAAAAACAAAGCCTCTCTAAAGAAAGCCCAGAGAACCAGCACAGATAATTTTTTTGTTATTGGTTTGTTTTGAGACAGAGTCTTTTTCTTTTTTATTGATACCGGGGATCAAACTCACGACTGCCTGCTTGCAAGGCATGCACTTATGCCACTGAGCTAAATCCCCAGCCCTGAGACAGGGTCTTGCTTTGTAATTCAGGTTGGCCTTGAACTCACTATGTAGTCCAGGAAGGCCTTAAGCTCACAGTGATCCTCCTGCCTCAGCTTTCTGGGATCACAGGCATGTGCCATCACTTAGTCATCACAGAAAACTTTTCAAGAGATGACTGCCACACACAGTCAGTGACAACTGAATTCCCAAAACAACAGAAAGAAGAACCTTCATGCATTTCAGATACTGTAATTCACAGACACAGGTTTAAAAAATAATGCGCACAAAATATAAAGTTAGAAAATAGCTGTAGGGAAGAGAAAAGGTTTTTCAGTACTTCAGGCCTTTACACTGAGCTACATCATTTTTTAAAAAATTTTTGAGACACTAAGTTACTAAGCTACCCAGTCTGGGCTCAAACTTGCTGTCCTCCTGCCTCAGCCTCCCAGAGTACCAGGATTACAAGCCCCAACTGTGCACCAACTGTGCTCAGCAGAAGCTATTTTTAAATTATGGCAGATGTGAAAAGAAACAAACAGAATTTTTAGAAATGGCCCCTGCTGCTTGCATGGAGAATCAGACACTAATCTTTGACATATGGCCCTGAATTGGGCACATTTGGAAATTATTTGGCTTGGCAAGTTCTTCATTTGTGCTATCTTTTGCTAAGACCTTTGTTACACAGAAGAGTAAGTTTTTGCTCCAGGAGCCTCCCAGGTTATTAACATAAAGAGATACTGTAATGGGAACACTAGTGCCTAGTAACCCTTTTATTTTACATAACTCTTTGAGTTCTTCAGGATGGGCCTGTTCATTTCATCTTTGTCTAGAGAAATAAAATTCACTTAGTAAGTATCTATAGATTACTTATTGTGTACCACAGATTGTTTCCTGAGTGTCCACATATACAGAGAAGGTTTTGATATCGTTCAGGGTAGCTTTGAACTTACTATTTAACACAGGCTGGCCTCAGACTCATGGTGATCCTCCTGCCTCAGCCCCAAATGCTAGCATTATAGGCATATGCCGCTATGCCTGGATCCCTGTCTTTTTTTCCCCTCCAAAATGAGGACCCTCATGCATTCTAAGCAAATGTTTTACCACTGTGCTATATTCCCAGTCCTTGAGTGCTATTTTTGTTTCATGGTGGAGCTTGAACCTATGTTACATAAATGGTAATATCTACCAACCACTGAGATACATGCCCATCCTGAATACTTTTGTTTTTTCACTCTTGTTTTTTTTGTTATGTTTCTTCACTCTTATAGCAACTCTATGTTATAGGTATTCTAACTATGTCATTTGTCCTGCAAGAAACAAGCATCAAGAAGCAAAGTAACTTACTTAAGATGATGTAAAGGATGGGCCAGAGTTTGTACCAAAGTTTCTGATCTTGACCACTACCTTAGTTTGCTAGGGCTGTTCTAATAAAATGCCACAGTCTGTTGCATAGTGACAGCAATCTATTTTCTCACCATTCTAAAAGCTAGCAGTCTGCACTAAAGTGTCAGTGGGTTTGGTTTCTCCTGAAGTCTCTCCTTGGGCTACAAGGGGCCAGTTCTTTGTGTGTCCTCACATGGTCACCCCTATCTTTGTGTGTCCAATGCCCCACCTCCTTTTGTATTATTGGAGATGGAAGGGAGCTTTTCTTCAGCCCTTTTATTTATTTATTTTTGATCCTGCCACAGAGTTGAGCTAAGTTGCTCAAGTGTGCCTTAAAGGTGCAAGCCTTCTGCCTTGGGCTCCTGAGAAGCTGAGATTTCCAGTGTGTAGTTCATCTGTGCCTGGCCCTAATCTCACTGTTATATAATGATATTGCACTAGGACTCACGTTTATAACTTCATTTAGCTTTTTTTTTTTTTTTTTTTTTTTTTGCTACTGGGGATCGAACTCACAACCTGTACTTGCCATGCAGTCACGTATGCTGTTGAGCTAAATCCTGGGCACAATTTTTTATTTTGTAATGAGAATTGAACTCAGGGCCTAGTGTTTGCTAGACAGGCGCTGTGCTGCTGAGCTACATCCCCGGCTCTATTTAACCTTAATTATCACTTGTTCTTGTTGTTGTTTTGTTTTTTTGAGACAGGGTCTCACCATGTAGTTTAGGCAGTTCCCAAACTAGCAAGGATCCTCCTGCCTCAGCCTCCCAAGTGCTCGGATCACACGCATGCGCCACCATGCCCAATTTAATCTTAATTACCACTTTAAGAGTTTCACCTTCGGGGCTGGGGATTTAGCTCAGCGGCATAAGCGCCTGCCTTGCAAGCAGGCAGTCGTCAGTTCGATCCCCGGTACCGATAAAAAAGAAAAAGACAAAAAAAAAAAAAAAAAGAGTTTCACCTTCAAATATAATCACATTATGAGGTTCTAGGGGCTAGGATATTAACAGGTGGGGCCTGTAGGGGGCAAGGTGGACACAATTCATTCATTAAAACTACCATGTTTTGTAGCCTGCTATCAATAACAAACCTAACAAGATGTCAGAACCCAGCACCCTAATTTTCTTACTCTTAAACTGGGGGTCTAACCAGGTGTGGTGGTGCATGCCTGTCATTCCCACACTCAGAGGGTCACTATGATCCTCTGAGTTCAAGGCCAGCCTATGCTACATACAGCCTGTCTCCAACAAAATCAAACACAGGGAACAAACAAAACCTCTCCAAAACAAGTGGGAGTCTGGCTTAAGGTCTTCATGTTTCTCTTCTTATACAGAAAAGTTAACTTTTTTTTAAATCATATTTTATTGGTATATCTCAGATATACAAGAGTACCACATGCATCCTGGAGACTGTACTTGTATGTGATATAATTGGTTTCTTTTCTTTTTCCTATCCCTCTACCCTTCCTTCAACTCCTCCTCCCCTCTCATTTTACAAAAGCTTTATTTTCATTCTTTTTTCCTTCTCCTTCTTCTTCTCTCCTTCTTTTGGTACTGGGAATCGAACTCACGACCTTGCCAGTCAGGTGCTGTGCTGCTGAGCTACATTCCTGACCCTTCTCTCAATTTTATTTTTTTTAAGAAGTTAGCTGGACACTCACTGTGGAGTTAGACAATAGAAATCTCCTAAACTTTACTTCTTTCCTACCTGGCTCTCTGCCCGGAATGACTATATTACTTAAGCTCAGAAATTCGTAGGCTGTGATTTGCCACCAGTTAAAACAGTTCAGTGCCAACCAGGTGACCCTGAGAGAATGGCCGTATGGCTGGTGAAATTTTGATGACGAATAAGATGGCAATAAAGAATGGAAAGTTTGTAGGAAGCGGCAGCCTGACTGGGCAGTCTGTTGCTGGGTTCTACATCCCAGAATGCTCATCCCATGGTCCATCAAGCCGATAGTCAAACATTTTCCAGGGTGCCTCTGTGCACAAGCCTTGAGGTGCAACCAGGCGGACACAGTAATCCCTGCTCAGAAGGGATGAAGAAAGAGAAAGCTGCTGACTGCAGGAGACTGTCACAGGACAGGGATGGTACCAGGTCCTGTGAGAACCTAGAATGGCGAGGGAGAATTCTGCTGCTTTCTGGGAGGTCAGGGAAAGCTGCTCAGAGGCTGCCAGAGGGCAAGCTCCTGTGGTTGTGCTGAGGGCAGGTACAGCATTTCAGGAAGGGGAAACAGCATGTACCCAAGGTCTGCAGGGCACCAAGAGAACGTACCACAGGGGTCTGTACTGCAGGTAGGGCCCAGCACCTCCACTGCTCTGGAATAAAATCGAAATCCTCACGATGGCCCTGTCCCTCGCCTCTCCCACACCTGACTTCACACCCGCAGTACCCACAGTACTAACCTCACTGCCCTCTTACTATCCTGGGCTTCCTTTTTTCTTTTCTTGGTACTGAGGATTGAATCCAGGGCCTCAGGAGTGCCAAGCAGAGCCTGGCCTCCTTCCGTTTGGGCCTCAAAGCCTGTACACTTGCTGTTCCTTCTGCCTATTTGTTCCCTTCTCACATAGATGATTTTGCTCCTTCCTTAGACCCTGAGGGAATGGGCCACAGTACTAACCTCATTGGACAAAAGTAGCTTCACCTCCTCAGACAGAATGTATTTAAAATGAGACCCACCCCTGCTGCTTTATACCCCAAGTACCTGCTGGGCTAACTCCATTAGGGCAAGGATTTTGGGCCAAATTTTGCTCATGGTTGTGAGATCTAAATCCCCTACATCTAGAGCATTGTCTGACACAAGGCAGGAGTTTAGGAAATACTTTTCAATTAAATGGGTGAACATATTATTTTCCTTGAGCAATACTTTTTAAAAGGCACACTGAGAAAAGCTGTATTTGCAGAGGAGATGAGAATCTGAGGCCAGTGGGTCAGTGAGAATGTTAAAGTAAGGAAGAGGATCTCAGCGAGTAGGTCGTGGCAGTCTGGGGACCCCGGCTTGGGGCATGTGTGTGTGTGTGTGTGTGTGTGTGTGTGTGTGTGCACCTGTGCGTGTGCATGAGCTCAAGGTTTCCCAGCAAGGGGGGACTGATGGCATGGGGGTAGCAGTGGAGTACACAGCGTAGGTAGTTAGGGGAGATGGGGAGTCATTGGTAGAAACAGGCCTCAATGGGGTGAACAGGCAGGGGGTCTGTGGGGCAAGTTATCAGAATCATGGCACGCAGTGCTCCACAAGGGAAGAATGACTGCGAAGTCAAATGTTTTTGAGCACTTGGGTACTAGGAACTGAACCCAGGCAAGCGCTCTGCCGCTGAGCCACATGACCCTTTTAAAATTTTTTTCATTTAGAGACAGATTTGCTAAGTCTGGGATCGAGCTTGAACCCCTCCTGCTGCAGCTTCCTGAGCAGCTGGGTTTATAGGTATGCGCCACCATATTCAACCTTGAACTTTAAAAAATTTTAGATGGTCTATGTTTATTTATAAAAGAAAACGAAAATTAGAGATTTCATTATTTCTTCGGGTAGGGCTAAAATAGAACTTTATGTAAAAACCATGAGACTATATGGAGTCAAATTCATGGCAGTCCAGGCATAGGAGGATATGGTCATGATCATGGGGGAGCCATTGTTGATGGTGCCTCTGTGGTGTATCTCTATGTTCTCCCCTCAATTCTTCCTTGTTGCCTGTGGGCCCTTCTTTGAAACCTCTATCATCCACTTTAATTTTTTAAAATTGAAAGTCTTCTTTCCAGACTCCTAACTGCATGGGAAGGGCCACCATAGGACTCAGGGGCACGCAGGCCCTCAAAGATAGAGAAGGATTCGAGAGTGAGGCTGAGGGGTGGAGTCCCTTAAGTCTGGGCTGAGAGCAGCTGAAGTGGGTTTGGGGTTTATGTGAGAGAATATGCCGGAAAGGCAGGGATGGGAGAGGTCGCAAAAGGTAGAAGTGGGGTGCAATAACCATAGGTTATTAAAACCAGGCAGAGAGGGGTGACATGGAGAGAGAGAGCCGAGGCTTCCCTTAGGCAAAGGTGAAAGCCGCTGCTGGTGGGGAGAATGGGATGTTATTGAGCAGGATCTCTACGGCACGGGGGCGGAGGGGAGGCTGTGACACTGTTGAGTGGTCTAGGTGAGGAGGGACTGGGGCTGCTGCCAAGTTGGGGTCTCCGGTGCAGTGAAGGTGGGGGAGGCTTGTGCCAGAGCTGGCCGTAAAGTCTGGAGCGAGGGGGGCCATGCAGATAATAGGGTTGGGTGGGAGTCCTGCGCTGCGGCGGACATGGGTCCGTGTAGTTGGAAGTTCAAGCGAGGTGGGGATGAGGTTCCACAAGAGCCGGCGACTGACTCGGGCGCGGTAACCCAGGAGTGTGGGGGTCCCCGCGACGCGGCTGGCTTTGCAGTGCGGGGAGCTAGGCGGCGGCTCCCGGGCGCCCCCTAGCGGCCTCGATTCCTCCGCTGCCGCCGCCGCCGCCGCCGCCGCCGCCGCGGATCCCACAATGCTCGCGTAGCCCGGCTGGGCTCCCGAGGCGGCGGCGGCGGCGGCGGTTCCAAGATGGCGCAGGCGATCTTCGAGGCCCTGGAGGGTGAGCAGCGGCGGGGCCGGGGAAGCGGCTGTTCCGCGGCGCGCCCCCTCCCGCCGCGCCCTCGTAGCGCCGGTCCCAGGGCGCGCGGCGGCCGCGGGGCGGAGGGCGCCGGGGCCGGAACAGCCGCCGGGCGGGAGGAGCGCGGGCAGGAACAGCCCTGGGAGCCGAGGCCGGGGGTGGAGGATCGGGACCGGAACAGCGGCCGGGACGGCGCTCGGTGGCGAGGGGAGGGCACCGAGGCCAGAACAGCCGGGGAGAGCTGGTCCGGCGGGGAGGGGGCCGCGGGACCTGAACAGCTGCAGCCTCCGAGGGTTTTCCCGAGGGAACTGCGGGGCTAGGAAGAGGCTCCGCGGGATGTTGGGGCGCGGAGGGGACGTCGGTGCGGGAGCGGCTGCGGGGCAGCAGCGCCTTGGCGGCCAGAGCATTTGAGCCTGGCACCTTGGTCACGAAGAACTTCCTTTAGCGAACTCTGTGCCACGTGCTGGGTGTAGACCCAGAAAGGAGGCGTCACCTGTGTGCAGGCCCCGAACTGGGAACTCACAGAGCTGAACCGGCAACACTGGCGCCTACTGTGTGCATTATGCCAGGTGCAGAGTTTTACAAACCTTCGTGCTGGCGTGTGTCTGGCCGAGATGTGGTGCTTTTAGTTGCAGACTGTCAAACATGGTGTCCAAAGCGACTCTCCTTCGATCTGCACTACACTCTTGGAATGGAGGGTGGCCCACAGACTCAGGAGCTGTAGGTTTTTGGAGCCGGCCAACCCTAAGGGCCTTCTTATGTACTTATTGTGTGCATCAGAGTGGAAAGAGCAGCTTTAGTAAACTAGGGCGATAACGCACTAAACTGTGGAGCAAATAGAGTGTATGGGTAGAGTGCGAGTGGGAAAAGGACTGGACTCGCCATAGGAGTTTGAAGACACCCCCTGTCCAACTCCCCCTAGCACTGGAGTTGGAAACCAAGGGCTGTCACACTCAGCTACATTATCCAGGCCTTTTTTTTTTTTTTTAATTTTTAATTTTGAGACAGGGTCTTGCTAAATTGCCAGGCCAGACTCAAACTTGTGATTGATTTTCCTGCCTCAGCTTCCCAGAGTGCTGGGGTTACAGGCATACCCCTCTACACCCTGCCGAAGTTGATGCTTTTAAGTCTTCTTTGGAGCAGCTTCTTTGGAGATCTCAGCCATTTAGCTTTACTTGGAGCATCAGAGGTCTAGCCATGAAATGTTGACCTCTCTCCCTGTCTAGAGTAGTACCATGTATGGAATTTTCATTAAGCCACAGTCCTCCTTTAGTAAAGGTAAATAACAAAAGAAGATAATCACAGCTGGTTATATGTATCCAGAAGATATATCACAGCTGACTATAGAGGGTCAGAGTTAACGGGGAGCTCCCTCAGGAAGGACAGTGGGGTTCTGTTGTTTAAATGTTTATTACAAAAATGTGGTCATGTAACTGGTGTGGTGGCGCATGCCTGTACTCAAAAAAAAAAAAAAAAAAAAAAAAAAGGAAAAAAAAGGTTCATCCTATTGAACAAATTAGCCAGGCGTGGAGGTGCACACCTGTAATCACAGCACGAGAGAGGGCAAGGCAGGAGAATCGTAACAAGTTCCAGACCAGTCTGGGCTACAAAGTAAACTCAAGGCCAAGGACTGCATAGAGAGGCTCTGTCTCAAAAAAAAGAAAAAAAAAGAAATTAAAAGAGAAATCAGCTGGGTCTGCATCTCTGTGGTAGAGCATATGCTGGATTCAGTCCCTAGGACTGAAAAATAAATACATAAAGGGAAACCAGTCCCTAGGACATTGTGATACCTGCAGGGTGAGGAGAGCAGCTCTGTGGAGATCCTCTGGAGCAGGGCATCCACATGACCTAGGCAGTGAGAACTATATTTGCAAAGTTCTGGTCTCCCATATGCATAGAGGTTCAGTGTGGGGGAGCAGCTAGAGATGACACCTCCATCAGTTTGATGAAACATCCAGACTTTATCTTGGGATTAGTGTGGAAGCTAAAAAAAGATTTCAGCAGGGAAGCCGCACGGTCTGATGTATATTTTATAAAGTTCACACTGGTTGCTCTGGGAATAGACCAGAAGGGGCTGGAACACCAGCCTCGAGAACTGACCTGGAGCATAGGACAGTTGAGGGGAAGGGAAGGGTGTATTTGAGACATTTTGGGAGGCAGAATAGGCTAAAAAAATAGGCCAAAGGTCTAGAGATGGGAGGAGGAACAATTGGGTGAGAAAGGATTATGCTGTTGCCCCAGGCTGTGCTTGGGAGGACTGGGTGTCCTGTTTTTGTTATGGATTACAGCAAGAGGAATAAAGTTGGGGATGAGAGATGACATTTAATTTGACTTCACCTTTAGACACACTGTACTCTTAAAAATTAAACATTTTATTTTGAAAAGTTTTCTCCACAGGTATACATGCACTTTTAAGAAATAATAGAATGGGGGCTGGGGATTTAGCTCAGTGGCATAAACACCTGCCTTACAAGTAGGCAGTTGTGAGTTCGATCCCTGGTACCGATAAAAAGAAAAAAACAAAAAGAAAGAAAGAAATAATAGAATGATAGCAAGTATCCCATATCACCCAGCGGTAAGTATCCCATATCACCCAGCGGTAGCATCTTACGGCACTAGAGGGTATCAACTCCAACTCCTTCCCATGTCCCCCTCCCCTCACCCTGGCCACTACTAATCTGTTCTGTGTTTCAAAAATGTCATTTCAAGGATATTATATAGGACTAGGTGCCTGCCTGACAAGTGTGAGGTCCTGGGTTTGATTCCTGATACCAAAAAAAAAAAAAAGAATATAATGTAAATTGAATCATAGTGTCTATAGCTTTTGGGACTTTTTTTTTTTTAACACATACAGAATTATATTTAAATTTAAATTATATTTAAATTTTAAAAATGTAAACAACGTTTAAATTATACTTTTGAAGTTAGAAAGTGAAGTACAGTTTCAGTTTTACAACCAAGAAAAATATAGAAGACAAAAATGGAAACAACATTAAAAATACAACTATTCATCCTACATTATAATGTGTGGAAATTGTTTTGTCAGAAAGCTACATCTTCTTAATCTAGTTGTCCAAATCATTAAAATATAAATGATTTAGTGCCATTTTGGCAAAAATGCATTTAGCAGGCGCAGAGACTAACATTTTTGAGAGCAAATCCAAGCTGTTTTCATCCGAGTGTTTGACCTGAGATGCTGGGCTTCCTGTTTTCCACTTGGGAGATGTATTCTTTTTTTTTTTTTTTTTTTTTAACCGGTACCAGGGATCGAACTCACGAATGCCTGCTTGCAAGGCAGGTGCTTATGCCGCTGAGCTAAATCCCCAGCCCCGGGAGATGTATTCTTACAGTCCTGCAGAAATTCCACTTCTGTGCATATTTCATTGTTGGGAATGCCTAAAGCTCTGAAAATCCTGATGTCTAAATCTCCATGGAAAAGTGGCTTCTAAGTGGCCAATTCTGCAAAAATGATGCCTACTCCAAAGGTCACCTGGAATTGAGTAACCAGTGGACTCCAGCAATTGCTCTGGAGATCTGTATCAGAGTGTTACTACCTTGTGTGTATACCTCTGACAGGTATCCCCAAAGCTCTGGTGAGGCCAAAGTCAGCCAACTTAATTGTTCCTTTACCATTACTCAGCAGATTTTGAGGTTAAAACTTAGAAGTCTTGGTGAAGAGCTTTTCTAGAGCGACAAAACAGTACCCTGAAGGATCTGGTACAAATAACTTTTTTTTTTTTTTTTTTTTCCTAAATTGGTGCCAGGGGTCGAACTCATGACTGCCTGCTTGCAAGGCAGGTGCTTATGCCACTGAGCTAAATCCCCAGCCCCCTCAAATAATTTTTAACAAGTGATAAATCCATGAACTTCCCAGGAGGGATAGAATCCAAGTACTTATTGAGATGTATGGAAAGGAATTAAAAAAATAAAATAGAATCTGGAATCCTGCCTAAGCACATTTTAAAGACTGATTATTTGGATGGCAAATTCTTTTGACAAGAAATTTCCCAAACTGCAGTGCTAGGAATCCCTTCTTCTTCACTTTCTAGCCTGATTTTCTTCATGGCTACCATCTGACCTGTAGTTTTGTGTCTACCCTTACATATAACCCCATAAGTATCTTTTCCAGTTTTCTCTATTTTGATATAGTCTTCCATAGTTATTCAACAGGTAGGATAAAGATTCCAGTGTATCCTCCCTTGGTGGCTGTGGCAGCAGCTACCTTGCCTACATCTTTCCTTGGGACTCATTCTTTTTGCCCATTATAATTCCCTGGAAATTCATCGAAGTTGTTGTCTATCAACAATTTGTACCTTTCACTGCTGAGTATCCACGGTTTGTAAGTACCACAGTTTGTCTAAATACCCATTGAAGGGTCTCTGAACTGCTTCCAGTTTTTTTAAATTAAAAACTGTTTTTGTTTGTTTCCAGTTTTTCATAATTGTGAACAAAAATTCTTGGGCTGGGGAATAGCTCAGTGGCACACTGCCTGCCTGGCAAATGCAAGGTTCTAAGTTCAATTCCTGGCACCGAAAAAAAATTGTATGAAACTTGCTGATGTACGTTCCATGTACAGATTTGCATCCAAATGCTAAAACACAGTTTTGCATTAAAATGGTAGAGTTTATAAGAGGCGTGTTCAAGAAAGTATGAACCCCAGATTTGTAACTCCAAGTATTGCAAGTTAACTAGAAAGGGAATACAGAGTAAGAGGGAGAAGAAGGAGAGTCCAGACAGAATAATGGCAAACATTTCAGAGTTTTTAGTGATAATAAAGAGCCTCTGTGGCACACATGCTATAGGTTCACCACCCCTCCCTTACACTCACAATTTTAAGGAAGGAAAGTTTATTTTGGCTCACAGTTTGTAGGGTTTCAGGCCATAGTCAGCTGGCTCCAAGGCAAGACCGCGTGGCAGAGGGTCGTGGGGGAGGTTGCCCATGGCAGACAGCAGAGTCAAGGTGGGAGGGAGGGAGACAGACTCTTCCAGGCCATGCCCCCAGTGACCCAGTTCCTCCTTAGTGGACTAAACAATGGATGAGTATCACATCCTCATGATCCAGTCACCTCCCTTGGGAAAAAAAAGCCTCCAGTGCCCGAGGTCTTAAGCCCCACTGGAACAGTGCAGGAGGATTGGCAAGTGGGTAGGGAAGACAGAGAATATAGACGACCCTCACCGGATACTGGACATTGAGGGGATGATTGATGGAAAGGAGAGCAAGGATGCCTGAGTACAGACTTGGGACATTGGTGGGATGCAGGCAGGGAAGACTGGATAATGTCATTTTCACAGGGGCTGCCTTAGAGGGTTGTCTTCGAGGCAGCCTTGAGTAAGAGTGAAGTCCAGCCTAGCAGGGGCTTAAGGGCTGGAAGGTTGTTTCATAGGAAATGCCGGAGTAAGTCAGTCTAGGCTTCGAGGATGGTTGTGTGCAAGCTTCTCTCAGGCCCATCGTCTTTCTAGCTTTTTCTTTTTTGTTGGTGCTGGGGTAAAGCTAGGGTCTCTGTGCACTCTGCTGCTGAGCCTAATTCCCAGCCCTTTTTTCTAGTGTTCATTCATTCTTTTATTTGTAATGTTGTATTTTAAACCCAGGGCCTTCTGAGTGCTAGGCAGGCTGGGACTTATCCGTAGCCTGCCTCTCTCTCTCTCTCTCTCTCTCTCTCTCTCTCTCTCTCTCTCTCTCGCTTTGAAACAAGTCTTGCTAAATTGCCAAGGCTGGCCTTGAATGTGTAGTCCTCCTGTAGCTAGGACTTTAGGCATGTATCACCACACCTGAGTCTTTCCAGTATTTTGTCTTGTGACTCCTAGGTTTGTGCTCATGATTCTTATTCTTTAGGAAGCAGAAAGGGAGGTGGGACAAAGAAGAGGGTCACGAGCCAGGCAGTTCTTAGAACTCTTCCTTGCTGCATCTGTAGCACCTTGATTTCCCTCCACTCAGCCAGAATGGTGAGCTGCAAGAGAAGCCAGGAAATATTAATGGTTATTCTGAGACCATGTTTCCAGCCTCAGATCTTCAGATCTAGTCGAGTGAGGGAGGAGAGAACTGTGTTGGGGCACAGCCAGCTGTCTTTGCCCTGCTGGTTTTTTGGTGGTTCTGGCCTGTAACACTGATGTCAGAATATGTGCTGGACCCGCCTTCCACAGACCCTATGTTGCCTTTTTTAGGAATGGACAACCAGACAGTTCTGGCGGTTCAGTCACTGTTGGATGGCCAAGGAGCAGTCCCTGATCCAACAGGCCAGGGTGTCAGTGCACCCCCTGCCATCCAGCCACTGGGTGAGTATCTGTGCTGCTCTTCAGCAGAGGGTGGGTGAACTGGAGCTACGGGTTTGGGAGTGAATTGCCACTGTGGTGTGCAGGCTGTCCTGCAGTGTCTGAGTGTCCTCCCTTCCAGCCTGGTCCTTCAGGCTCCTGCCTTTCTCTGCTTAGCTCTCAGGATAGCCTCTTTCATCTACTTAGTGAAGGTAGGGAGCTGGCATTACATAGGGAGTGAGTAGGAGCCTCAGTGCTTGGCAACAGTGGCACCTTTGCCCTGTAGGTAATTCCTTGGCGTACTGTACCTCTGTGGGAGGAGCAGGCAAAGTGTGAATTCTCCAGTTTACAGGAAGTCCCTTTATGAGCCATCTGTTCATTTATTTGTTTAACACTCTTGAGTGCCAGCGATAGAGAGATAAAAAGCTGGTTTGAGCTGGGCGTGGTGGCACATGCCTGTAATCCTTCTCTCAGTAGGCTGAGGCAAGAGGATTGAGGCCAGCCTGGACTATGTAGCAAGATCCCATCTCAACCTCCCCCGCCAAATGCTGATTTAAATTGTGGTTTCAGCCGGGCGTAGTGGCTCATGCCTGTAATCCCAGCACTCGGGAGTTTGGGACAGGAGGATCGTTGTGAGTTTGAGACCAGCCTGGGCTACAAAGTGAGTTCAAGGCCACCCTGAACTGCATAGAGACCCTGTCTCAAAAAGACAAAAAAAATCGTGGTTTCATAGTTACTGACTCTATTTTCCTGGACAAGTAAGTTAACTTGTGTCTCAGTTTCTACATCTGTGAAATGAGAATAATTGTCCTATTTATACAGAGCTTATGAGAGAACTTGGGAGGACCTTGGGAGCCTCTTCTTGTCTCCCAGCTCATACAGTGGCAGTGCCTGCCATTTGGTTCTCCCTGCAGTGGCCCACACCTGGTGCTGACTCTCAGGGTAGGCTTGGCTTCTTGTTTTCCTCCCCTCAATCTGAAAATGGTGCTAACTTACAGGAAAGAACTGGTGTCTGGCTCTCTCTTTGGTGGCCCACGCATGGTACCAACTGGCAGAGGCCATTTGTTTTCTTTAACACAAGGTCTTACTATGTTTGACAGGTTGGTTTTGAACTCATGAGCTCAAGAGATCCTCTCACCTCAGCCTTCAAAATAGCCTGCAATTATAAGCATGCCATGCCTAACTTTTACAACATATTTTGTCTGTTTGTTTTTTGCATAGATAAGGATTGAACCTAGGGCCTCGATTATGCTTGGCAAAACTGTATCCCTGCCACAGTGTGTGTGTGTGTGTGTGTGTGTGTGTGTGTGTATGTGTGTGTGTGTATTTTTTCCTGACAGTGTCTCACCATGTAGTTCAGTCTGGCCTTGAACTTACTAGGTAGCCAGGCTGGCCTCAAACTCACAGTGACCCTTGTATGTCAGATTCCCCAGTACTGTGATTACAGGCGTGCACTGTAAGTCCAGCTTACAATGTGTTTTAAGGGCTTGACACAGTGCACGGCTGTGTTAGGCCCTCAGGAATAATGAGTGGTGTGTGTTAGCTGTAGCTAATCACTCAGCTTTTCATTCATTCAACAAGCATACATTGTGGACTTTCTAGGGGCCCTTAGATATCAGCTATAGTGATGAATAGGACATGTTTTCTTTGTTTACACATAGTCTGATAGATGAGAAAACTGTAATATGAGAGGTGCACCCAGAGGAAGGAGTCATGGCCAGTGGCTTTAGGAAGGCTTCCTGGAAGGGATGAACCTTTTAGAATGAGTAAGTCTGTGAGGTGCAGCTGAGCAGGGGGACAAGCGATGGCATGGCCCATTTGGATACTGGGGAACAATTTGAGGCAGCATAAGGATTCTGAATTTTGCTTGACATAGTGGTGCATGCCTGGAGTCCCAGCACTCAAGAGACTGAGGTAGGAGGATCACCATGTATTTGAGGCCAGCCACAGATACATAGTGAGTTCAAAGCCAGTTTGAACTACAAAGCAAGACCCTCCCTCAAAAAAAAAAAAATTCTCAGTTTCTTAACTCAGAAGTGAGCCTACTTTATTCTTTCCTGACTTCTAACTATTTGATAGCTGGCTTCACAAAGCTGGCTCTTCCTTTTTCTTTTTCTCTTCTTTCATTTTTGGCTTTTTGAGATAGGGTCTCGCTATGCAGCTCAGACTGGCCTTCAGCTCACTTTGTAGCCCAGGCTGGTCTCAAATTTGCAACAATCCTTCTGCCTCAGCCTCCTGAGTGCTGGGATTACAGGTGTGCGACACCACGCCCGGCAAGCCTGGCTCTTCTACCAGTACCTGGCTTTGGAAACTCCTAGGAAGTACTTGGCTGATGTGTGACACATGCATGGCAAGGCATAGAATGTCATCCAGATGTGGTGGGCCACAGTCTTCTTTCTCCACTGTGGTGTCCCTTGACTAACTCTTTTTTTGGTCACTGTCTCCTCTCTGGCCCTTCTTCGTCACTCTGTGGCTGTGATCCCTAGACGACGAGGATGTCTTCCTCTGTGGGAAGTGTAAGAAGCAGTTCAACTCGCTGTCCGCTTTCATGACTCACAAGCGGGAACAGTGCCAGGGCAATGCTTCCGCCCTGGCCACGGTCTCCCTGGCCCCCAGCAGCATCTACGCACCTTCAGCAGCACCTGCTGCAGTCCAGCCGGCCCCACCTCCTGCCAACCGCCAGGTATTTGTTCCTTCACTCCTTCATTCATTCATTTGATTGTTTTTGTTTGTTTGTTCATGCAGCAGATGTTTTGAGCTCCGACTGTGTGTCAAGGCTGTGCATCTTATTGTGGGTCCTGGAGGTAAAGTGGGGGACTAGATAGACCAAATCACTGCCCTGGTGGAGTTGGGTGAGATGGGTAGTGTGCAAACACTTGTGTAAGGATATTTTCCAGCTTGTTAAATGTAAGAGGTAGGGAATACCAAGATGGGGTGGGAGCTTTTTGCCATATTGTATACAGTGCCTGGGGAAGGGTTCTAGGAAGAGGTGAGCATTTGAGCAGAGATCCAAGGAGCAGAGAGAGTGGGTCATGTGGCTGGCCTGGGGAAGAATGTTCCATGTGGAGGGAGCAGCAGGTGCAAAGGCCTGGGTTATTTCACGAACTAGGAGGAGGGAAGAGTGGCTGGGGATGAGCGAGTGAGAGATGGAACAGACGGGCAGCAGGAGGGCCTGGGAGGTCCTGCGGGCCCTGTGGGCTTTCTCTCAGAGAGAGGTGGAAGCCAGTGGAGAGTTTTGAGCAGAAGAGGGGCCTAGTCTGACTTATGTATCCCTGGCTGCTGTACAGAGAATAGATTTTGACAGGGCAAGGGATAGCAAGGCAGGAAACCCCTCTGGGGGCTGTTGCACAAATCCAAGCCACAGAAGGTGTGACTCGAGCAGGGTAGAGGGAGTGAGTTGGAGTGAGACTAGAAATGTCTCAAAGGTTTGTGACAGGGTTTGTGAATTGATTGCGTGAGAAGTGTAGCATCAGGAGGAGTTGAAGGTGGCCCAGAGTTGGAGTTGCCATCATTGGAAGCGGGGAAACAGTGAGGAGGTTTGGGCTCTTAAGAGTGCAGCTGGACATGTGGAGATTTGTTTGTTTGGTTTGGTTTGCTTTATTTTTTTTATTTATTTCTAGACAGAGTCTCGTTATATAGTTCAGGCTGGCCTTGAACTCACGAGGTAGCCTGGGCTGGCCTCAAACTCAAGGTGATCCTCCTGTCTCAGCTTCCCAAGTGCTGGGATTGCAGATGTGCACCCCTACACCTGGCAGACGTGTGGAATTTGAAGTGTCCTGGGATCTTGAGGTGGAAGCAGAGGTCATGTAAACTGTGTAGCCTTCTCCAAATCCAGAGGTGAGAGGGAGGCCAGGCTGGAGTATCTGGAGAAGCCTCTGAAGGGTTCATTCAGGGACACCCTGGCTCAGGGATCTTAGTGAGATTAAAGAGTTTTATTAAGAAGGCCAGAAATGTCTCAGAATGCCAGGTCAAGGGTCTCCGCTTCTGTCCCTATTCCTTTAGAACATTATCCTCACCCATGGTGTAGACATCCTTCATATTCTCATAATAAAAGCATTCACGAGCTGGGCATGGTGGGCCGAACCTGTAATTCCAGTGCTCTAGGAGACTGAGGCAGGAGAATCACTGAGTCCAGCCTGGGCAGCCTGTCTCAAAATAAGAGATAAAAAAAGGTTTGAGGGTGTAATGGAATGTGAAGGCCTTGGTTTAATTCCTGTAACTGGAAAAAAGAAAGAAAGGAAAGAAAGAAGAAAGAAAGGAAGGAAGAAAGAAAGAAAAAATGAATTCATCTCAGTCCCATAGGACATAATGACTGAAGTTTTCAAGTTCTTTTTTTTTTTTTGGTACCAGGGATTGAACTTTTTGCCAGTCAGGCACTTATGCCACTGAGCTACATCCCTGGCTTAACTTTTCAAGTTCTCACAGACTCTTCTAGTATAAAACAGCATCATTTTTCTGACTGTGATTATGAATTTTGCTAGCAGAAAATATACGCTCTTCCATTTTTTTCCCATGAAAGGAGAGAGGAAATTTCCACCAATCCTGGGCAAAGGAATAATTTTAGAGTACAAGTAGTCAATTAGAGATAGACACAAACCCTCCTGCCTAAGTGAATTGGATGGGCATGGATGTGATTTCCTGTTTTTTTGTTTTTGTTTTTTGTCTCATCCTAATTCTTCTGACATTGTAAGTATACAAGTGGGCATGGTAGTGCACACCTATAATCCCAGCACTCTGGAGGCTGAGGCAGGAGAATTTCTGCCACTTTGAGACCAGTGGGCTGCACAGTGAGATTCTGGGACCAGTGCTGCCATCCTTGTCTATGATGTGAGGCTTCCTCTCAACCTGTCTTGGCTGATGGCAGAGATGTTGCATCCCTGAGCAGGGACTCTGGTCTCTGGGACCTAGCTGCTTCTGTCCCTGGAGATTTCTCAGACAGATGAAGTAGGAAGAAAGGGTCTGTTGGAAAAGAAAAAGAAGCAAAAGAAAACAAAGCACTGTATAACTGTCAAGAGTAACAGAGACCGTTTGGCAGTTTCTTGTAAGGTCTGTATGTCTGCTTGTGATACTATTATTTTTTTCTGCAGTTCTGGAGATTCAACCCATGGCCTTGCATGTATTTAACAACTATTCTACCTCTGCACCCCACCCCTAGCCCTGATGATATTATTGTCTTTATTGCTATTATTATTATTATTATTTCTGTATGGTTGTACCCAGGGTCTTTACACTGAGCTACAGCTCTTTTTTTACTCTTTATTTTGAGCCTGGATCTCACTAAATTGCCAGGTTGAGCTTGAATTTGTAACCCTAACCCTCCCAGAATGCTGAGATTACATATGTGTGCCACCATGCCTGGCCCTGATATTACTATTTTTTTGTACTAGTGATCAAACCCATGACCTTGCACTTACCAGGCAGCTTGAGTCGCTGAGCCAAACCCTGGGCCCTTTTTTTTTTGTCTTTTTGAGACAGAGTTTCACTATGCAGTTCAGGCTGGCTTTGAACTCACATTGTAACTCAGGCTGGCCTTGACCTTGCAGCAATCTTTCTGCCTCAGCCTCCTGAGTGCTGGGATTATAGGCATATCTCACCAGACACCGCCCCTTCTGTTTTTAAAAAGTTAGGATATTAAAAACCAAGTCTTCTTTGGTGCTATTTCACTCCTTGCTGCTAGGTAGCTATGGATGGATATCCTTTACAAGATCCTTGAAACATTTACTTAAGTGATTGTAGGTTGTACTATTTAGTTTTTCATTTATTATTCACGTATATTCTTGTCCACTGAAGCATTTTATTTATATATAAATGTTTTATATCCCTAGAAAAAGACCCCAGGGTTTTACCTGCTGTGTGTTTTCATCTCATTTCTCCATAGCCTGTGATGCCTGGCTGTCAGTACAGTGAAACCAAACTGACAGGTCGGGAGCAGATTGTTCTGGGATTTTTCTGGAACTTTCAGCTGTACATCAGACTGGGGCTGATCACTCCACACTTACTTAACTTGCCTGTGAGGTTCCCGACAACCTTTCCAGCCCTGTGATCATCAATGATTTCAAATTCACCGGCATAACTGTGCCATCAGCACAGTTTGAAACCAGGTGACCACTTTGGAGCAGGCCTGAAAAGGACCTGCCCTGTCCCTTTCTTTCAGGGTTGGTAATGCTTTTGAGACGGTCAGCCAGGACATTTATGTGCACCATTATCATGGCATAGATAGATGGAGGAAAGCATTAGGGTTTATAAAAAAAAAAAGAACATGTACTTCACATATTATTATGCAGTTTGATTTTTCATGCTGTGTGGTATTGTTTGATGATTATATTTGTTATCGTTAATGCATTTCCCTGTTGATAGACATTTAGGTTATTTACAGTTTTTCACTGTTCTCAGAGACAAGGTTGTGTGGAAGCATCTTATTTGTGGACTTCCTGTAGACATGTGTGAGTGTTTTCCTAGAATAGAAACCAGAGAGGTGTGATTTACTCTGTGCTTGTAAGATGATTAAAGCTCAGATAATGGAAGCTCAGAGAGAGGGAGTGACTTGCCCAGGGTCACACAGTGCAGAGCATGAGAGGTGGGAATTCCAGAACCTGGGTCTTTAGCATCATCCCTCAGCTTCCATACAGAGTCTCACATGTGTCCAGTCACACTGTCTCCCTGTCTCTCTGTCCAGATCTCCACATATATTACAGTACCCCCCTCCCCACTGATCCAGACCCTGGTGCAGGGGAACATCCTGGTGAGTGATGACGTGCTCATGTCTGCCATGTCGGCCTTCACGTCCCTGGACCAGCCCATGCCCCAGGGGCCCCCGCCTGTGCAGGTAAGGAGGCATAGGCTTCTCACAGTGTCTTTCTTGTTTTCTTTCTTTGGCAGTGCTGGGAGTCAAATGCAGGGCCTTGGATGTGCTTGGTATGGTGCACAGGGTCCTGGTTCCAGGCTTGCATAGTAACCCCTGCAGATGAGGATCTTAGAGAAAAGAGGGGCTTGACTGCCTTGCACCATGGGTGACTGTGAGCCTCGGCCTCTGCCAGCCCAGCTGCAGGGAGGAAGCTTCCACATTTCAGTGGGGTTTCACTCCCACTGTCCAGCTGTTTTTACTCCTGTTTTTGTTCTTAACAAATTGTCCGAGGTCCATTAGAAAATACACAGTGGCTCCTTGGGATTTTCTAATACACACAGGCAAGGGGAGGAGGTGCCCACCGTCAACCACACTGCTGGCACAGAGAATCCAGTGAGCTGGTGCAGTGTGGTCAGGCTGCTGGTGGGTGAAACAGCCTTGGGAACCAAGGAACGTGCCAAAGCTACTTTTTCAGATGCCAGTTGAGATCCAGTCCTGCGAACGAGCCCTTTTTGGGATGGCAACATCAGGCCTCCTTTTCTGCACAAGCTGGGCAAATTTTGCTGACATCCTTTTAGAACTTCCTGTCACTATTTGCCTCCCGCTCAGTCCTGTCCTCTGAGCTGCCCTGGGAGCTGCTGCCCTATCCATGTGTTGGCTAAAGCAGAAGTTCTTCCCTGCTGATGAACAAGACAGCGGATCACCAGAGGCCCTAATTTTAATGCTTTCCTAATTTTCTCTTGTGATTTCAGAGCAGTCTGAACATGCATTCGGTACCCAGCTACCTCACCCAGCCTCCACCGCCTCCTCCACCCCCACCTCCCCTTCCTCCACCCCCACCTTCACAACCTCCTCCCCCGCCCCCTCAGAGCCTGGGCCCCACTGGGCGCCCCAACCCTGGTGGGAATGGTGTGGTGGAGGTGTACAGTGCCAACGTGCCACTGCCTGGGAGTGGAACAGTGGAGATCCAGGCACTAGGGATGCAGTCCTACCAGCCCCTGGAGGTAAGTGATGATGTGCAGAGGTGGCAGCTGTATACCAGGTATTATGCTGGGGATACCATAGGGAGCAAAACCAGATGCACCCTCACACCTTGTGAGTGTGTTGCATCATGCAAAAAAAGGGCCATCACAACCTCTGTGGTTGTAGCAAAAGTACAAGCTGTTCTCAGATGAAGGTCAGCACTTAAAGGGAATACCTGCTTTAGGGGAGAGGATTCTTCAAGATTATCAGCATAGATGTCTCTGACATTCCTTAGCAAGTTAGGTGTATAGCTAGCTATTGCTGGGTAAGAACTATCCACAAGACCTCAGTGGTGTAAAACAAAGAGTATCGTTCACATGCTTGTGCTGGCTGGCTAGGTACCACTGCTGGTCTTGGCCAGGGTCTCCTCTGTCTTCTGGATGGCAGCTGCTTTAAGGTAATCTGGGCTTGGACAAGTGAGGTGGCTCAGTTCTGCTCCACAAGCTGTTATCATCCAGCAGGTTCTCGTGACCATGGTGCAGGTGCAAAAATACAAGCAGAAGTGCTTGAGGCTGCTGGGGGCCTGTAAGGGGTGCAGTGTCACTTTTATTGACCAAAGCAGGTCATGAGATCGGCCTATAGATGCCACTTGATTTTTTTGTTTCTTTGTTTTGCAGTGCTTGGAATCAAAGCCAGGACCTTGAGTTTCAATCTCTGTCTCAGTTTCCATACTTGTAAAATGGGGGCAAGGCAAGTGCTCTACCACTGAGCCATGGATGTTTTCTGATGGGAAGAGCTGTACAGTCATACTGCAGAGCTGTAAAGGTGGGGAGGGGAGAAGAATTGGGGCCAGTCCACGATCAGTGCAGCGCACTGGCTCCCTGCTGACAAGGTGACCACAGCCAGTCTGCTCTGAGCGTGTGGAGTTTGTGGAGCCTTCCAGACACCATTGTTGATGGTTATGACAGACATACCCGCCTGCACATGAGATCACAGGGACCCAGACTCACCCCAGAAGCCAGACACACAGGCACCCACGTCAGGTGAATCTGTATGTGAAACTTCTGCCACCCTATGTGTGGCATTGTGACAGTCTGCAGGAGGATCTGCCCCAGCTGGAAGACTAGGGCAAGCTTCCCTGAGGACTGCTGCAAAAAAAGTAAACCAGTGGGGTGCTGAAAGCATGATGGTGGCCTGGGACAGGGAGACCGAGCAGAGGGGAGCTGCTGCTGATTGTTTTTCATGTGGATGAGGGTGCTTTTAGAGGGCAGAACCTGGAGTGTCTCTTTGGCTTTGCTCTTTTTGCACCTAGCTAAGTGCCCAGCTTGTGGCCCACCTCTAATCCAGCTCTAGTAGGTATCTTTTTTCATTTTTGTTTTGTTGAGACAAGGTCTCACTGTGTAGTTCAGGCTGGACTTAAACACACTGTGTAGCCCAGGGTGACTTCAAATTTGCTGAGCTCCTCCTGTCTCAGCCTCCCAAGTACTGGAGTTACAAGTGTGTGCCACCAAACATTAGGTATCAGTTTCTTCTTTAATGTAGGAGCTCCTTGTAATCCCAACCCTTTGGCAGGCGGAGGCAGGGAAAATGCAAATATATGAGTGCAGCATGGGCTGGGGATACGGCTCAATGTGAAGACCCTGAGTTTTGTTCCCAGTGTGAGAGAGAGAGAGAGAGGGAGGGAGAGAGAGAGAGAACACGAGAGGGAATTTCCTTGCTGAGGATAATGAGCCTAACCTACTGGCAGTCACACCTAATTGCTCAGGTTTGCCTTGAAAAATGGGTGAATTCATTCATGTGACAAATACTTCTTTTTTAAAAAATTTTTTTTTCTTTTTTAAAAATTAATGTTATTGTTTACTTTCAATATACATAGTGATCACATTTATCATAGGAATTTGTATCTGTACATGATATATCTGGATTCTTTCTTTTTTCCAATCCCCTCCTTATTTACAAAGGCTTTGTTTTTATTTATTTTTCTTCTGTTCTCTTTTTCTTTTCCCTTTCCATCCCTCTCCTTTGTTCCCCTTCCCATCTGAACATTTTCTTCCTGCTTCCCATATCTATCTTCCATTTTGCTTCTTATTTACTCTTTGGGTTTCTCACACAAGAAAAACAATGCGATATTTAAACATGTGTTTTCGATTTATTTCATTTAAAATATGGCCTCAAGGTGCATCCATTTACCTAAAAGTGGCTCAAATTTTCCTTCTTTATGGAAGAGCAGTACTCGATTGCATATAAAAACCACATTTTCTTTACGCACTCATCTGTTGGTGGCCAAATGGGCTGTTTCCAAGATTTAGCTCTTATATATTGTGCTGCTGTAAACATGGGTGTGCACATCATTGCTGTGGTATGGTGCTTTTAACTCTTTCAGGAAGCTTCCGAGGAGGGGAACAGCTAGGTCAAATGAAGCCTCTAGTTTTAGTTTTTTGAGGAATCTCCATAGTAATTTCTGTATTAGTTGCACCAGTCTACCTTCTCACCGACCGTGGAGAAGGGTTCCTTTTTCCACACAGTCTTGCCAGCATTTGTTATTGGTTGATTTCTTTATTTTATTTTATTTTGAAAGTATACCACAGAACAAGTCAGAATAAAGCCAACTAAGATTGTACAGTGAAATTGGTACAGAACTTCACAGCAGGTTACCGGGATAACAGTAATAGGTATTATAGTATATTTTGTTATCTTTATAATAGTTGTTCTTTCAATCATGTATATCAAAATGAGATGAAATATAGAACACTATAGAACTTATCAAAACAATATTGAATAGAGAAGTACCATTAATCAGAAAAGAGCAAAACAGTAATAAAAATATTTGCCTTTGAAGAAATGGTAGAAGGAAGTCCCCCTTATTTGCTATGGTCAACCTCCCAGGAGATACTCAGATTTCTGGTTTCCATTTGCTATTGGGCGGGGGGGGGGGAGGATAGGGGAAGTGGGATATTAGACTCTAGGCCATGTAGCAGCAGGTTCACTATTGCTAAGCAGGGAGGCAGGATGGTCATTTGCTTTCACACCATCCAACATGGCGTGGATCTCAGGAGACACTGCTAGTTCTCCCCCTGGAAGGGCTGCGGTGGGCCACACTGCCTCTGCTTACCAGGGAGAGGAGGTGCTGGCTTGGCTTCCCAGAGTCCTAAGTTCCAACATGGTGTGGATCTCAGTAGATACTGCTGGTTCTCCCCCTGGAAGGGCTGCAGTCTGCCACCCTGCCTCCGCTTACCAGGGAGGGGCTATTGGTTGATTTCTTGATGATAGCATTTTTTTCAATATTATTTTGATTTGCATTTTTCGAATGGCCAGTAATATTGAGCGTTTTTTCATATATTTATTTGATATTTGTACTTTTTCATCTGAGAAGTATCTATTCATTTCAGATGCCCATTTTTGGATTGAGTCTTTAAATTTGAGGATAGAGTCTGATTTTTTTGAGTCCTTTATATATTCTGGATGTTAGATTTTTGTTTGAGGAATAGCTGATAATTTTTTTCCCAACTGTGTTGTCTCTTCATTCTGTTGGTTGTTTATTTGTTTGTTTGTTTTGAGACAGGGTCTCACCTTGTAGTTTTGGCTGGCCTGAACTCTCTATGTAGTCCAAGCTGGCCTCAAACTCATGGTGATCCTGCTGCGTCAGCCTCAGGGAGTTGGGCTCATATAAAGCTGATAGAAGGGCTAGGAATAAGAGCTGGGATTCGTGGGGGCCTGTTTTTCAGGTTTACTGTTGTAGCTTAGCCCAGAGATGAACACAGACACAACAGTGGCTGCTGGAGCTGCCTTGCAGCCCCCAAAACTGGTGGCCATGAGTGGCAGTGGAGCCCAGCGGGCTGCTCCACATGGACTTGCAAACTGTCTCCCATCATGGCTGGAGGAGAAGGCCTTCGTTCCCTTCTGCATCTTCATGTCTTTCAAAGCTTTCCTGGGCAGACCTGTCCCGATCAGACCCTGTGGACAAGGGAATGTGTTGCAAGCTTCCCACCTCTGCATTTTGGGGCGAGTATGGAAGAGTGTGGGAATGGCACCTCTGGGTACCATAGCAGCTGCCAGCTGAGTGCTTCTGTGAATTCACTGACTCAGCAAGCGTTTACTGAGTGCCCACTGTGCCCATTGCTGTAGACCTGGAGGTAAAGTAGTGAGCAGAAGCAGACACAACCCCTGTTCTCACGGAACTAAGCAGATAGCAAAGATAAATGGGTGAGGGCTGTTGCTGTAGGTAATGATAAGCATAAGCAGAAAGATAAGAAGTGAAATTTTGGACAGGAGAGCCTAGCAAGCCCAGTGAATGAGGAGTACGTGAACTCTGCACGCAGTGCCCTGTCCTGCTTTGAGCTGAGGCTTATCTAAGCTTGAAAGGCTCACACTTGTGTCAGTGGTTTCTCAAGCCATCGGCCTGGCCCCAGCAGAGTGAAGCCTGCTGCTGTGTTATCTGGTGGTGTCAGTGAGGAGGGCAGAAGCTGTGAGGCCCAGGCCATGCTAGGAAACCACTGCTAATCGCAGTCTGAGCAGCTCTGAGTGCATACTGAAGGCTGCCCACTGTGCTAAGCTCTGTACATGTCACTCCGCTGAGTCCACAGCAGGAGGAAGACTCAGTGGTCTCATTCTACAGGTGTGGAAACTGAGACAGAGAATTGAAACCCAGTATTGCTGGGGTGTCTTTGGACCCAAGCCGCTGGCTTCATGAAGTCCTAAGGGCTTGTGACTGTAGCTGGGGTGCTAGAGCTGGGGAAGGGGGTTGGATGGAGATCCAGGGGTGATGGCTGGGATCAGGGCCACAGTGAGAGTCCCCCGGCTGCAGCGGCTCCCCATTTCCTGCCTGGCCTCTTTCCCTCACAGTGCTGTCCTTCCAGATGCCCAGCCAGTGCGTGGACGCTCCAGTGTACCCCACACCACCCGTGTACAGCCCTGGCAAGCAGGGATTCAAACCAAAAGGACCAAACCCTGCTTCCCCCCTCACTAGTGCCACTGCGGGCACAGTGGCCACTTTTGAGCCCCCGCCGACACTGAAGACCCGACGGGCAAAAGGTGCCGGTGGACTCCCAGAAGGTGGGGCCCGCTTATGTCTTGGGTTTTCTTCCTGGGCACCATGAGGTGTCTTGCCCTGCCTGGGTATGGCTGTGGACTTCTGGGTGTGAACTGTGTGGGTGGCCCCAGGTGCAGGAATGTAACAGCTGGCATCTTTCCTTGGCATTGGCCGAGCCACAGGCTGCTTGGTTCCACTTCTCCCTTTTATAATAAAGTTGAGTTTGGTTGTAATAGAAAATCTAAAATAATATTTCAAAATGATAAAATTGGAGCTGGGGATTTAGCTCAGTGGCGCAGTGCCTGCCTGGCATGAGGGCCTGAGTTCAATTCCTGGTGACAAAAAATTTTTTTTTTGTTTCTCTCCTTCATAGAACAAGGCAGTCTGGGAATCATATGACACCTTCACCAGGCACCCACGTTTCTTCTGTCTTTCTGTTCCTCTGGTCCCAGAGCATAGCTTCATTTATCAGGGTACCTCTTCATCTAAGATGGCTGCTAGAGCTCCAGCCATCAGTTTTATATTTCAGGCAGTAAAAAGAAGGAAGAGAAGAAGGGTGAAAGAGGTACCACCCATTTCCAGAATTTCTGTGACACTTTCACTTACTTTTCATTGCTGAGATCTTAGATGGTCAGAGCTATGTTAGGAAGCTGGGAAATGTGTTTTCAACGGAAACACTGACGATCCCATTGTGTAGGGATCTCTGGGAAAGGAAGGAGAGTGAACATTAGTCAGGCAAGTAGCAGCGTCTGCCACCCCTTGGAACTTAGGTGGATGGGGTGGGGGACAGTGTTGGAAGCGGTCAGTGAATGGAGAAAGAGTAATGAGAATTTTTGAGGACTTTGAAATAAACATCCTATTTTCCTTCCACAAATGTGAATGGCTGTCTCTGCCAGGCACGGAGGACCTAGTGTCTTGGTCTTCTGCCCTCAGTTACTCACAGCCTAGTGGGAGAGGCAGAGTTGCTGTGGGTGCTGGGATTGAGAGCCTAGAGGACACTGCCTGCCCGTCCATGTATGAAGAGGAGCAGGAAGCAGCCTTGTGGGTTTCTGAGGGACCAGCCAGTGCAAAGGCCCTGCAGCGGGGCCGTCCTTGAGCTCTATGAGGTTAGCAAGTTATCTTGCCACAGCCGGATGGAGGGAGCGAAGAGGCCAGGATCAGAGGACTCAGTGGGACCAGACTGCACCCTGGGACAAGAGGAACTCTTGAGTGTCCCATGCCACTTTCCCAGCCATCTCACGTCCCACGCTTCCTCCCAGCCCCTGTGAGGACCTCGGTGGTGGCTCTTGCTCTGCTTGTGCATAACTGTGGACTCCAGGCTGTGGGTCAGGGGTGCAGTGGCTGGAGTCAGCTGGGCCCAGCCTCACCATCCCTTCCCACTTTGCATCTCAGCTGCAGGGAAGCCAAAGGCTCAGAAGCTGAAGTGCTCCTACTGTGACAAGACCTTCACGAAGAACTTTGACCTGCAGCAGCACATCCGGAGGTACCGTGGACGCAGGACCTGGGGGGACGGGTGGCTGTCCAGAGAGGTAACCAAACCCCTGTTGTCCTTTTATGGCGTTTGGGCCTACAGTCTTGGTCAGGATGGTTTTCCCACTCATCTTTCGGGGCCAAGGAAAGGGGCCTCCCCACCACGGTGGGCTGGGTGTGGGACAAACTGGTCAAGAGGAGCTTTCCAGACCTGTGAGGCTACCTGGCCTGGGTAATGTGCTCTGCCAGGGTGGCACTAGGATATCCTAACTTAGTTGGCATGAGCCATGACACCTCCTGTGCCAGGAATGGCCAAGGAGATTGGGTGTGATGCTGCACACCTGTAATGCCAGCACACAGGAGCCCGAGGCAGGAGTTTGAGGCCAGCCTGAACTGCATAGTGAGTCCCTTTCTCAAAAAACAAGGCAAGGAGCCTGTCTAGGCCTCAGTTCTTTTGTTTGGGAAATGGATGGTTGTCATGATCAGGGTTCCTCACAGAGCAGAGTGCATTCGCACAGGAGGTAACTGTGGATGGTTCATTAAAAATGGCATTGAAAAATTTGAAAAACCGTAGTGAGCATAGTCTGCTCTTTGCAATTGCAGTCTTTGGAGAATCAGTGGAAAATGTCTCGATGTGTTGTGAGTCTGTCTTTTTTGTTGTTGTTGGTACCAGGAATTGAACCTAGGGCATTTGCACTGAGCTCCAATCCTTTATTTTTTGAGACAGAGTCTCATTAAGTTGCTAAGTTGTCTAGACTGGGCTCAAACTCTTGATCTTCCTGCCTCAGCCTCCGAGAGTGCTGGACTACAGGTAGGCACAGCTGTGAGAAACAGGGAGAAAGAGGAAAGAAGGGAGGAAGGGAGAGAAGGAAAGAAAAAGGGAGGGAGAGAGCATGAAGATAAGTGTGTGTGCGTGTGCGAGTGTGTGTGTGTATGTGTGTGTGATATTCCAGCCCTGTCAGGGAGCAGCCTCTTATGAGACCAGGGCTTTTCAGCCTCTCAGTGATGACATTTCAGACTCTGGTCCTGGCACTCTTCGCTGTGGGGCTGATTGTTGTGCTTAGTGGAATGTTTATTTATTAAAATACAGGCCCGATTCCTGACCTTTAGATACCGTAACACTCTGCCCTATTGCTGTTACAGCTGAAAATGTCTCTCGATGTTGCCAGGTGTCCCCTGTAGGGCAAAGTTAGACCTAAACTCAGTTGAGACCTACCAGTCTTCTTCCGTGCTGGCTGCTAATTCTGAGCAGTGATGGAGATACTCAAATGCCAGTCCCTTGTGGCAGCTGCTGTCATATACAGCTGACTGTTGAGTACTCCGAATGTGGCTAGTACAGCTGAGAAACTGGATTTCTAATTTATTTTAATTTTAATGAAAAATTTTGAGACAAGCTCTCACTGTGCAGTTCAGATGGGCCTTCAACTCAAGGCAATCCTCCTGCCTCAGCCTCCTGAGTGCTGGATTAGAGATGTGCACCACCATAACTACTGTTCAGTGAATTTAAATTTAAACAGTCCCATGCCTCACTGAACAGTACAGCTATGGGTCGTAATAACATTTTTTTAAATTGAAATTTTTGTTTACTTAGTATTTATGACAAGTTTCCATATCCAACAATGATATGAAGCTTCATTTCAAAATTATTCTAAATTTTAAAAAAGTGAGTTGAAGGCAGGCATGGTGGCACCCGTTTATAATCCCAGTACTCTGGGAGGCTGAGGCAGGGAGATTGCAAGTTTGAGCTCAGCCTGGAACACTTAACAATTTAGTGAGACCCATTTCAAAATAAAAAGGGGTAGAGATAGTTGGGTGTGGTGGCCCATATTGTAATCCCAGCACTTAGCAGGCTGAGGTAGGAGGATTGCTGTGATCATAGGCTACATATCGAGTTCCAAGACCAGCCTGAATTACAGAGTGAGGTCCTGGATTTAGGGGGAAAAAAAGAAAAAGTGAATTGAAGCCAGTCCTGGGTGATACTTAGGAGGCTAAGGCGGAAGAATTGGAAAAATTTTTTTTTTATCGGTACTGGGGATTGAACTTACTACCACGCACTTGCAAGCAGGCGCTTAGGCTGCTGAGCTAAATCCCCAGCCCCCGAGGATTGCAAATTTGAGGCCAGTCTGGGCAACTTGGACATCTTAAAAAAAAGGAGTTAAAGAAAATTACAGGAGCCCTGTAATTACAGGGAGGTACCAGCTCTGTGCTGCAGCAGGAAGGGTGGGCTCCCCGCAGTGAGGACAGCTTGTGTCTCACAGAGGACCTCGGTCTAGGTCTGGTCGATCAGCTCAGGGAAGTGGCCTGCCTGTGTCAGCCAGAGCATGTGTCCATGCAGTGTCAGGTGGCAGTTGGCGGTCCCCTCTGGGTATCCTGGTGCAGGGGCTCCCATCTAGGCAGCATTCCCATCCCACGTGAGTGAGCCGACCGGCCTTGTCACCCGCAGCCACACTGGTGAGAAGCCTTTCCAGTGCATCGCATGTGGCCGCGCCTTTGCGCAGAAGTCCAACGTCAAGAAGCACATGCAGACCCACAAGGTGTGGCCTCCGGGGCGCAGCGGTAGTACTGTTTCTCGCAACTCTGTGACCGTCCAAGTGATGGCCTTGAACCCCAGCAGGCAAGAGGATGAGGAAAACACAGGTGGGTAGGGGCAGGGAAAGCTTCTCTATCCACACCTCTCCTCTGCAGCTTCATAGTTCTGTTGCTAGCTGTATGATCTCAGGCAACTTCCTTGACCTCTCTGGGCGAAGTCTATTTTATCTTTAAAATGGGACATAGGATGAAAAGAAGGCTGACAAATATGTCCACAGTGTCCAAGCAGAGGGCAGGGAGGGAACTGGAGTGCAAGCCGTGCTCCATCACAGTGGAAGCATCTTGCTGGTGTAGCACCTGTACTGGCTGCATCCCTCCCACTGCTGGACGTGAGCATCCCTCCCAGTGCCTCGAGCACAGTGTCTGCCACCAGCGCACACATAGGTCGGGGAGCATAGAGGCGCGCAGTAGGTTTCCTTGCCTGACTCTTCCTCAACCTTCTCCTAGGGCTGGGCCAGACCCTGGCAGGCGCACCACAACCCCAGACTTTGCCCACAGCGGGTGAGGACGAGGGGGACAAGATGGAGGCCAAGCAGGTGGTGCTCATCGATAGCTCCTACCTATGCCAATTCTGCCCCAGCAAGTTCAGCACCTACTTACAGCTCAAGTCCCATATGACCCAGCACAAGAATGAGCAGGTAGGTGGGCAGGGGGCAGCAAGGGCCACAGCCACCTATCACAAGCCTGGGCAGGTGCAGGGGTCGTGGGTGTGTGCGTGTGCACATGTTACTGAGGATTAAATCTGGGACCTTTGCACTCAGCTATATCCCTAGTACCTTTTACAGTTTTTATTTTTGAGTCCAGGTTTTGCTAAGTCACTGAGTTGTCCAAGCTAGGCTCAAATTTATAATCTTCTTGACTCAGCTTCCCACAGTGCTAGGACTACAGGCCTGCGCCACCACATCTAGCTTGTGTGGCCTTGAATGCTGTCTGCAAAGGAACAGGAGTTAGCCCTTCAAGTCTTCTCCTGCAGCTCTTATCCTTAGGGTAGATTCCTAGCAGGGGTTGGTTGAGTTAAGTTGGATGATGCTGGGGAAAACCCACAGAAGCCTTTGACTCCAGCTGGCTTGAAGAGTTGGGAAGCTTGTCCTCTCACAGAGGACGAGGCCTGGGTAGGGCAGCTCCAGGCCCGAGATAGTCAGGTGACTCAGCCCAGCACCAAGGCTGGGGTCTTTCCAGCTCTGGTCACCACCATTGCAGGGCATGGCTGTATCTCCCACAGTGGCACACTTTGTGGTCCTGGGATGGTGGTCACTTTCCCAGGAAGCACTAGAGACACAGTGACACTCATGAGCACTGGAAACCTTTTTAGGAGTAAGAGCACCTGTTCTACAACTGACTGGTCAGGGTCAGTACCTGTGTTCTGTCATTTAGGAATGTGTTATTCTGCAGATAACAGAGCACTGGCTTCCTCGTTAGGTGTTATTTCTCTCACATGAAAAGAAGTTCATAAGTAGGCAGTGTTGGGCTTATGCAGTGGCTCACATATATCACGATGGACCAGGCTTCCAGCTTTCTGTCTGCCATCCTTGGTTGTGGCATTTGTCCTTAAGGTTGCAGAACAGCAACTACGTCTCCATCCATTAGGACAAATGCAACAAACTGAGGGGATTTCCCCTAGGACGCCTTTGTGTTTTCATTCTGGAGAGATGCTGTCCCCAGAACTGCTGCCTGTGACTCCTGATGGGGAGAAGGGAATCACATGTCTGGTACTAGATACACGGGATCAGGGGACCAAGTGTTTCACTTACATGTTTTGCCACCTTGAGCAAATGAGGGTTCATTTTGTTGGCAAGGAAGTCTGTGCCATTGTGTAGGCACCCAAGGAATATGTGCTACTTACCAAAGTAAAATTTCTAAAATGTTAAAAACATAATTCTTATGGACAATGAGACTTGATATTATCCTTAACTTATTCATGGAGGAGTTGGAAGTGTTACAAAACCAGTTCAAAAAGGATGATGAAAGCCATGTGTGGTGGTGCATGTTTGTAATCCTAGCACTCTGGAGGCTGAGGCAGGAGGAAGGTGAGTTGCTATCTAGCAAGATCCTATCTCAAAAGAAAAAAATCACCCAACTCAGACTGCTAAATTAGATGCAAATCTGGTTCATGTTCTGTGGGGTAGCAGCATCTTGATCTGTGAGGTTATCTTCTCTACCTGAGAAAAACCATTATATTGGGTGAGTTTTACAAGTTAACATTTAACTCAAGAGCCTGGGTACTTAGTCAACAGTAAGTTCTTAAAGCTGGCCCCATCCACCAGAGAGCAAGAGGACCCTACGCAGGCTTGTTAGATTGCAGTCCTCCAAGTGAGGTCCCCAGACCAACAGTGTCTGCATCACCTACATATTCCTGGTCAGGAGCCTACATCTTCAGACTGCCACACCTGCCGAGTCAGATATCCCAAGGTAGCGCCCAGCAACCTGAGGTTCTTATGTCTGTTCAGATTTGTGGGCCACTACTCCAGCAGGGCATTGAACAGACACATTGTCATCCCTTCACAGTATCTTCAGGTCTCCATGATCTCTCTCTCTCTCTTTTTTTGAAAGCAAATCTCACTGTGTAGTTCAAGGTAGGCTTTAACACACTATGTACCCCAAGCTGGCCTCAGACTTGCAACAATCCTCCTGCCTCACTCTTCCAAATGCCTGGATGATTTTTCTGTATGCATCTAGGCTACATAGAAAATAAAATAGAACCAGCATTCCAACCAGGTGTGGAGGTGCACGCCTGTAATCCCAGTTCTCGGGAGGCTAAAGCAGGAGGATCACTGAGTTCGAGGTTAGCCTAGGCTACAAGTAAGTTCAAAGCCAGCCTGAACTGTGCAGTGAAGCCAAAACAAAACAAAACAACCCACCAGTGCTGTAGCAGTACGGGGCAGGGAAAGAGGTCAGGGCATCCCCTGGCAGCACGCAGTGCCAGTGGCAGCAGGCAGGGGGGCCGTGGCAGTGGTCCTCACTTTACCAGCATCTCCCCACAGGTGTACAAGTGCGTGGTCAAGAGCTGTGCACAGACCTTCCCCAAGCTTGACACGTTTCTGGAGCACATCAAGAGCCACCAGGAGGAGCTGAGCTACCGCTGTCACCTCTGCGGCAAGGACTTCCCCTCGCTGTATGACCTGGGCGTGCACCAGTACTCCCACAGCCTGCTGCCCCAGCACAGCCCCAAGAAGGACAGTGCTGTCTACAAGTATGTGCCACCCTGTCCCACCTGGGCGTGTGGGCCAGCAGGCAGGGCCCAGGGTCACTGGGGTGTCATTGACTGCTCAGGACACCTCCACAGGGAAAACTGAGGCTCCGGGCTGGGATCCAGCCTGGCAGAGTGGTTCCTAGTATTGGCACAGGTGAGGAAAACATGCTGGCTGTCCTTGTGTCATTTGTCTCTCAGCTACTTTTCTCACTGCTGAGACAAAACACTTGACATCCAAAGTTAAAGAAGGAAAGGTTTATTTAGCTCACACTTTGTAGAGATTTCAGACCTTCATCGGCAGGCTCCAGGACAGGATGGCGTGGCAGAGGGGCACTGCAGAGGAGAAACAGTTCATGGCAGATGCAAGCATGAGGCAGCAGCCACAAGCAAGTGACAAGCGACAAGCCCTGGCCACAGCTCTTTCTGTCCCTTATACCTTGTCCAGGCTACCCACCCTTAGGGCAGGTAGTACTCACACCCCTGATCCGAGAATCCCACTGTGACTCAGTCCCAGATCTGGTCCTCAATCCCAGAAGCACATCCCTGAGACACGGCCAAAACCGCACCTATCACCTCATGAGGCTTTGGTGGGGACATCTAGAAACAAACCGTAACATTCTCCTTGGCAGACATTTGTTGTAGAAAAAATATTTTAGGGGGCTGAGGATTTAGCTCAGTGGCATAAGCGCCTGCCTTGCAAGCACATGGTTATGAGTTCGATCCCTGGTACCGATTTAAAAAAAAATTTTTTTTTGAAAGGGAAACCAGTCTTTCCTCATTTGTGATGGAAAAGAGATTTTTTTTTCCTAGACTAAAATAAAAAACTATGATAATACAGTTGGAGAGCCAGGGATATAGCTCAGTGGCACAGCATCTGCCTGGCAACATGAGATTATGAGTTCAGTTCCTGGTACAGAAAAAAAGAAAGAAAGAAAAAAAAATACAGTTAGGCTTGGTGACCTAATCCTAGCATCCTGGGAGACTGAGGCAGGAGAATGGAAAGACTGAGCCCAGTCTGGGCAATTTAATGATTTAGCAAATGCTGTCTCAAAAAAAAAAAAAAAAAAAAAAAAAAAAAAAGACAAAAAATAAAAAATCAGCCCAACAAAACAAAACAAAAAACCCCAACCAATTGTTTTATTTCATTGTCTGCAAAACAGCGTAGTGATTCTTAGGGTGAACCAGCACATATTGGGAAAGTGGAAATCTCACAGGATTTAATGTCTAAGATGTGGGCTAAAGTGAAGCTAGGTGCCAGGTCTGAGCCTGACCAAAAACTAGACCAAGTGTAGATTTTACTGGGGGTGATTTTTCTGGATCCTCTGTTTCATCATGTTAGTCCCCTGCTGCAATCATGGAGCGTCCCTTTGTAGAAGCCATAAAACTGCCATGGTTCCGTCCTGTTGTCTTCTCAGAGCTGGGGCTCCTGTGGCCTGCTTGTCCTGCGTGTCCTCAGGTTGTTTCCCGGCCTCCGCAGTGCTCATTCTGTACAAGGCGTCTCTGCAGCTACTCACTGTGACTCCCTGACTGCTAGCGACCCTGGGATTTTATGCTGTGAGCTTTTTACCTGCATTTGCCCTCTGGTACCACATTTCTGGGGATAGCTGCTGTGAAAAGCCAGGAGGGCTGCCTGGCCGGGGCCTCCTTTCAGCCGTGCCATGAGGATTCTCACCATTTGTACCAGCGGGTACTGCAGGGAGTGGGCTGGTGACCTTTCTTACCCTCCGAGGGGAGGCTCTGGCTTCAGAGTAAGTTAACGCAGACTGAGCTTGGATGCTAGAGAGACAAGTCTGTAAACAGGTACTTGCTGTGGACTGTGATAAAATGCTGCTGTCCTCCCCCGAAGGGCAGGTGCCTTTGAAGTGGCCTCAGGATGGAATGGTGTCCTGGAGCCACCTGCCTATGCTCAGATCCCTCTGAATGACCTTGGGTAAAGTATTCAGCCACTAGCGGCTTCAGTTTCCTCATCTGTGAAGTGGAGATCACAATGGTGTTACCTTATTTCTTTATGTAACACTGTATTTTATGTTTATGGTACTGGCAATTGAACTTAGGGGTGCTCTACCATTGAGCTACATCAACCCTTTTTATTTTTATTTTGAGACGGGGTCTCACTAACTTTTGAGCCTCCAACTTAAGATGTGGTCTCAAACTTGTGATCCTCTTGTCTCTGCCTTCTGAATAGCTGGATTACAGGTCTGCACTCCCATGCCCAGCATCTATTGGATTCCTTATAAGGATCAAATGAGACAAGGATGGGGCATGTAGATGTGTTTCCTGAAACAAAATAGGTGTTTGATTAAGGTGATTGCTGTGGTGTCTGTTGTATTTATGTGGATGTAGGCTTGGCTGCATGCCACAGAGACACAAGTAACAGTGGTTTAAACAGGTGAGAGTTCTGACTCTCAGAGGAATGTTAGACTGCTAACATCCAGGTCCTGTCCAGTGGCTCTGATTCCTTTGAGTCTCGGAGCCTTGGCCTGCCTGTGGGAATTGCCCCAGCCTCTGAAATGAATTTTATATGTGCCACTGTATCTCTGCTGCTGTTTTTCCTTCCTTCCTTCCTTCCTTCCTTCCTTCCTTCCTTCCTTCCTCCCTTCCTTCCTTCCCCCCCTCCTTTCTTTTTTCTTTTTTTCTTTCACTCATTCATGTTGTCTTTTTGATACAGGGACTCACTATGCAGTTCAGGCTGGCCTTCAACTTACTTTGTAGTCCAGGCTGGCCTCAAACTTGCAGAGCAGTCCTCCTGCCAAAGTGCTGGGATTACAGGTGTGCACCACCACGTCCAGCTCTGCTCCTTCTCCTTCTCCTTCTCCTCGTTCGTCTTCCTCCTCCCGCTCTTTCTCTTCTCTTCTCTATTCCCTTCTTCCCTCACTTAACTCTCTCTCTTTTTTCCTCCTTCCTTCTTTCTTTTCTGTCTTTTTTTTCCTCTTTCTGTTCTTTCCCCTTTATTTCTTTTTGTAGTGCTGGGGCTGACCCTAAGGCCTTTGCACTGAGCTATATCTCCTCCTTTTTATTTTTTGACAGTCTTGCTGAGTTTCTGAGTTACTTGAGCTGGGCTTGACGTTTTGTTTCTCAGACTCCCAGAGTCCTGGATTAAAGATATGTGCCACCATTCCTGGTGAGCAAAACAATTGCACAAATTTTTTTTGTTAGTGCATGTTTTTGAAACATAGTATTGATTATGTACAGTGTGGGGTCTGATACATATGCATATTGCTCTCAGGTTTACTCCCCAGCCTCCTTCCCCTGACTGCTTTCCTGTGTTTATAGAGCCTCTCTCCCTGTTTCTTTTTTTTTTTTTTGTCTTTTTCGTTTATATCGGTACTGGGGATCAAGCTCACAACTACCTGCTTGCAAGGCAGGCGCTTATGCCGCTGAGCTAAATCCCTGCTTCTTTTTCCTTTTTATCGGTACCAGGGATCGAACTCACGACTGCCTGCTTCCAAGGCAGGCGCTTATGCCACTGAGCTAAATCCCCAGCCCCAAATCCCTGCTTCTTAACATGGCTCTTTATTTTGCTCTTTTAAAAATATTTTATTTATTTTTTACTTTGCTCTTTAAATTATTTGTATTTTGGGTCTCGTGGTTTTTTTTTTTTTTTGAGTCTCTCATATTAAGGTAACTGAAAAAGGGTTTTTAGAAAGTTGTATATGCATAGAAAAAATTCAATTCCTGTCACTCATAGATAACCACTGTTAACCTCTTTATGTATGTCCTTTGGTAAATATCTGTAATATGTATGTTTATGGATATGAATACAAATATAAATATCACAGTTATATTCCCAGACACAGCCAAGGAATTGGTGAAAGTTTATCACACCATCTTCCTACTGTGTAGATTCTGATGAATAGGCTGAAATTCAGTGAGACCTTGCTGTGATCATGGTGTTCTCATTTTTAAAAATTATACTTTGAAATCTTGGCATGGTAGTAAACACCTACAGTTATAGCTATTTGGGAAGCTGAAGCAGGAGGTTCCTTCAGTCCAGGGATTCAAGTCCAGACTGTGGAGAGTAGTGAGACTCACATCTCTAAAAAAAGAATCAAATCCAGCCTGACCTTATTTACTCAGTGGTAGAGTACCATGTGATGTACATAAGGCCCTAGTTTGAGCTCACCTCTTCAAAAAACAAAACATCTCCCAACTAACCTGGGTGTGGTGGCACACACCTGTATTCCCAGCATTCAGGAGGCTGAGGCAGGAAAATCACTGCAAGTTTGAGGCCAGCCTTGGCCACATGGTAAATTCAAGGCCACAGCAAGACTCTGCCCCCCCCCCCCAAAACAAAACTCCTTTTAGCCTGGTATGAAGGCTCGTGCCTATATTCCCAGCACCCAGGAGGCTCAGACAGGAGGATTGTTTTGAGTTGAAGCCAGCCTGGGCTACACAATGAGTTTGAAGCCAGCTACAGGAATACCTTGTCTCGGGGAAAAAAGAAATAGCAAGATGACAAAAACCTTTTGCAATTTAAACTATACTATGGGCATCTTTGCATTTCAGGAAGTATTGGATTGTACAGGGATGCACTGTAATTTATTTAAACCATTTCTCACTGCTGGATAATTGGGTTATCTCCAGTTTATCATTATTATAAACAGTGCTTACAGGGAACAGCTTTGGGTATACATCTTTGCTCATTTGCACGTTCCTAAAAACAATTTTGCGGGTCAGAGGCTCAAGGGAATTCTAAGAAAGATTAATTACCTATTTCAAAAAAATAATTTTTATGTGCATATAGCTCAGTATTTAAAAAACCACAGAAGGGTACAAAGTGAGTAGGAATTCCTTATTTACCCTGACCCACTTCCTCCTATTACAGTACAGGCACTCATGTGCAAAAAATATTCTTTTTAGATTTGCATTTGTAAGACTCTGGGTTCAGCCACAGTGCTGCACGTGTGTGCGTACATGCACACACATGCGCACACACATACACAAATGTGTTCTTTTTAAACTTATTTTGGTGTAATTTCAGACTTCCAGAAAAATGATGAGAAGAGTAGGGTGAAGTCCCATATATGGCCTTCTAGATTTCATTGTATCTGAAGTATTTGAAAGCAGTTTTCAGGCATGATGCCCTTTATCTTTATCTTCCGTGTGTTTCCTAAAACAAGGAAAAAACCTCATATTTAAGCACAGTGGAGTTACTAAAATCAGAGAATTAGCATCAGTACAATTCTCCTACCTAATCTGTGAACCTTATTCAAAGTTTTCCAAATTTTACTGGCGTGTATCACCATGCCCAGCTACCTGATTTAATTTGTGATTATAGTCAGGATGTGGCTGGGCATGGTGGTTCGTGCCTGTAATCCTAGCACTCAGGAGGCTGAGGCAGGAAGATCATTGCAAGTTCAAGGTCAACCTGGGCTACAAAGTGAGTTCAAGACCAATAGTGAGACCCTGTCCCAAAAAGACAAAAAATAAAATAAAACAAACAACAACAGCAACAACCCCCCCCCCCAAAAACAACCAAAAACTCCCAACCAACCAAAAAAATACATCCAGGATGTGTGCTGTCAGCAAGAACATCATGGGTGACACCACTGTTTCTGATGCTGATTTGTTCCATGACTGCTGATGTTACCTTGGAAGACCTAGTAAAAATGGTAGTCCTTATCGGGAACCATCTTTGGGGTTATCTGCCTGTCTATTGATGCCTGGAGTTGTAAGCCAGAGGCCCAACCCCAGGGTCCCCCAAAGGCTAGGTCCTGCTACCTGCCTCCTTGGGAGTCCAGTAAGAGACTTGAGGGACAGTGAAACAAGAAAGGGATTTATTCAAGCAGTGTGGCCACCCTGCTGTCCTATGCCCTGTCTGCCAGATTATCAACAGAGCTCAGTTTATGTAAGGAAAGGACAAAGGGCAGAGGGCAAGAAGAATGCAGTGTTGCTCAAGCTGGTCTGATGGGTCATTACCTCAGGTGTGATTTCACATTCTCTTGGCACCTGGAATTGTTTCTGCTTGCAGGAGGGTAACTGAGATGATTGCTTCTGCCCAGGAGGCAGCAGGTTCTCACAGTCAATCTCTTCTGCTTATGGGGTGGCCACATTCTGGGGCGATCTGCCTGAAAGGCGCTCTCTGTTCCTAGAATCTTTTTTTTTTCTTTTGTCTTTTTGGAGACAGAGTCTCACTATACAGTTCAGGCTGTGCTTAAGCTCCCCTTGTGGCCCAGGCTGGTTTGGAACTCACAATGATCCTCCTGCCTCAGCCTCCCGAGTGTTGAGGTTACAGGTATGCACTACCACGCCCAGATTTGTTCCTATAATTTTGCGATTAATGTAGGTTCTCTTATCTTGGTAGATTCAATCTTGAAGAAGGGCAAGAGAGATTAGAGAAGTTAAGGACTGAGGGACCTTACCTTACCAGTTTTTAGATAGACAACCCTTAAGTGATTAACATCTATGTGCAGGGTTGAGCAGAAATCTGATGCAAAGTTTAAAGTAGTAAAGGAGACACACAAAATGAAGATAAAGATGCCATGCTTTTATCCTGCTGTCAGTTTCCTGTTAAACATCTGTAGGCCTAAGTGAAAAGTCTGTGCATTTTAGAAAAAGCAGCCCCTCACACTACCCACAGCATTCCTTGTTGGTGCCTCATTGTAAAGGCGGCCATTGGCTGGTAAGTATTTTGTGGTGGGGAGATGATGGGAATTTTTATTCCTTTAAAATGTTTTGTGGCCGACAGTGCTGTTTTTGCAGTGGAATCCAGGGCGTTCTAGGCAGCACTCTATCACTGAGCTATGCCTTGGGCTCCTGAAGTGCTGTTTGGAGGACAGAGTGCCACAATGATGTCCAGAGCAACAGCTGGATTGGTAGCACTTTGCAGTTTATGAACTGCGTGGCACAATTGTGTTCTTTGACGATGTGACAACCTTAAGAGTGAGCAAGGCCCAGGGCCATTTGGGATTTCTGCCCTGGATGAATGTAAGAAAACAGAGCATCCAAGACAGGGGAGCGGGGCCTGGATCCCTGTCTGACTCCACAGAACAGATTCTCATTGATGCTCAAAGCAAGTGGTCAGCAGGAGAGATCTGGTCCCCATGAAATGAACCACTTGCTCTTGAAAAGAAAGATTATAACCAAGCAAGCAAATAAATAAAATGTTTCCCGACAGTAAGTGCTAAGAAGAAAATAAACTGGGAGACCTAACAGGGAGTGGCTGGGATGAACTGTGGGGGGCAGTGAGGCAGGATGGTCAAGAAGGGCCTCTTTAAGGAGGTGGCATCGGCTGAGACATGAAGGGTGAGGAGGTGCTGCTCAGCGCAGGGTTTGGGAAAGTTCATGTAACAACAGCAAGTACAAAGGCCCAGAGAGAGGAACAGGCTTGGGATGTTTCCATGCATCAGGGTGGGCAGAGCAGTGGGTTAGATGGTGTATTGGTGAGGGTTCTCTGAAGGAGCAGAACCACTAGGAAACGTATGTATAATTATGCAAGAGGAATTATTAGGTTGGTGGGCAGAAGCGTCCACATTGGCAGTCTGCAGGAGCAGAGGCAGTAGAAGCCTCAGGGCTGGTCTGTGCACTGGGGAGCTGGAGAATCCAGTAGCTGCTCAGTCCAAGGAGGTGGAAGAGACAGGACAAGAGGGATTGAGGGTGTAGCACGGGGCCAAAGTCAAAGGCCTGGAAGCTCCCTGCATTTGAAGGCCAAAGAAACGAAACTGATGTCCAAAGCCAGTGGTGAAGACCTTCCAAAATGGAGGTGTTTCCTTCCTTCCCTTTTCAGGCTCTAAATGTATGTGTTGGTGCCACCCACATCCTAAGTGGGTCCTTCTCCCTCAGTTTGCTGTCAGTCATCCATAGACTCTCTCAGAACTGATTTACCAACCTTGGTAGTTTTCTGTCCACTCAAGTTGACGTATCGTGATGAAAGTGGCAAGTGAACAAAAAAGTGACCTGAGAAGTGGGAGGAAGCCAGTTGGGCTGTGGGGCCTTGTCTTGATTTTCACTTCCATTTACTTACTTACTTACTTACTTACTTACTTATTTATTTAGTGGTAGTGGGGATGGAACCCAGGACCTTGAACATACTAGGCAGGCCTTCTGCCCCTGAGCTGACCCCAGGCCTGGTGTTCCTTTTCAAAGACTCCTGGCTGCCTTGCGTAGAGCAGGCCGCAAGCCAGAGAGGAGGTGATGGCACCTGTCCCAGCAGGAGCTGATGGCAGCTTGGGTGAGAATGGGTGCAGGGGCCAGCTGGAAGAGTTGACAGATTTGAGAGTAGATTAAATGTGAGAATTTGCCTCTTGGCTTGCTCTGGGGCAGCAAGAGACTGGTCCTGTGCACTCTGGGTCTCCTCACCTCTCCACCTACTTCCCACTTAGGTGTGTCAAATGTGTCAACAAATATTCTACGCAAGAGGCCCTGGAGCACCACCTGCAGACAGCCACTCACAACTTCCCCTGCCCGCACTGCCAGAAGGTGGGTCTGCTGCTCTCTTCCCGTGGCTGAACCATTATGCTTGTTATTATTGATTCTTTTTTTTGGGACTCTAGCAGCCTGTCCTAAAGCCACCAAATGTCCAGCAAGTGTTCTAATCACCACTGTGTCAGGCCGTCATCACTTTTTAAAAGTATTTGCGTCAGGTCTGTAGCATGTGGTTGACTGTTACAACAGAAGCTTCTATTCATCTGTATCCCTCCCGGCCAACCCTCTTGCTCCCTTCTAGTCTCCTTTTTATTTATGTGTTGAAGAAACTGGGCCAAAGGTCCTGCGACGTTTGCTGCAGTCTGGGTTTTGCCAATTCCGTCTCCTGATTTGATTACCTTGTTTTCTTATTCTGGTAATTTTTAAACAACCTTACCTAGCAGATTTTCCAGGATAGCCCTTACCTTGGCCTCATTCTAGATACTTCTAATTACATAGCCTAAGCTTGGCTTTGGAATTTAAAGGTATCATGAACTGAGCAAGAGGCATGTACCAGGTGCTGTACTCAGAGATCCCCGGGAGGGAGACAGGCTTGGTAGGAAGTCAGGGACGGGGCTGATGACCAGTGGGGTGGCTGGGTTTGTGCCCTTGGTCACTTCTTTACACCAAATGGATGAATGAATGTTCACGTTGTGCCTAGATGAAAAAGCAATTTTAGCTCCTGTGCTTTCTGATCCCTTTCTATTTTCTTTAGTTCTTTGTCCATTTTTTCATTCATTTCTTTGTCAGGCCTTTGACCCAGGCCTTCCTCAGAGGAGAATGAAAGCCCCTCTGTCCTTTCAGAGCCCTATGTAAGCAAAGAGCACTGTCCTTCAGTGAGTTAAACGCTGATTTAAAATGTGGGGAATTACTCAAAGGCAGAAGGCTCTGTCTAACATGACACTGGGGAGCCAGGGAAGGCTTCCCTAGGCAGCTTGCAGATCCCTGAGTTGGGTCTTGAACAATTTAAGAGTTTGTGAGAATGAGAAAGTCCCCACAAATATAGAAGGACAGCCTGGCAGAAGCTCAGCATGGGAGCCCTAAGGCCGTGAGGGCTGATGTGACCCTGGGTCTTGGTCCCCTGGTGGAAGAAAGGGAGGTGTCTCCACAGGCCTGTGAGCTCCGAGCGGGTCTGGTGAGGCAGACCTGAAGCCATCCTTCTCCTCCAGGTGTTTCCTTGTGAACGTTACCTGCGGCGTCACCTGCCTACCCATGGCAGCGGGAGCAGGTTCAAGTGCCAGGTGTGCAAGAAGTTCTTCCGGCGCGAGTACTACCTCAAACTGCACGCCCATATCCACTCAGGTGAGTGCCGTATGCCCTGCTTCTCCCTCTCCTCGTCCCTTTCAGCCCCCCTCCTGTCCCCTTCCAGCCCTCCCCAACCCCCTAGACTCTCCCCTGTCCCCTGTGCCTTCATTCTCTTCTCCTTCCTGGCCCGATACCTACCTGCTGCACTTTTGAAAAGGCGACGCCACCCTTGCTGGAGCAAAGTGAGCCCTAGAGGCTGGGGGTCCTCAGCCCTGCTCTCCTGTTCTGAGTCCCCAGGTAGATGCCCTGCTCTTAATGCAAAATTCTCGGCCACATCCAGACAAAGCTTCCTTTCCTTGCTTCCCCAGTTGAGATATATTGACGTTTTATTTTCTTTTAATCTTTAAATTTTTTCATTAGTTAAAAAATTTTGGCTGGGGACATGTAGCCCCAGTGCTTGAGTGTTTGTCTGACATGAATAAGGCTCTGAGTTTAATCCCCAGTTCTGCAAAACAAACAAAAACACCAAAACAAAAAAAATAGTTTTTTTATTGAGAAGAATCTAAAGATTAAGAAAGCCTAAGGAGAAAATAAAAATCTATAATAGTACAGAAGTATGTATAGTGAAAATAATCCTCTTCCCCTTAGATGAACAAGCCAATAATTTTTTTTTTGTAACAAAGATGTTGACAGCACCATGCTTTATTTTTTTTAAATTTTATTTTGAACGTAGTAAAATACAACAGAACAAGACAAAATAAAGCCAACTAAGATCATACAGTGAAACTGGTACAGGACTTCACAGCAGGTTACCAGGATAAGAGTAATAGGTATCACAGTATATTTCATTATCTTTACAATAGTTGTTCTTTCAATCACATATATCAAAATAAAATGAAATACAGAACATTATAGAACTTATCAAAACAGAATATTGAATAGAGCAATACCATTAATCAGAATAGAGCAAAACAGTAATAAAAATACTTGCCTTCAAAGAGACGGTAGAAGGAAATCCCCCTTATTTGCTATGGTCAACCTCCCAAGAGATGCTCAGATTTCTGGTTCCCATTGGGGGGACAGGGGCATGGGGGTAGGGGAAGTGGGATGTTTGACTCTAGGCTGTGCACCAGTAGGTTCACTATTGCTTAGCAGGGAGGCAGGCTGGTTGCTTGGTCTCCCAGCTTCGTAAGTTCCAACATGGTGTGGATCTCAGAAGACACTGGTGGTTCTTCCCCTGGAAGGGCCATAGTCTGCCACACTGCAGCCACTTACCAGGGAGGGGAGCTGCTTGCTTGGTTTCCCAGAGTCCTAACTTCCAACATGGCGCGGATCTCAGGAGACACTGTTGGACAAGCCAATAATTTACAGCTTTTTTGAACAAGTCACACACACACACTTGCTAAGTGTGGTAAAGCATGCGTGTAGTTCCAACTGCTCAGGAGGCGGAGCCTGTAGGATTGCAAGTTCAAGGCCAGCATGAGTAATTTAGCAAGACCTTATCTCAAAATAAAATTTTAGAAGAACTGGGGGTGGAGCTGAGTGGTAGAGCTTGCCTAACATGTACAAAACCCTGGATTCAATCCCTAGTACTGAGACAAATTACACATTTTATATTATAGCCTAATATATATATATATATATATATATATATATATATATAGTATATTAAATTTTGCAAAGCAGTAATTTTTATTTTAAAAAGCAAACAAAAGGATAGAAATGATACAGAATTTCAAAAAAGAAAGAAAAGTAGGGAATTAACACTAGTTAATACATTGCACATTGTTATCTCAGAACTAGTTATTCAGGTTACAAAATCGATATGCAAAAGTGATCAAACAGTGACAGCACAAACTGTTCTTTTTGATGAACTAGAGAGATTAGTAGTAATTTTTGTCTGGTTTAAGTTTTTAAAATAATTGCTACCTGGGTATTGGTGGTGTGTACCCATAGTCCTAGCTCTTTGGGAGACTGAGGAGAGAGGAACCCAGGAGATACACCAGTCGGGGCAACATAGTGACACCTGCTTCAAAAACCGAAGACTAGAATCTGCACACATGTACTCTTTTTTTTTTTTTTTTTTTTTGTCTTTTTCATTTTTATCGGTACCAGGGATCCAACTCACGACCACATACTAGCAAGGCAGGCGCTTATGCCACTGAGCTAAATCCCCAGCCCCAAGTACTCTTAATCTTCTTAATGACTGCAGAGCATTCTATTGCAAGGACCAGATTTTCCGTAACCAACTGGTTTTCAATGTACTTTATTCATTCCAGAGGGCAAATAATGGCAGGAAATCAAATCAGCCTGAGAACAATCCTTTCTTCCCAAAGGGCAGGTGTGACCCCACATGAGCTCTGTAAGCACAGCTTTCCAGATCCTGAGGGAATTCTCGGTGACCTGCATCCTGCCTCCCAGGATGGGATGGTGGTGGGAGGGTCTGGGGCAGCACAGATGGCTCTGGATCACACGGCTAGGCTGGAATCTTTGCCACATGGACTGCAATATAGACCTGGGATGAGTCACTTCACTTCTGAGCTGTGAAACGCTTAGCTATGAGATGGGAGATGGAGGTGCTTACCTTGTGGCTTATTGTCAGGCTTTGGTCAAACAGTGAGATCCCCCACCATACTTAGTGGACCCCTGGCTGTATGTCTGTGACCATCACCCACTACTCAGGCCACACCCCAGATTCATGCCGAACCCTGTCCCTCTCATCTGTCAGGGAGGGCTACTCATTCTGCTGGCCCTGTCTGGCCCTCAGTCTGCTCTCCACCTTCCTCCAGAGGGGCCTAAGGTTTTCAGCCAGGCCCACTCCCTGCTCATAACCTCTGATGTTTTCTCATCCGGCTCAATAAAAGCTGGAGGCCTTTCCTTCGGCTGTGTAGGTCCACTCTGTGGGGCTCTGCCTCACTGACCTCACCTGCCTCAGTCTTCCCATCCTCCTCTGTCCGAGGCTCATTGGTCTCTCCACTGTCCCTCAGGCGCCAAAGTGTGATCCTACCTTGGGTCTTTGCCCATGTTCCCTTCAGTCTGGGACCCTCACCAGGCTCCACCTGCCTCGTCCCTGCAGCCTCAGGACTGTCCTATGTTCTCTCAGCAGAGAGGCTTCTCTGACCAGCGTCTCTAGAACAGCCCCCTTGAGGGTTGTGGCAAGAGTCTCTCAGCTACAGGGAGGCTGAGGCAGGAAGATTATTTGAGCCTAATAGTTCAAGGACAGCCTGGGCAACAGAATGAGACCCCATCTCAAAAAAAAAAAAAAAAATTGCCCCCTTTTCTCCTTGGCAAAACAAAGTCAGGAGGAATGAGAGAGGCTGGTTTCCCCCAAATCACCCTCTTTAGGGGGAGGCGCTGGCCCCTTGGTCTCCAAATTGAGACTCCTTTAGGATCTTCACTCTCCCTGCCTGTGTCTCCTGCAGGTGAGAAGCCCTACAAATGCTCAGTGTGTGAGTCTGCATTCAACCGCAAGGACAAACTGAAGAGACACATGCTGATCCATGAGCCCTTCAAGAAGTACAAATGCCCCTTTTCGTGAGTGAGGCTGACGCAGGCGGGCAGAGGGCTGGGTGGGGAATGGGGAACAAGTGATGGGCTCACTCCCTGCCCTGCTTCCGTGCCTAGCTCCCAGGGTGACAAGGGTGTTCCATGGGCCAGGGCTCGTGGGGAGACCAGCAAGAGAGCCCCAGCTTGCCAAGCTCCCCTTGACTGGTGGCTTTGGGTTCCAGGACACACACAGGCTGCAGTAAGGAGTTTAACCGGCCAGACAAGCTGAAGGCTCACATCCTGTCCCACTCTGGTAAGGGGTCTGGGGTCTTGTGGGTGTCTGGCTCAGGGTCCCTGGGATAGACACGCTGAGAGGAGGAGGCACAGACATGTCCCCCGAAGCTTACTGTTCTGCCAATGGGCTCATATTGCTGTGGGCTGGGAGCCAGGCTGTGTTTAGGACCTTACACTGTGTAGAAAGGCCCACAGTCTGAGGGGGACACAAGAGACAGCAGAATCCCTGGTGCCCAGTGGTTAGGGGCTGCGAATCAGGCATGATCTGAGATGTGGCTGGGAGGTCCCCCGTACTTAGTTTTGAACAGGGTTTTCAGGCTGGGCTCCCCTGACGCTTTGGGCCGAATCGGGGTTGGGGGAGTTGGATGTTTGCCAGCTTCCTAGCTTCTACACACTAGACACCAGTGGCATCCCTTCTACAGCACAACAACCACATATGTCTCCAGGTGTTGTCCAAAGTCCCCTGGGGAGTAGTCACCCCTGTTGGAGAACCAGGGATTTGCAGAAGGACTCAGTGGCTACAGAAAGCTTGAAAACCAGGAGAATAGATTAGGGGTGTGGAGACAGAGCGTGGCTTTGAGCCTTGACACTGACCTTTCCTGCTCGGTAGCCTCAGGCATATTCACTGAGTGTGTGACCCTTAAGTCGCAACCACATGTCAGGCAGTAGCCGTGCCATGGGGCATCAGATAACAGAACCCTATGCTGCGCTCCTGTGGAAGCTGAGCATTTAGAGGGGGACACTGAAAATAAACAAGGACTCAGAGACATTGAGTGCAGGGATGGAGAGAAACAGACGTGGCAGGGAAGGAAGAGTGTGGGGGTCGGGGGAGGTCCCAGGGGGGTCCCAGAGGAGCTGAATGCTATGGGACGAGCCAGCAAATAGCTTTGCAAAGAGAGGGAGCCTTGTGCAGGGAGACAGTGGGGTGTCTGAGACCAGGAAAGACAGTGAGCACAGGGAGCAGAACAGGAGGGGGCAGGACTGAGGGGTGAGGGGATGGTCATTCAGCACCTCCTCTGTAGGAAACTTGCGTAAGCAGCGCGGAGTTTGGAGCAGTGAATATCATGCTCGTTTGTGTGTTTGACAAAGACATCCCTTGCTCTTTATCGGTAATGTGGCAGGTGGCCCAGAGGAAGTGGCTGCCTCTGATCCTCTGGGTGAGAGATGATGGGGCTTGCAATGTTTGTCAAGGCTCAGGGATTGAGTGGGCTGCTGCAGTCAGAGGAAGCAGCAAGCGCAGCGGCCCAGAGGCAGGAGTCGGCTCAGTGCATTGTGAAGAGTGTGCGGCTCAGAGAAGGTAGGAGGTGCGAGTAGAGGGAGCAGGGCCAGATGGCGCAGGTAGGAAGGACTGCACTCTGCATTTGGAGAGGTGCCTTTGTGGGGTTGGGTCTCAGAGGGAGGGTCCAGTGCTCTTTGCTGACGTGTCCTTGTCCCCAGGCATGAAGCTCCACAAGTGTGCACTGTGCAGCAAGTCCTTCAGCCGCCGCGCCCACCTGGCTGAGCACCAGCGTGCCCACACGGGCAACTACAAGTTCCGCTGCGCAGGCTGTGCCAAGGGCTTTTCCCGCCACAAATACCTCAAGGATCACCGCTGCCGCCTTGGCCCCCAGAAGGACAAAGACCTGCAGACCCGGCGGCCCCCCCGGAGGCGGGCAGCTCCCCGCAATGGTGGCAGCAGTGGTGGGCACAAGGCCGTGACCTCCTTGCCCGACCAACTAGGGCTGGAGGAGTTGAAGGATGCAGGGGCTGGGCCCGTGCCGGAGGTCACCTCAGGCAAGCCACCCTTCTCGGAGCCCGATGCTGTGCTGTCCATTGTTGTAGGTGGCACAGTGAGTGGTGACCCCGAGCTGGTGATGCCTGGGCATGCTGAGGCCCTGGGCTCCAATCTGGCACTGGCTGAGCTGCAGGCTGGGGCCGAGGGCCCATGTGCCATGCTTGCAGTGCCAGTTTACATCCAGGCCTCTGAGTGAGGCAGACTCGGCTTATAGAGTTTGCTTCCCGAGCACCCGATGCTCATGCTTGGATCTGGCTCCTAGGGCCAGCCAGGAGTCCTGACCAATGGCAGAATTTTTCTGGAATACTATTCCTAAGCCCTGAACCATGGCCGCCCTTCTGTGTCCCTGTTCTGCTGGGAGATTCCACAGCATCCTGGGATTGGGACAGGGCCGCTGGCAGCCCCTGGACAGCAACGGCAAGAGAGATGGCTGGAGCCTGAATAGCCCAAGAGAGAAGACAGGATGGTCTCAGCCACCTTTCCTCCAGGCAGCCCAGATGGCCTCCAGGCAAGCTGCTCTTCAGGAGGCTGGATGTGTTCGGAGTCCTCATCTGTTTGGGTCCCCCACAGCCTCCACAGACAACTCTTCAAGGTTGGCATTTAGGAGGCACTCAAGAGACGTGGTTAGAGCACATCTAGGAGCCAGATCTGGTTCAAATCTGAGTTACCATGCACTTGCTGTATCACCCTGGGCAAATCACACCTCTCTGAGCCCTGTGTTCCTCTCGTCTGTACAGTGGGGCTTACAGCTGCACTATTTCCAAGGTTTGTCTTGGGGATGTAGTATGATGAAATGTGCAAAGGACTTGGCAAGTGTTCAATAAATGTTTTTATCACTGTGTGTCCCAATGGCTCTGGCCCCAGCCCTGGCAGTTTCTCTCTTATGCCCCAGGTGGCAGCACTCCTCTCTGAAGCATGAAGAGCTGAGGCTATGGCTCTGGAGACTCATATAAAGGAGCAGGTGCTCCGGGACAGTGATTGCAGGATTTGTATGAATACCTTGGGAAGGAGGTTTGTACTTGTGTGTGAAAATTCAGGATCCTAGTGAACCCCAGGTCTCCAGATTTAGAACCTCTGATAGGAGTCAGAAGTGCATCTGAATGGGCCTCTATGTGCTCCAGCTTCCAGCCCCTTTTCGGGCTATGGCAGAGAGGAGCAGAGCAGGCTGGGAGGGAAGCAGGAAGGTGAAAAGACCTCTCCAGGCCGTGCTGCTTCTGATATAGGGCAGGAAATCAATGCTCAGAGAAGGGCCAGGGCAAGTACAGCAGAGCTGCTTGACTCCTCATGACCGAGGTTCTTTGAGGGCTGTCCTGTCTGTTAGACCCTGTGCTGGGACTCACTGCCCGCACCCTGTGGGTGGGAGGAACAAGGCTGGAGAGAGCGAGAACTGTGAGTGTCCTCTTCTGCAGAAAGACCAAGGAGGGATTGGGCTGGAGGGCAGGAGAACTCTCAGAAGGGACAGTGTTTGAACTGGGCTTTGACACATGGGTGTGTAGGGGGTGGCAGCCCAGAAAGCAGGTTGTGAGCCAGCACCACAGGATTGACCTAGCAAATGGTTCAGGGCCTTGAGTTGTGACTTCAACATCACCTTAGAGATTTCGCCAGAGCTGTAAGACAAGAAAAAGAAATACAATAATACTTTGGTTCATGAAGACTTGTTTGCAAACAATCCAGTTCACAAACAAAAGCACTCTGCAGAATTTTGCTTCTGTTTGCAAACTCCACATCAGGTGATAAACAATGACCAAGTTCATCTTCCCCACACAAACACAGACACAGCTAAAACAAGACCATTTTGCCCAAAACCCAGGGCTTTTAACTCCTGTTGAAAACTTCCTCATCTACAGAGTGGGACAGCAGGTGGAGCCGAGCTCGTCAGCCTGTCTTGATGGGCACACACATTGCTGATGGCTGTGGTCCTTGCTCTTCCTTGCAGTCTCCCTGCTGCTGCAGCTGAATGTCACTTGCTATTTTCTGTACTGCAGAGAAGTGCTGAAGTTTCTTTGTCTCTTAAAAGTGGGAAAACGCGATGGCTAGAGAGACCACTTGAGTGTTGATGTTCTTTGCTCCTTTTGTGCATCCATCTTGCTGTCTGGACTCCGAGTGCATGGCTTAAGGGACCCTGTGTGCCTGCTTCCTTCCTCCCTCCCACCAGCTCGATAGTAGCTCGTTTCGGTTTCTTCAGCAGTGCACGTGAAGGGATGAGCCATGGCTAACCTGACCAAGTGGCTGTTAGCACCAGGTTCACTGCTCTGTGCCTTATTTACATGCTGCTGGTCTTGGTTACTTTTCTCTCACTGCTGAGTTAAAATATCTGACACTCAAAATGAAGGAAGGAAAGGTTTACTTAGCTTACAGTGTGTAGAGGTTTCAGTCCATCACACTCAGCTGGCTCCAATGCAAGGTTGTGTGGTTGAGGACAACTGTTCATGGATGCAGCAGATATCAAAAGCAGCAAGAGCAAAAGGGCAAAAAGGGTACAGCATGCCACTTTTCCTTCCTTTTGTTGTATGCAGGTTATCTGCCCTAGGGTGGGTACAGCACTCACACTGCCAATCCCAGCACTAGACCATGAACTAATTACAAACTCTAGATTCAGCCACCTTCATGACTGCATGAGGCTTTGGGGGACATCCAGACACAAACCATAACACCACTGAATTCTCAAGCTGGCCTGCCCCCCTCAAAGTCAACTCTGTCACTACCTTGTTACAGATGAGGAGAAGGCCCTGCAAAAGGCAATAACCTGCCCAACGACTCAGTAGCCAGAATGTATGGGGCTGAGCTGGAAACCCAGGACTGACTGACTCAGGTTCATGCCTTATTCTCTCTCTCTCTCTCTCTTTTTTTAATACTGGGAATTGAGCCCAGGACCTTCCCACTGGGACAGAGTTTGTCACTAAGTTACCCAGGCTAAATTTGGACTCCTGATCCTCCTGTCTCAGAGTTGCAGATCTTCCTGTTGCAGAGTACTGGGATTCTAGGCATGCTCCGCATGCCTGGCTTCATGCCTTGCTTTTTCCTCTGTATGGCTCTCACAGGCTCCTGTGGGCAGGGGTTTTACTTGGAAACACTTCTCAGCCTTCAGCTCCTGCTATTTCCTCCTCAGCCACTACCGTGCTGGTCCAAGGTGCCAGCCTCATACGGACTTTCTAGTCTCCTTGCTTTCTCTCTTTCCCTATCATAATCTAGTCTCTGGATAACAATCCAGGGGGATTTTCTAGATCTGAGAACATGAATCTAGATATAGAATCAGATTTTACTACTTTCCTGTTTAAACTCTCCAGCAGCTTCAGATCTCTTTTATAAGGAAACCCAGTGTTCCCCTGTAGATTTCAAGGTTCTACGTGATGTGACCTCTACTGACTCTTCAACCTTGTTTCCCATTACTCTTTCCTTCCCTCCCTCCACTCTAACCACGCCTTCCTTCCTGCTCCTCCTCCATCACATTAGCTAAGTCTTGCCTCATGACCTTCCAAGTTGGTATTCCCTTTCTGGAGGATGTTCTTCCCTCAGATTTCCATACAGCAAGCTCTCTCCTCTTTTCAGTCATACAAAGTCATTTCTTTATAGTGGCATTTCTTGGTCAACCTGCCTAAAATAGTCCTCAGCTCATAATTCCCTACAGCCTTCCCCTGTTTCGTTTGACATTCCATCAGGCACCCTTATCCATTATCATCTATTATCCTCATTGGAGACAAAAGAGTCCACAAAGGCAGAAAGACAGGTTGCCTCCAAGTGCCTAGAACTGCCTAGGAGTTGAAACGGTATTTGTCAGATGAATGAACAGCACTTAGAGAGAACCAGGCACATATCACCCGTCTTCTCCTCTCACCCCAGGGAGACCATGGGTGCAGGAAGAATCTGCCATGTAGGCTGAGACAGCTGACCAGAGTCGTGAGCAGGAATGTCTGATGTGGACATGTCTTTTTTTTGTCTGCAGGTGGAGCACAGGCTATCTGGGTCAAAGGACTGAGGCAATGGCTTAGAAGTCTCCATTGACGGAGCAGGTGCCTCTGAAGACCAGTAAAACCTGTTGGACCAGTTTTGCCTTCCTTGGAAGAAAGAGTAGAGGTGGCAGCTGTAGCTGCCAGAAGTGACCTCATGGCTCTCAGCCTGGAGGGCCATGGCCAGGGAGGTCAGCAGAGTGCATCTCCAGATGCTCAATATACACTCAGAAATGGAACCTGGAGACTGGAGACAGGTGACCAAGGCCTCCTGCAGAGCCTTGGTTTCTTTGTAGAATCACAGAGAATGAATTGGAGCCCAGAAAGCAAAAGAGTCTCCATCCAAGATCTCACTAAAGCGAGGCTGCCTCAATCCTTTCATTAGTTCACTTAGCAGCTATTTATTGAGCCCCTACTATGTGCGAGGCATAGTTCTAGGCATTGAAGATGCAGGGTAAACAAACAGTGATCTATGGCAATTCCTTGTGGAGGAGGTGGAAGATAAACAACCAACAAATAATAAGTAACAAATAAGTTATATAATATGCTAGAGGGTGAGGAGTGTCATAGGAAAGGAAAATCTAAGGAAAGGAGAGAGAACAGGAGAGGTGTGGGAGGTGTGGGAGAGGGCTGGAGTGAGGAGGAAAGAGAGCCAGTGTGGCTGAGGGGGGTGTGGGAAAGGAGGAGGACAGGGTGTCCTGGGAGAACCATGAGACATCAATGAGGGACACTTAAAGAACTTTCAGTTTTGCTCTAAGGGACATGGAGGGCCATCGAGGGCTGGGAGCAGTGCAGCGGCTGAGTCTGACATATCTTTAGTACTGGGAATAGAACTCACAACCTTGCATTTGGTAGGCAGCCGCATATGCAGCTGAGCTATATCCCTGGCCCTGACGTTTCTTTAAAGGAGACTCCTCTGGTTGCCATGCAGAGAATGGAAGGGCACAGGGGTGGCTTGGAAGACGGGAAGGCCCACAGCAGAGTGTACTAGGCAGCTCTTGCTGCAGTAACAAATGACCAGAAACACAGTGACTTGTAACAACCAGTCCTTGTCTGACAGTTATGGAAGTCAGAGGCTGACATATTTGCTGCTCACTGGACTCAAATTGGGTGGTCAGCGTGGCCAGTCCCTTCCGGAGGCTCTAGGGGAGGGACACTGTTGCACTGCTTTTCCAGATTCTAGAAACTGCCTGCATTCCTTGGCTCGTGGCCTTTCTCTCTCTCTTCAAAGCTGGAAGGGCAGCTTGCAGTCTCTCCGGTTCTGCCCTTGCTGCCGTCTTGAGCTACACTGCAACCAGCTGGGGGAGCCAGAGTGCCTCCTCTGTGTCAGTCCTGCAGATGCTCTGGAGGGGCACACGCTGGGAGAGGATGTGGGTGTCTTTGCCCACCTCTGGAGACCTCGGTAACGGTCCAGGCAAGAGGCAATGGGGACCCGGACCAGCAAGACAGCGGTGAAGATGGTGATAGATAGTGCAGTACTCTCAGGGTTTAACCAACAGGATATTCTAAGGGGGCGCGTGTGGGCCTTTCCTTCCTCAGAAAGGGAAATGTCCACCTTGGACCTCGGGGGAGGAAGTGGGTGTCTGGGGAAGAAGACTCAGGAAGCCACAAATCATTTACGAGAGCCTCGAGAGTGCAGGGCCTGCCGCTGGGTCTGTACACAGTCAGGTGACTAGGCACGGAGTAGGCACGGTGTGCCACATTAGCTCAAGTGCAGGAGCCCTTGAGCCCACAATCTCCCTCCACCCTTGCTCACCCCTCTCGGGTGTCTGCCGGGTTGGGTCTGTCCAGCCCCATTGCTGGCTTTGCCCTATTCCCCAGGGAGATCACATCTGTGCCTAGGTCCCCTGCACTTCCTTCATTTATGTCTGAATGTGCGTTTCTCTCTGTGTTCTCCTACAT